ACTGTGAACTAGAAAGTGATGTAGCTGTCAGATACATACATATGGGATCTGCTCATAGTTAAACGGCTGCTGCGCATGGCAAACACAGAACGGCTCGAACGGTTCTCTGTGCCAATTTCATTTCTATTTTCTATTGATATTACGCTTTGACTCTTTCATGGTGAAGAATATGCAGATATAAGTGGATATATGGATATGAACCAGTATATTCAACCGGTCATTGCTCAGGGCCGAAAACAATGGATTCAAAAAGCTTATTAAATCAGTCAGAGACAGTCGTAGCAAGAATGAGATAGAGCGAATGGTAGAAGTAGAAGTAGAGGTAGAGGTAGAGGGAGAGAGATCGGCTTTATTGATAATGTGGACAGCAGCTGTAATTATTCGATTGTGCCATAAATCTTTAAGGCACACACAAGAATGCTGTCATAAAATCCAATCAATGACAGTCGTAAAGCTGGGCTGCTGCCGTTTCAATAAAATGGAAACTGTTCTATAAAGACGCCCGAACCGAACCAAGCACTAATGAGTCAGACGTCCATATGCCAGCTCACACACATGGCCTCTGTACAGAGCTGGGAATGTGGAGACACTTTACAGTCGTCTGCTGAATATCAAATCATACAACACTGTTGCCAAGCAGAAAATAAGACAGTTACTATCCACATTTAGAAACATATTTCAAACCTATTCAATATATTTTCGAATGAGCTTAAATTCTTAAATGTCTTTTAGCTGCTAATCAAATGCTTAAGAGCTGTATATGCACGATATACACACGCTGTCAAGCAGGGGGTCTTCAGCTGAAAAAAAAAAAAAAAACACACATGAGGAAAACTCCAAGCACTCATCCTCTGTAAGCGGCAAACACTTGCAGCGAGGCATAAGTTTCACACGATCTGAACAGAGGCAGTGGCAGAGGGAGTGAGAGGGGGAGGGAGGGAGTCGAGTTTCTGCTGCAGTTCTTTTTGCAGTCATCCTTCATTTGGCCCCGAGCCCAACTTTGTCTCAAAATAAACAATGGAACGCCTCTGTGTTGGCAGCTGCCAGCTAGAGAGTTCCTTGCTTTAGTTGTCCGTTGGCTGGTTTTACCCTACCACAAGACCAGCCAACGCCACCGTCCCGCCCCCACTCCTGGCTCCGGACAGCACTCGACATTTGCGGCGTGATAAGCTTTGATTACATGCCAGACAGCAACTGATCAGCCCCAGCGACTGGTTCCACTCACTGTGGCAGTGCGAAGTCAGCGCTAGAGAGAGTGGCGAGGGCAAAATTCTATAAATATTGCTTGCAAATTGCAGTTGGGGCGACCGCGCTGCGGCCGGGTATGTGCGGGTGTGCGGGTATGCGTTGGGGCAGCAATGAGAAACTTGGCGAGTTGATTCCAAGAAATTTGCAGCAACAATGCCTTGTGACACGCATTTCCTGTTGTTTCCTATGCAGCAGGCAGGCTATAGAATAACTGCCACACAGAGAGAGAGGGAGAGAGAGGGAGAGGGAGGGAAAGAAAGACACATAAATAGAGTTAGAACTTGTTTGGTGGCTTTTGCGCGTGCGCAACACACATTTCCGTTAGCTCAGTCAGCAGCAGCCACCAAGTGGAGATCAATGGACGCGCCAGCAACGGCAGCTGCTGCTGCTGCTGCTTATCGAATCTAAGAGCAGAGCGAGTTAAGCATTTTTAATTGTTGGACGCTGTCCGGAGTACGAAGAGAACGCGTCTACAAATTGTAAAAGTCATTAAGGCTCATTGACCCATTTTGAAGGCAGCTGGCTGTCGTCTGTGCTGTCGGTTGAATAGTTGAATAAGTAGTTGAATAGCTGGGCATCATTAAAATATTCACAAACAGACACACATACTATATGTACATCTGTGTTCTCAATGGTCGAGCGACAAGTTGTCGAACGGTTTGGGCGCGACACATTGCCAGAAGCCGCATTCAAGATCGAACCTGTTTTGCCTAGCAAATTAGCAGCAACAGCAACAATTTTCGCTGCTGCTGCTGTTGGGGCAAATATTTTGTGGTAGCCAAAATAAAAAAAAAAATCGCATAACCGTAACGAGTATTAAATAGCGAATTGACCCAAATCGTTTGGGTGTTAACATTGTGCCTGAAATATCAAAGCGATTTACAGAACACCACGCGAGAAAGTCCGCCATTCAACTAGAAACAGGGCAACTCTAGCTTGTAAATGCTAATGCCTGACATGTTGCTCGATATGAATTTGGGTTAAGTGCGCACCAAGCGACTGCGACTCTGATTAATGAGCCACCTCTAGCCGGCCGTGCCTGGCTACTGAGCCGAGTTTGCGGAATATCTTTCAAATTCAATCAGCATCAGATTCAAATGTGACAGGCGAAAGCGACAGGTAATCAATGCCAAGCGTTAATGCGACTCAATTCTATTTAAAATATGTTTCTATTCTATTCTATTTAAAATACATTTTTGAACATGTTCGACAATCATTGGGAAGTTTCAGGACATTGCCATTCGAAAAGGTCTCTTTGATCTGCTTGACCTCGCGCTCATACTCATACTAAAACTATAAACTAAACAGTTAAATACATACATATTTACCGTGCCAAGCTGGCCCACATAGCTGGTATACCTCAGGGCTTGTTGCTATCTATGCAGAGTAGTACAACTGTTGACTTTAACTCTGAATGCAGCCGAGATGAGTTGAGTGCAAATCATCAGAGATTTATAACAACTTCAGGCACACACACAGGCACATATATACATATTTACTGCTATATTTGCATGGATATATATATATATATATATATATATATAAATATATACACTTATGTACATTTGCTCTGGTCCAGATAGAGTTTCAGATAGGTAGTCCCTGCATATTTCACGAGCCCTGCAGCCAACTAGCTCGAGGATGTGTTTGTTGCCAAAAATAAAAAGCGAAATAAAAAAGCAGCTTGTTGAAAGCATGTTGCAAAATATTTTGTATAATGTTCACTAACTCTTCAACTGTCTGTCTGTCTGTTTGCGTCTGTGTGTATGTGTGTGTGTGTGTGTGTTTGCTGGGCAAAGTTTTTGCGGCGCATGCAAATGAAATGGAAAACACTTGAGCAAAAACTCTAAGCTGCCAGAATGCGACCTGGCTCAGGGACTACGTCGGTCTGACTGTCTGTCTGTCTCTGAATGTGTGTGTGTGTTTGTTTGTTTGTGTGTATGCTTTGCATTTGCCTGATTTTGGGCTGCAGCAAATGTTGCACAAAGTTTTTGATTATGTAAAAATTGCATTAAAGCTGCGGGCGGTCGGGGCTATATAAAGGGTTTTAAGTGCCTGCTGTTGCCTTTCAAATGGCCAATCCCACAGGCAGGCAATCATAATGAAGTCTCAGGTGTGCCAGAACTCTCGCCAGACATTGTGCAGTGGCAACCAGCTAGGCAGCGAGACAGCGAGAGGGTGAGAGTGTGAGATAGAATTGCTTAAGCAGCAGGGCCAACAAACTATTTAGTTGCCCGAGGGGGTCTGGGCGCGATGGGTGGGCCAGGGAGAGGGGCGGGCGCCAAAGAAATGAACAGGACATGCAATTTGCTGGCCAAAGACTCGGACATGCGGATACACACAGTCACAGTCACAGTCACAGCCATAGACACAGATCCTGTCTGTCAATTGAAAGCGCAGACGGCACGGAACGTAACGGACAGCGACGAGAATGGGAATGGCAACGGATCGAGTTAAAAGTGTCGCCCGTTTGTCTGCCACTGTGGCAGCTCGAATGTCCGACAGTGGCTATTGTCATCCATTTGCCACAGACACTGCCACCACGTGCAATTTGTAGACAAAATTGAGCTATGAATGGGCAGCCGGGCCCAGCTGCAATCCAGGGGCACGCCTTTTGTTTATCACAACGCAAACGCCTCGAGGCAGGTCAGCGTCGGCACGCAAGTGCCGCATTTGATGCTACCATTGAGTTCTGGCAGCAGGCATGGCTCCTGCCATTCTCATAAATATTAGAAGTTCGCCCTCAGACAAAACGCCAACGTCAAAGCCAATGCCTACGCCAACGCCAACGCCTAAGCCTACGCCAACGCCTACGCAGTTGCTGCTGTCGATGTCGTGCGGCCCATACAAAGATGCAAAGGCCCAGATAGACAAACAGATTGTCGCCTGAAGTGTCGTATCGCATCGTCCGGAGCGCAGATGGAAATGGAGATGGCAGTGCTGCGTGGCTGACACCATTTGTGGCAACTGCAACCCCTTGACTGAGGCATAGCGTTGGCTTCTACGCCAAAGAGTCCTCCAGCCGTGTTGCCAGTTGACCAGGGACTATGGCAGCATGCAAATGATATTTCAGTCACAATGGGTGTGACAAAACTCAACCTATCGACTATAAGACATTCGATTTGTTATCGATCAGACTAGCCATATGTTATCCATGGGCCCACATAATCCAAAGATACAGCTCGTAGCTTAAAGAATTCAATGTCGATTATTTGCAATCATTTGTCAACACATGTCTCTCTATATACATTGATATATTTATATTGATGACATGTCCAATTTGATCTCTCACACTTATCGATGCGTTGATAGCCCGCACTCCCACTGTGTCACACTTTCAGATTGTTTTCCATTAGGCAGAGGCTTCATTCAGCAGTCCATCTCTGGCCGGATGGACAGCCGCCAGACCGGCCCGGTTGCTGCAGTGTGTTGTACGCTGTGAGAAATATTACACGCAATTTCCAAGTTGACATTCGGCGTCTGATGCTGCGCTGGAGGCTGGGGGAAACGGAAATGGCAGCGCGGCTGGCCGACATATTAAAAATGAATGACGGCATTTCATTAGTAAGCGGCTGACGCTGGTTTCGGTGGTGGTGCGTTGTGTTTAGGGTCGTTGTCGGTGTCGATAAGAAATGCAAAGTAATTTGCCACTGACACCGCGTGGCATCAATTTTAGTTGTAGCACCCGAAAGTAGGCCACAATTTATATATTGCCTGGCGCCTAACTGCGACTACTCAATTTTTCGTTACAGAGACGACGCGCAAGAAGCCAACACAGCTAGAAAGAGAGGCAAAGAGAAGGATAACGAGAGATTTCATTACACAGAGCTAGACGACAGAAGCTTGCAACAATGGCGCACTCGAAAGTCATACTGAAGATTCTGTTCTCGCTGTGCGTTTGGTCATTTGTAATCATTGGCCTGTTCAAGATGCATGGCACGAACCTGGTGCCACAGGACTACCGCCAAGTGCCACAGGACTATCAACAGCTGCCACTGAATGGTCGCAGTCTGCTGCAGAAGGATATGCTACGCTACGCTGAGACAACGTCCACCACCACCGATCACTTCGATCCCAGCGAGATACTCGTCGACAATCGCACAGGTGAGTGCCACTAGTGAGTGCAACTAGTGCCACATGCAGCACATGCCAAGCTATACTTACTCTGTTTGTTCTTCTTCTTCCTCTTCTTCTACTGCAGCCATGGACGATGATCAGCTGGTGCGCGACGTGGAGTCCAGAATACCATCCCTGCCGATCGCCTACTGGAGCAAGAACAAAAACTTTCTGCAGCAAAAGTCCGCAACGTGCGCCAAATACCCATCGATCTTTGAGCTCGAATTCAACAACATTTATTGGCAAACGATGCACACATCGAATGGCACCTTTCAGCTATTTGGCGCCTATTACGACATTCGGCGCGCCTCGCTGCTGGGGCCGACGGTGCGTATTCTGGGCATGATCGATCGGATCGAGCCCAAGGTAAAGACCTACTGTCAGTTCTGGTTCGACGGCCAGAAGGAGCCGTTCATTGTGAAGACATTCGAGTACAAGTACATTTGGTATAACAAGTGGGGCAACTACAAGCAGGGCATCTATCAGCCATATCTGATCGCCTGCCAGATACCGAAGCCCTTCCACGGCGTGGTGCCCAGCTCCGTGTCGATGGTGGAGAAGGAATGCGACACGGCCACCAACAATTTGCGCGTCATCTACAATCGGCCGCCCGATGATCACAAGAAGGGTTTCGCCGTCTGTGTCAAGGGTCTGGACTTTCTCTACGATGATCTGAGCGTGCGGCTAATTGAATGGATTGAAATGTTAAACATTTTGGGCGCCGACAAAATCTACTTTTACAATCTGCAAGTGCATCCAAACATAACCAAGGTACTCAGCCACTACGAGCAGGAGGGCAAGGTGCAAGTGATACCATTGACGTTGCCTGGCGGCCAGCCCAATGTGCCCGGCTTCCAGCATCTCTATCTGACAAAGAAGACCAACCACAAGCGACAGAACGAGGTCATACCTTACAATGACTGCCTGTATAAGAACCTCTATCTGTACGACTATATTGCGCTGCTAGACATCGACGAAGTGATTATGCCCAAGGGCAATTCCATACTCTGGTCCGAGCTGATGGACAAAGCGCGCCCGGAGTCTCTAAAGTTCAAGCCGGACGGCTATCATAGCTACAATTTTCGCAATGTCTACTTCCTGGACGATCAGCAGCACGAGCATGGCTGGCACAAAGACATACCCAAGTATATGCATATGCTGCAGCATGTGCATCGCGCTAAGAACTACACGAAGCCCAATCAGTATGTGAAGTGCTTCCACGATCCGGAACGTGTGCTCACGCTGCATAATCATTTTCCGCTCAGCTGCTTGGGCGGTGTCTGCAAGTCGTATCCGGTGGACACGCAGGATGCACAGCTGCAGCACTATCGGGCCGATTGCGTGAAGACGCTGAAGAAGAGCTGCGAGGAATATCGCGAGAATTCGGTCGAAGACAAGACGATTTGGAAGTATAAGGATGAGCTAATCCGACGCACCATCAAGACGCTCGAGACGCTGGGCTTCTTTAGGCGTAGCGGCGGCCCAGGATTTGGGGGCAGCAGCAGCGGACTCGGCGGTGGCGCCACGACGCATTCCACGGAGCGGTGATTCGCGCTTCTCGGCGGCTGGTCATGGCCCTGGCTGCCTGTGGCGCCCTACGTGGATCCAGCGGCAGCTGGAGCGATGGGCAACGAGGAGTTTTTTGTCTAATGAGAGCGAAATAGAAAGAGACAGAGAGCGAGAGAGAGAGAGTGAGAGATATAGGGAAAGTGAGTTCCTTGCCGCAATAGAGACCGTAAAAGCTACCGAGCCCGCAACTGAACTCAAATCCAAAACTTGAACCCGTCCCCCCCCTAGCCTAGCCTAGCCTAGAGCTCGATTTGTTCATTTTGTGTATTATAGAAAAGTTTATAATTTTTATTTTTATTTTTTTTTTTTAAATAGTTTGATAGTATTCTGTACTTCGTAGCTGCCCCTAATATATATATATATATACATATATGTATGTATATATAAATATAAATGTATATTTAGTTAGTTTATATTATACAGTTATTTTTGATATATGTATGCCCTTATCAACTTCTTACATATGCCCTATCAGATAACACACTCACACACACACACACACACTCTTTCGTATGGCTAGTGTAAAAAAGAAAGCGAATGAAAAACACTTCTGAAATCGTGCCTTCAACTTTAAATTGTAGTGTATAGAGTTTTACTGCAGCGGCTCGCCACGAACTAAGCACTTGACTATACACACACACACAGATGCATGTGTCCTATATATACACACACACATATATATATATAAATATATATATATATATAAATATATCCAAGTATGCGCATGTAGCTGCTTATTGGGAGGTGGCCCAACAAAAACACATCTATTTACTCCTTATTCACAAAAGACGTTACAAATCACAAGTCCAATGGTTAAATTGGTGACAAAATCACAACAAGCATAAAAATAAAAATAATAAAAAAAACTATGTTAAGTTAAAGACTGATGATGTTTATAAATAATTAGAAACAATTGCGAAAAGCTTTTGAGCAAAAAAAAGGAATCGATAAACAAAAATTGTGTGAAATTGAAAACATTTCAAAAATTGATTTAAAAAAAAACATTTTTATTGATATTATGTATTAACTAACTATTATCTGTTAGTATCTGTACTTAGCTACTGAACATGAAATATCACTAAATGCTAAGCAAACATCTGAACAAAACCTAAATTGTAAATAGTTTAATTGTTTTAAAGAAATATATATGTTAAAAAAAAGAACAAAAAACAAAAATAAGATATACACAAAAAAGCACTAAAGTAAAACATATAAATAATTATAATAATAATAATAATAATATTCATATATGTTTAAAAAGTTGCAACCAATTCGTGAGCCGAATTGCTCAAGTTTCTTATATATATATATATATATATATATATATATATATATATTTTTTTTTTTTTGGATTTTTGTTTTTATAATTTTTTCATCCTATAAATGTTAAGCGTATCTGTCTTGTGACTAAAGTTGTGTTCAACTTAATTGTATATAAATTTAAAACGATCTTTGCACGTAACTCATTTTGATTTCGCACTTTTATTGTTTCCTTATTTGAGTCTACTCAATTTTAGCAGCTTAGTCAAATTGTTGGAACTAAATGAAAAGTTGTTTGCATTTTGCATAAGCGTTGATTTGTATGGGACATACTATATACATATGCATATACATATACATATACATATACATATAGATATAAAAATAGATATAGATATAGAAATATCTACACCAGGTTGCAGATACTTAAACTATTGCACTAGATCACATCGATCTACCATTAAATTAAAAATATATACATAAATACAAATATATATAGATATGCCTACAATATAAATGTATACATATATATATATATATATATATATATAAACATTCATAAATGTATTAATGTTAGTTGATATGATGAGACCCAAAATTTTTTTTTGCCTAGCTAATAACAATTGATATGAGAACAAGTGATTGATGAATAAAATTTAAAAAATTGTACATTCACCCGAGTGTTTTAACTCTGAATCAGTTTACTAAATATATAAGTCGCTGTTCAAGTCTTGCTCAAGAGGTTTGCCAATTGGTTTTGCTGCAAGACTGGCTAAGGAATATATATTGAATAGTCTCAATTCTTTTTGGCTGGCTTTGGCTTTCCTTTGTAAGGCTTAAGCCGTAGATCCGTTGAAATACTTAGCGTCTCAGTTGCTTGAGCAAGCTAAGCGGTTCAGGAATAATTCTTTGGGTTTCCTTTGGCAGACTTATTGCCGACGTTGGCTTAAATTTAACTTGAGGTCAAATGGTTGTGGGGCTGCAGCTAAGCACAAGTATACTATTTGGTCCATTTAAGATAGCCAAATTTGAGGCATGCAGTCACAGACTCTCAGACACACACACACACACATACACTTGAATAGAAACAGAAGCGAGGTCTTTTCCAGTTGAGTGGTTAGCTATCCAGGCACCTTGGCTGGAACGTGGCATCGTTGCTTACTGCGCGTCCAGCGTGGCAAGACGTGAGATACAAAACTTCTAAGAATGTAAACAACAAAGCATTTGTTCTCGGGCATAAATGAACCCACTTACGCACAACTTGGCTGGGAGCAAGCAGCTAGCCAGCCAGCCAGCCAGCCAGCCAGCCAGTCAGCCAGCCAGCCAGTCAAGACGGCAAGCAAGGCGTACATACCTTAAGCCACTGCACAAAGAACGTTGTGCTCCAGGAAGCAACGGAAGGATACGAACTACACAAAAAAAAATAAAAAACAAAAACAAAATAAAATAAAAATAAAGAAGGAGACGAAGTTACAGGGTATTTTGGGGTTGGCCGAGCTGGCTGCGTGTCAGCGGCGTTGGCACGGTGGCTGGAGCCAAAGAAATTTGTATAAACGCAACTTAAGTGAGCATTAAACACGCTCCACTGAAGGACTCCGGCCGACGTCGTCCCTTTTCGGAACAGTGGCGCTTAACTTGGTTAATAAACATTACCAACGCCACAAAAACCATTTACGTGAACTATTAAAATTCCGCAGCATTTTAGTTGCCTTTGCCTTGTTTCACGATTATGTTTATTTATATGGCAGCAGCCGAAGCAGTAGATGCTGCTCACACACACACACACACATACACAGACAGTAAAGCTGATGAGGCCTCAGCTGGAAACCCCTTTCGGTTTTGCATGTGCGTTAGCCGTTAAGTGAAATCTCATGGCTGCATGATGAGACTACTTTAAGTCTATATATCCTTTTATGAATATGCACCCATTAAATAGGGGGCTTCTTGGCCCAGCGCCTAAGTTTCCAAGGCGCCTCGTTCTTGTTTGGGTTTATGGGCCATCATTTCGACCTCATATATAGTGTCCACAGCTGGCAGCTTGAGGCGCTCCGGTGCGCTACTCGATCCGGATCGGCCGCTGCCAACCGACTATCAGCACGTTGAAGTGCGATTTATAAATTATGAAAAATACAATTTAGAGCGCTGGCTTGGCTTAAATTGTATGGGGCTAGCGGCCGGCCGACCGACAAATCCAAAATGCTGTTGCAAACTAATTAAAATCTACTATAGGATCGGTGGGCAGGATATTTATAATGCATGCACATAAATCCTGAAATTAAGCGCTTCGGCTTAAAAACCATGCAAAATTAAAATGTGCAATTACGATGCAGTTGCCAGCTATCTGTGTGTGAGTGGGTGTGTGTCTGTGTGCGTGTTTTTGTCTGTTTGCAGAGAGACTGAGTTAAATTAAGCCCATTGCCCAGCGGGAAATTGTTCAACTCTTTCTTTTTAAAAGCTGCTAAATTTGTTGTTTTTTTTTCTGAATTTTGTTAGTTTTTTTTAATAAAACTTTTGCACTGACACAAATAAAAACATGTATATATATAAGTCAGACAGGTTATTTGATAAGACCACAGTCTATTCTAGTTCTAGCTATATTAGTCCAAGTTGCTATTGGCTGCATTTTCCCTGCGAACTGAACTACTGCAGCCAGCGAATCGTTTCCCGCTGGGAAATCGGGCAAGTTGCAGTTATTCTTTTTTAGCTTTTAGCTTTTGGCGTTAAAAACTAGAACCACATGAAATCCGTGCATTTGGTCATTTGCCTGATTTGTCGGTTGATGTGAATAGAGCCAATTGCGGTTTTGACTGCTCTGCAGGTTTTGACCAATTGTGTGTATAATGCGGAGCCATGGAGCTATGCGTGTGTGAGCGGATAATACTTTTTTTGTCATCTAGAAAAGTATATAACAAATTAGTTTTTTTATTGTTCATATTCGCTTTCATTCGTATGTACATTCATATTCATATTCATATTCACATATTTCTGCTCATATTTAGACATTCACACTCTTATTCATATTCGCATTCACATTCATATTTTAAAGCGTTGCATAGGTAGCTAACCACGTAGCTGTCATGTATTCGCATATATATCAGCAGCAAGGATATCACCAGTTAGTTATAATTATCCCACACACACACACACACGCATACAAACTCATATGCATGTAATATTCGCTTGCATATGGCGGTTGATTTTGGGCTGCGTGCTATACGCTATTGAATGTAATTGCATATAAGTATACGCACAACTGTTTGTGTGTGTGTGTGTGTGTGGGCGTGAGTGAGGGAGGCCAAACAGGAAATGCTAATTGCATGGAAGTGTAGACGCCCGACGACATGTGTGTGTCTGGGTGTATAAGGCAATGTGTATGCAAGGCGCGGTCTCAATCGTGGTGCGGAAGAGTTGGTTGGATTGCATTCGCGAAACGCCAGCTCGACCCCACTCCAAAGCATCTAACTGGGTAACCCGACAGACTCGTACAATATTATTGCCCGCAATCTAATTAGCCTCACGGAGTGAAGCAGACAGAGAGAGAGTGAGTAGGAACGAGTGCGAAAGCCGTGAGACCGATTGGCATCGCTTGCCTCCTGTGATCCTTCAGTTGCTCACTTCCCACTTCTAATCCTTGCTGCCAATATTTGCTTCACGTTTTGGTAGCCCTCAATTGGCTGCTGTGTTTGCCTGCTCAAGCTTAAAGTATAGCCACATGCCTGGCGCGTATCCAGACACAGCCACTCGACCACATATACACACACACACACACACACACACACACACACACGCGCAACTGGAGCTATATACTTAATTGAGAAAGGAATTCAGCGGTAATTCAATTCGTTTCGGCTGCGTATATACATATGTGTGCACGCTGAATTGAATGGCAAACGGATCCGGCTACAGCTGACGGCTCTTGTGGCCAGGCATTTGCCTGTTTAGTGCATTTAAAGAACAGCAGCAGCATGGGGTTAAAGCTCCGATTCCCATCACAGGCCGACACAGGCAGTGACACAGTTTTCGCTCCCTTTGCTCTGGCTGCCCATTTGCCACTCACTATTCACACTTGCGGCTGCCAGCGAGAGCGAGTGCGAGTGCGAGGTCTGGCACGTTTTGCTCCTGCTGTCGATTAGTCAATTATAGACAAATGGCCTGGGAGTTGCGCGCGGCGCAATGTAAACAAGCCATCAATAGCATAAAGGAGTGCACAGCGTCGTCCTGAGAAACGGAGAAATGGCGAAACGGCAAACAGCGAAATGGGAGATGCTCGCGTCCAGGTCCAGGCAACAGCCCGAGCGAGCGGCGTGGATGAGATAAAAGAATTATGCATAAGCAGCGGGGCGCACACACAGACACACACACACACAGAAGACACGCCGTCCAGAGCGCAAGACACCCCGGGGCACAATGGAGCGAAAAGCACAAAACGGAAACCACAAAACAGAGAAAAATTTAAAAACAGGTATAACGGAAAAGTGCATGAATAAGTGGAACGCTCTAAAGCGTTTCAACTGAATTAAATGGCAAATCTTGAATCATATATGCGATGGGCGTGGCAAAATAGTGTCAGATATATTGTGAATTGAAGAGCAATTCGAGAAATAAAACCAACAAGATGCAGATATAGATGTCACTGTAGACAGAGCAGAGAAGTGAGATATATGAACAGATGAGGTATTCAGTCCTCAGTTACCAAAAAGGATATTACGGCAATCGAATCGAGAGGGACTGACAAACAGCTCTAGAAATTTGTATTGCATACCCGCAGGGGCGGCAGCTGGCGGGAGATTTGAAAATACTTTTAGCGTGGCGCACTTATCGTCCCACAAATCGGCGCTTGATTTGGACCTGTGTAAAGGTGAAAACATATACAGCACACACACGTATATAGACACACACACATATATACATTCACACAACGAAGCTGTCGTCCAAGTTTTCTGTCGCACAAAACAAAATACCAAATGGATATCGGCAAAAAACAGTCTGGCGCTGGTCATTTGCTTGGCCAGAAGGTTGGCCATGGGCAGGTGGATGCTACTGGAACATAGCTGTGTTTCGGACTTGTGTCCGGTGTGCGGTGCCCAGCGACAATGCTAAGAGATAAATAAAAGTTTTGTCGCCATTGAATGCCAGGACTAGAACAAGGTGCCACAGCTCACACCCAGACAAACATTTATGGAAACTGAACTGAACTGAACAACGGCCAAAGAATGCACAAGTTTAAATTGTATCTGGAGCACTAAAACAGCATCAGCATTGGCATCAGGATGCAGCTAAATGAGCATGGATTCTAGAGTAAATGTCGTCAACATTAACGAATCATTTTTGCACTTTCCAGACGTCACTCTGCTCCATCTTTTAAATTATATTATAACTAACATTATATTATAATTATATAAAATAAATTATTAACTTATACAAAAAATGATTCATCTTAAATGTTCTGATATTTCTTACGATATCCGTGAATAAGGCAAAGTTTTCGGCGATATTCATGCAGAAAGTTGGCTTCATGAAATGATCAGGAAAATTTGCAACTGCTGCCATGTGGTAATCAACTATTCAATATCATAAAATACCAATGATTCGATATGAAAGAGGTGTCAATCTCAGTTGCACGCATGGCCATGGTATATGGCCGAAACAATAACCATAATCGGGCCGATCCAACCCTCGGCTCTGGGCATTTGGGGCTGCAACGGACACACGATTTCCGCTGAATGGCAACTAGAGAATGGTCGACGCTTTCATTGGCAGGCCCAGACCCAACGACTGTACTTTTTGGCTATTGTTGTGCCAGCCCCGAAACAGACAGCCGATGCCTGGCTGCTGGCCTGCCAATGGGGCTGGCAGAGCTGGCAAAACAAACAGAAGCAAAATCTAGTTAATTGGGTAAAATGCTGTGCGGAAATTGAAAGCAAAAGCACAAACACAGAGTCAGCAGCAGTGTTGGCGGCAATGGTAGAGGCGGAGGCGGAGGTGGAGGCGCCACCAAAAGTTGAAACCAGTTGCATTTGGCATTACCGTTTTGGAGCGGAAATGCCTGTGATCCCGGGCAGCGCCTCCGTTCTCCAAAATGCAATAAATATCTAAATTGGCGCATGGCAGTCGCATTTGCATGCTCTGTGGCTGCTGGCCATTGCGCTGTTTGTGCCATTGTTCATCGATTTATGCAAATTTCTGCGCACATTTTATCAATAAACAATAATAAATTAAAATCAACAATCATTGTGCGCGCCGCTCGCCAGGGAGTCCACAGCCAGGCGCCGAAATTGAAAACGAAATTTTTAAATGCCAATTGTCAACGGCCGCTGGCTAATGGGAGAAGGCCTGCAGTCTCGCTAGAGATGGCCAAATGCACAACAACAAGAAACTCTGCTAGTTCTGTTAGTGAAATATTTACAATTTACAACGCACTTGGCTTGCGATAGCCATTATATACTATCGATACTATCGAACAGCTTGAACAGTCATGCATCGATGATGAGCCCAATGATCTGATATAATAGTTAGCTGGAAGTGTCCATCACTTGGTAAGTGGATTTGATATTTGGTTATTCTGCAAGCCATATTTATGCGCATAGACAAATTTACGCGAATGCCATGGCAACGACAATACAACAACAATAGCAAAATATTTCTATATTTGCAATCAAAAATTATACCGAAAAACTAACAGAAACGCAAGGCATACCAAATGGGGGCCCAGCTTCGCACAGAGCTGGCAGCAACAGGCATTGGCCAATGGTAAATCCAAATGTCGCTTTTATGACAAACCACAAATAAAATAGTTTAATAATAATAGCAATAATTTGAATTAGATGGGCTGTGGATAAAAACAAACAGAGCTGTCGGCATCCATACGCTTAAATTGATATAGTATTCTAGATTTCATAGCACAAATATACATATTATTCTCTCTCTCTGAAAAAACAATTTGCATTTAGATTAAAAGTCTGCAAAAGAGTTGTTAGCATGGAAAAAAGCTATAATATTTCAAATGTTAGTTTGTATAGAAAATGTATACAAATGCTGCTGCTGCTGCTGCTGCGGCTGCTCCTCGTGCCATCTATCAAATTTCAGCTCATATTTGGCAATTTGAAGAATGCTCAATGAAAAGTTTGGCACGCGAACGGGCTGAGGCCTGGCCGGCTTGGCCAACAGAAATGCTTTGGCGTCCAGTGAGAAAAGTGCGATAAAGATTAAGAAATAACAGCCGCATTCCTAGCGGGCATCATGAAGCCACAAAGGGGGTTAATTGCGGGGGTGTTCAGCTGGCAGCGCATTGCTTGGTGCTTTTCGTTTCTCCTTTTTTTTTTTTTTGTTCAAGCTTTGGCTTGTTGGGTCAGTTTTGCATACTTTTGTGCGGGGCACATAAAAAATTTGCATTTTCCAATTCACGGCAGGCGTTCGCGTCAAATGAATGAATCGCCAAGCCCAGCGCCCTCGCATTGCAGCACCAACCAGCTGAACATCTGCAGATAGATGGCCCAGTCAATGCATGAGGGCAACGAGGGCAAGGCAGGCGGCTCAGGTTATTCAGATGCAAAAACAACAAGCTGATTGATGATTTATTACGCTTTTGGCATTATTGATATTTTATTTGTATGCGACGAAGTCATTTGCCTCAACTGCAACTGCAATGAAATCAACTGCAGTCTAGCCACTCAGCCTGGGCAGGCATAATTAATGTTTTGTTTGACATCTCTGCACCCATAGCTACACACACACACACTCATGCACATACACACAGATTCGTTGGCGAGGTAAGAGTAAATTGAACTGGCTTTCATCAGAAATTCTTAGCCAACTGGCACTATGGGCTCATTATCCTTCAATCAAGCTGGGCACATGCGAAACCAGGAATCACAGAACTCATTTGAAGTCTGTTTTTATGTGATATTTCCAATTACTATTCTAGCTTAGGCACGCGTCTGCTCGGAAGACAGGTATGCACGGCATGTAGAAAGCAAATTCATGTCAATTGTACTTTCAGGATGTATGTAGGGCACTCGCTGCTCAAAGGAAGTGCCATGGCTTTTTGAGCCTGCAGCTCTCTATATACGCTCCATTACCTGCTAAGATCTCTGCTGAATATTGCCTGCCTCTATCAACTCGTACGGTTGACTTGTTTCCTATATTATTTATCACTTAGCCCATTTAATTCATAATTTTTTCTTAATCTAAGCAACTTTAACTTCTAAGGCAGAGCATGCAGAGTTGGCTATGGAAAAAGGACAAGTAGTCTCAGCCTTTTATTCAATAGAGCACACTCATTTCGATAGTTGGAGCAAAATCGGTAATTCAAACACACTACAGCAATTAAATTTAAAAAATGTCCTTGAACAATTGGACCCGTTCCTGCCTGAAGGCTCGGCGCCTGGCGCTCTGCACCAACCATATGTCGCGCTGCAAATCGGACTACTCAAAGACCATTTGCAATTTGAAGATTAGCAAGGATACCAAGCTGCTTGTGCAGGGCTTCACCGGCAAGCAGGGCACCTTTCACTCTGAGGAGGCTAAAAAGTATGGCACTCAAATTGTAGGCGGAACATCGCCCAAAAAGGCCGGCACAACTCATATGGATTTGCCCGTGTTCAAGAACGTTAAGGAGGCCGTCAAGGCAGTAAAGCCGGATGCAACGGTCATTTTCATACCGCCGGCCTCAGCAGCTGTTGGCATTTGTGCTGCCATTGAGAACGAGGTTGGACTAATTGTGGCCATCACAGAGGGTATTCCACAAGTGGATATGGTACGCATTTTACAGATGCTTCATAGTCAAGAGAAGTCTCGCTTGCTGGGACCCAATTGTCCAGGAATTATATCTCCAGGCCAGTGCAAGATCGGCATCATGCCCGGCCACATCCACAAGCGCGGCTGCGTGGGTATCGTCTCGCGTTCCGGTACCCTCACCTATGAGGCAGTACATCAGACTACCAATGTGGGCTTGGGACAGACCCTGTGCATCGGCATTGGCGGGGATCCCTTCAATGGCACCAATTTCATAGATGCCCTGAACATCTTTCTCTTCGATAAGGAGACAAAGGGAATTATACTTATTGGTGAAATCGGTGGCTCCGCCGAGGAAGAAGCGGCCGACTTCTTAAAGGCCAACAACTCGGGCTCGAATGCAAAGCCTGTGGTGGCATTCATAGCCGGCGTAACAGCCCCACCGGGACGCCGTATGGGCCACGCTGGTGCCATCATATCCGGCGGCAAGGGTGCCGCCTCAGACAAACTGAAAGCCCTTAAAGCCGCTGGTGCATTGATTGCCCTCAACCCCAACCACCTTGGCTCGATTCTTCACAAGGAGATGGTGCGCAAGAAGCTGGTTAGCCCCCAAGAAGTGAAGGCGTGAGTATCGATGGCAGCCGCTTAGGCGAAAAGCTATTAACTGATGTATGCTTCAACTTCATTGCGGATTCGTGATTCTGGTTATTAATAACGTTCAATTATCAAGACTTGCCTAACAAAAAGCACAAACATATCATTGATGTACACACTCTTGGCCAAAAGGGCTCCCAAATTACCTAAAGCAAACACAAAAGGAACAAAGCCCATTTAAATTATGTTTTAAGGTTGGTCGAAAAGCCACACATTATCATGAGACTGACATAATCTTGCATAGTTTATATAATAAAAATATTATATCACGTTTTCAAAGCTACATGAAAATGTGTATGGAGTGCTTGAAGCTGATGGAGGCAAAGCGCCGATTCGAATGACTAGCGCCTAGATCGGCTGTTAAAAATATATACCAAAATATATACTATAAATACATGATTTATATCGCAATTGTATTCAAGTTGAGCAAATTTAAAGCGTGTACAGCGTTTCCTGCTCTGTGGGTCAACATTATTTGGATTGTCCTTGTGCTGTTCTGGTCGCTGGATAGCCTGACCTGCAGCTTGGGGGCACGCAATTACATGAGTTTCATTTGCTTTAGCGCCAACCAAGTTCAGTCAACTTTTGGTGTTATGTCTGTGCGCCAAAAAGCTAATTTTGTTACGTTGTCTGTTTTGTTGTTTGTATATTGTGGGTGCCACAACCACCTTGCCTGTTGTGGTGTTGTTTTTATTGTTGTTGCTGCTGCTGCTGCTGTTGCTGCTGCTGCATGTCATGTCGTGGCGCTATTTTTCCGTGTTTTGCCTAACTGCCGGCTATAAACTAATTACCGCACACTTTTTGCAGTGCTTTGTTGTTCTTTGTTGTTGTTCTTTGCTGCTGCTGTTGCCGCCGTTGCTGAGCGTGTTACTTTCGTACTGTCTGCGAGCTGCGTCCCTGCCAACGATTATGTTGATAATTGGCGTTGGCGTGTCGGCATCACGTGGCGTATGCGCAACATTTGCAGCTGCAGCCAGCGACATCTGCTCCCTGTTGGGCAAGTTACCAGCTACCTGGCCATCCACTTGACAAATATTTAAATCATTTGCTGTCAGGTAAAAGTCAGGTACGGTGTGTATGTGTGTGTGCACTTGTGTATGGCAAGTATGTCTCTTATCCAACTGGCGCATAATTTAACTAAAAGCAATTCAAAAGGCAGCTCAGCGCAGCAACAGCAGCACAAAGTGAAGCCAAGTGTAGCCCGGCTTCAACAACTGCTAAATGCCAGCAGCCATGTACCAGCCACGCCTCTTTTGAATGAGACTAGCAAGTGGGCAGACACACACACACACACACACACACACACACACACACAGAGAGAGAGAGAGAGAAGCACACACTTGAAAATATATGGTAAAGTAAGTTCTTGGCTCTGTTTCTGTCGCCGGCTTTAAAGTATTTGCCCGGCTTTCTTTGCCAGCTGCTTAGGTGTCAACGCTGCACTCGAGCAACGTGCATTCCAGTGAGTTATTCCTTTTCAAGCTTTTTACCAAATCCCACAGCATTGCATACACAGACAGCTAGACACACACGCATTCAAGCCGCAGCCGAGTCCTAGAGCAGTTGAGTTCCCAACAAGTGCCGCACTTCTATGGACGAGTGTGCAGCACAAATGCATTTTCCTTATTAAAAACCTTTGGCTCTGTGTGTGTATGTGTCATTCATTTAAATTAAATAGTATGTGGATTGTGACAAGTGCCAGCCCCCCAAATAGGGTCTTAGCTAGTTGAGCAAAAATAATTTTGGGTTTGCTGTCGTGAGGTGGGACTCGACCGCAGCTACAGTGAAATGCAATTACAGTTGCAATTGAGCACAAAGAAGCTCACAGAGCACTTCGACTTCTGATTGAAAGAGGTGAGACCTCTGCTCCCGTGAAGCAGGTGGTAATTGCTGCTTGCGGTCAGTGCGGTTGTAAGGCATGGCTCCACCTCAGCTTGACATTTGATTAAACGGCATTCGAATCGAATGGCAATTGAGTTTTAGTTTCTTATGTCACCTCAATTTCAGCACAATTGTTCGCTCTTAAAAGAATTCGTACGAATCGAGCAAGTCAAATCATGATTGCTGTCAACGAACGTAGAAAATATGACAGAATTCGTACAAAGCGATTGTATTCATATTGCAATAAATGGAACACACTTCAATTATTGATTCACTCAACACTCGACGGCATTGTAGTTAACCAGCTCTTGTCGCCCATTAAGCACGATAATGGCATTGGAGCTTTATCAACAGCACAGTAAACCACAATTTTGCAGCCACTTGCAGGGCAGCCACATATCGAACTAATTGAAAAACTAAGCCTTCTAGATGAGCTATCTCGAAAAAAGCGCAAGACGGAAGCCCAGTGGTCCCATAAAAATAAACACACGAACACACTCACACAGAGATGTATATGTGGATGGGAGGATTGCAAACAAAGCCCTAAAATGTTGCATTTAATTGGGACGATTGGAAAGTTTTGCCGTTTTATTGCCCCGCCCGGTGCCTGTAACAATTGCAGCCGCATTTTTGCACGTAAAGCCAAATTGGTTTATTTTCTTGCCAAATTCTCGTAACATGTTGTGTCAATGCGATGCTGCATGGCTGGGAGCTGCCAATTGAAAATGGAAAATTTCATGCAAGGCATTTATCCCCAATAAGTCAAAACGAATTTGTCAATTTATGCAGAGCATACAACGGGGCTACGGTGCTGGCCTCGTTCTCAACTGCATCATAAGCCGAGCGAGTTTACATAGCCCCGAACCCACTGAACCACAAGCACCAAGCAATGAGCCACAGGTCTCAGCAAGCCAAAACACTGCTGGCATTGCCATTCGCTTATTTTGTATTTCATTTTTGGCAACTGCAAACAACTGAAATGCTGCACGTGCCACGCCCAACCAAACACAGCGGCAACTCGCAGCTGGCAGCCATCACGGAATTGACAATTGCGAAAATTGTGATTTTATTTGACAAAGTTTCGACTGGAAATAATCATTTGCGACGCATTCAATGATTACTAATGATGAGACATCCCCATCCCAAATGATCCATCGCCATCAACTTTTGCCGCAATTAACAACGCTTTGCTGTGCGCAAATTGATTTGAATATTCAGCTTATGCAATCCATAAATTCGCATCAATTCACATTTGATATTCGATAAGGCTGGCAAAGCTGCGCTGGGAGATTCCTGACATTCCTTTATTTATTTCCCAATCCTTCTCTGTGTATTTATTCATTACAAAATTGCCTATGCATATTTGCTCGAAGCAAATACTATTTATTATATATATATGCAGTTCATCAACTATTTTATTTATAAAAAAATAAAACAGAAACAAATTCCTGGCAGACAGCGCCCTCGAGCTCGTTGCTCGCTCTCGTCAGCTGAATCGCCCGACTGTCCGGCTGCAAACTATGCAAATTTGCTAGCACATGGTTAAAAGCTGTCAACTTTTATGCTTAGCGCGCAAATAATTAGAAAAGTTCGTTGACTGCTGACCAAAAGCCCGCAATGCCCCCCAAAGATAACAGCTGAAAATCATCATGTGTGAGAGGAATTCAATTAAATATGCTAAAATAAATTGTATATTAAGCTAACAAAACAAAGTCAATTTTGATAAGTTACAGTTGATAAATACTCTAGTTAGGGATAGCATAAAAATTATTATTGAAAATTAACCAAAAATATAATGAAGGCCTGATCGAATAAACAAAACGCAAACATCAGATTGAGATAAAGTAATGTGCTTAAAGTTCATTCGGATCTGCTTCAGTTTTTCAGCAACAACATTTAAAATTTACAGCACAGAGGAGTCCGGGGTCCAATTCGCCGGAATAATTATATGCTCTTTTATGAATTTTTAAAGTGTACAGGGTAAAAAAAAGAACATAAATGAAATGGGGGAAAAGTAAACAACGCGCGTTTTAATAGTTTCAAGGGTTGTTGGGATTGAATTAGGGACGCTTGCGGCTGCAAACTTCACTGTCGCAATTAATAAAGTTTTGGCCCCAGCAAAAAACCACTGAAACAATAGCAAAAAAACGTCACATAAATGGCGTGAAGCAGCAACAACAACTGCGACGCGTTTCAGTTGAAAATTTTTGCAATTTGTGGGAAAATGGCTGACATTGCGTATACGCCGCATATGACAGCAAAGCAATTGCCAGCAAATGCTCCCCTTGGCAAGCGTCTATGTATACATCATTTGTCGGCAACCCCACCCACCGACCACAAGGGATACCATACAACCTCATCACGATTGTGTTTTTTCCCACCACGCTGTGGCCTACCAATAGCCGTATCTGAATACTGTCAACATATTGATTACGCAGCTTTAATCAAATTACGAGCAGCCAGCTAGAAACAGATGACACAAGCTGCACATATCAAACCAAAAAGAGTTTCCCTTGCCTTTGTCCGAATTGATTGAAATATGCATTTTTTTACAGTTTCGGATAATCGAAGCGCTTGCTACCGAAAGCTCATACAATAATATATTCAAGTTTTTCTATCGATTTATATGTTTTTGTTCAATCTTCATGAACTTTACCATGCAAGTTCTCTGTCTGCCTCTCTCTCTCTCTCTCTCTCTCTCTCTCGCATTATATCTCTATCCTCTCTCTCTCTCTTATTCACCATCTTTATCTCTTTCTTTCTCTCTCTGTCCCTCTCTCTTTATTTTTCTATCTTTCTTTTTCTCAGTCTCCCTTTGTCTCCCTCTCTACATCAAACGCTTCATCTTTCTTTTCTCCGCTCTATTTCTCGCTCTTCCCTCTCTTTTATTCTCAATTGCTCTCTATATCCCTTTCTTTCTTTCTCACTCATTTTCTCCTCGTCCCTCGTCCTCTCTTTTTCTCTTTTCCCTTCTCGCTCTCACTTCCCTTTTCTCTATCTATTTATAAATTTCTTTCTCTTTTTATCTCATTAGTCTCCCTCTCTCTCTGTGTCTCTCTCTCTCTAATTTTCCCCTTCTCCCACCCTTTCCCTCAGTCTCTATCATGCCATCACCCGCTCTCTCTCTCCCCCTTCATACTCATGCATATATAAATCCTTGTGAACGAGCTCATAGCCGTTAACGATAATTATAATTAGGACATTTAGCAACGCATAGAATACAATTATGAGTATATATGGGCAATTACTATAGAAAAATGTTGCACAGTGTGGTGAACACGAAGTGCTGCCACGGCTTATGTTTTATTAAACAATTGGCAGCCCTGACCACGTGCAGCTACCTTGTGGCTTGGCCTGCAAATATTTCGTTTCGTTTGAGACAACTTTGTGTTTAAAATTCTTTTGCAAACTTTACGCAATTAAACGCTCTTCAAAGTGAAGACATACCTAGGTAGATGGTTACATGTGTGTGCGTGTGTGTGCGTGTGTTTGTGGTGTATGTAAGCTGGTCAGCTGACCGCTGCCACAGCTGAAGTTATTTTTCTACTGTTTTTTTGCAGCGCGTTTCGACAACACGAAAGAGAAACAGCAGAAGTTGCAAAGTGCATTGGTTACTGTGGCAATAACACTCAGACTTTGTGGCATGCTGAGACTTTGCGGTTTTTATGCTCCACTAAATGACGCTATCCAAAAACGTGGCCGTGTGCTTGGACGCGTGTGTGTGTGCCAGCTGAGGTGTTTGGGCGAAAGTTTTGTCGACATCTTAATTTCTCACTTGTAAATTGAGCTGCGCCAGCAACCGCAAATTAGACCCCAAAGTATACGTACTTTGTGGATGCCAAATATGGCCACACACATACACACACACACGCACAGATACAATGTACGCACACTCATGTGTAAAACCAACATGCACACGCATGTCGGCTCACACGGACACAGACAAAGGCGCTTACCCGCACACAGATGCACAGATTCGCTGTGTAACCAAGTTGAAGTGGGCGACGTGAAGCAGGGCAAAAGACAGAATTGAATTGGCCCATAGATTGCGATGAAATTGAGTTTGAATTTGTGATCAGCAGCGGCTTTGATGTGGCCAGACTCAAGATGGGGAGTCTTGAAATAAGCGCCAACAATTGATGCCTTGTATTAATTGCAAATTAATATTACCAATATATAAATATATGATATATTCCACTCAAGCTCGACTAGAGATTTGTTAAGCCTGCTTATTTAATTACTGTATTTGGATATTGTGGTTAATACATTATGATTCATTGGGATCTTAGTTATATTGCTAGAAATTGCCAACAGATAGCTGATAGCAGTGGAGGGCGCGGGTTAAGAACCTGTCAATTTGCCAGTCGCGCATCGCTGAAATTTCCCAGCGGGCGGGAGGCTGCCTCTTTTCACACTCAGTCCGGAGACAGGGACATATACCTAGACACACGCTGGCAGACAAACATGTTGGCGCGCATTTCACACCGCACACGTAGACAAACATTTACAAATGAGCGCTGAAGCGTGGGACACCAGACGCCGCAAATGCCTCAGGTGCCATCAGCTGGGTCCCAGCTGAAGTGCAAGCTTCCGCCCCTCCCACAACTGCCAGCTCTCGCACTCTGATTGCCATTTCCATTTGCCCGGCGCCCGCTCGCTTTCTAATGCGTGCACAATTAGTGCCAGTTGCAGGCAAATTGTGATATTTAATTAAACGTTGGCCACACTGCGAATACCCTTTAGATTGTGTGTTTATTTGTGCGTTACATGCATGTGGAGCTTCTATTTGGCTGGCGCAGCTCAGTCGAAAGTTAAATCCGAACTTTGTTGGCTTGCCTTCGGCCCCAGTCCCCGTGGCACAGTCAATAATTTGGCCAATGACGTGCAATTATTTGCCCAGCCAAGTTTTGAGACAACTCAGCCGCTGACACCACCGCCCGGACCGGCCCGGCCCGGCCCGGCCCGGCCCTGACAGCAGCAAACACTCTCTGCCTGCTTTTTGCCAGCTTTCCTGCATTCTGGCTGGCTGGCAACTGCACGCGTGGCACGTACAAAGTTTGTCTACTTGGCGAGTGCGGAGCTGAAGTTGAAGTGGAAGTTGAAGTTGAAGTCGTAGTCGCAGTCGCAGTCGCAGCCGCAGTCGAAGTGGAAGTCGAATGATTCATGGCCGCTGCAATTTAGCTGCCAACTCGCGAAAAGTACCGGAAACGCATTCATTTTCCGCATTTTTCACATCAATAATAAAGTGCACCCGGCCCAGCCGTTACCCAGCTGCCAATGGCCATTGAATGGCCCTGGCAACTGGCCACACAAACTGTGGCAAACCTAGCGCTGGAAGCTGCAAGAGACAAGCCTAATTAAGTTTGCAACATTTATGACTTGTTAGCTGTACTCCAAACAGTTGACTAACTAACCAACTGAGTTGAAACAGTTGCAACTTGGCCCTTGCCACCGTCGCGACGCCCCCAGCCTTGCCAACTTTCGGCTGAGGGGAAATGAAAAATGTTGAATGCAACTAAAGAAACTAAATTCATTTACAGAATGCAATTGACAGTTCGTCATCTTAAGAATTTCAATTAAAATTTGCTACGTTTCGTCTCATTTCCGAGACAAAAATCGATGGAAATCAAAATGTTTTCTCAACTTATCGATCAATTGTATACTTTTGTCTCTACAATGTGAGAAGAGAAAACTTTTCCAACTATTTTATTTCATTCCAATTCATTCCATTCACTCTGTTTCATTCTCACCCAGTCAATTCCATCTGGCTACGCAGCTCAAAGCATGTGCCAGCTGCAAAGTTGAAGAGATATTTTTCATCATTTCTTTTGCAGTCCATCCCAATCGCGTTCCCATTCCATTCCATTTCTTGCCACATGCCACATGCCACATGGCAAACCTTTTAATTCCCGTTCCGCTCAGAAGAGAGAGAAAAACTGCGTCCATAAACTCAACTAAGCCACGTAAAACTCCATTCATTTCACGCTTCGCCTGCCAGCAAATGCCCGACCCAAAAGATGTCGGCGTCATCTTCAACCTCATTCGTATCCGCATCGGTATCCAAGTCCGTATCCTCGCTGTCCAGCCACTACAAGTATTGAACTTTGCTGTACCGCGGTCGCTGTTGTCTCCATCGCCGGGGAAACGATGACAGTTGCGCTTTTTTTACGCAGCTCTCGCTTAGATTTATACGCAATTTTTTATGATTTACGAGATGGGCAGGCAGAACACACTCATTTCAAGGTAATCTTTGGGCTGGGCTAGCGCAACGGTAAGTCGGCCAGCTGGTCAGTTGGCCAGTTGGCTTAGCTGCCAAATCAATTTGCTTGCCAGACTGATGAGCTGGTCAAAGTCCAAAGTGCGCCTCACTTGGCTAAACCTTTTCGCATTTCCCAAGCTGTTCGAAACTGTGGCTCCTACTGCAGCTGCCCGCCACCTAGACAATCCCATTCTCATTGTTTTGCCAGCGAGTCGCTGATAAGACACCGGCCCAGTCAGCAAACTGAACGGACAGCGAACGACACAGCGCGCACCAGACAGACAGCTGACCCGGCTGCTAACTACCCGATAAGCGCTGCAATGTGCGGCTGCTGTTGCTGTTCTTACTGCTGCTGCTGCTGCTGCTGCTGCTGTGACTGCTGTGACTGCTGTGCCTGCTAGTTGCTGGCTTCTGGCTGCTGCCTGCTGGTGGCTGCTGTTCATATTTCAGACTCGTGTTTATGCAGCTTTGAACTTAACACTTTGCGACTTTCAGCTTGCTGGCGGGCATTAAAAGCGAAGCCGTTAAGCGGCTTAAGAGCACATTGCGCATACGCAGCGTGGACTTTATTAAATATAATTATGAAATACACACGAAGAGGAGTATGAAAAAAAAATAAAAAAAATATGGGAACAGGCGTGAACAAAAGTTTGTACAATGCACCGCATTTGAGATAATCTCTACAGCTAAATTCACTACATTAGAGCCGAGCCCAGAGCCAAGATAATCGTTGCTCCAGCTGCGGTTGTCCAGCGGCTGGTCGCGCCCGAACGCAGGCCCAGTGCCTCGCTGCGGTCCCTGGCCACACGATCGACGACCTGCTGACAGTTGGACTCCTTGCGCACGTAGCGGAACATCGACTCCACGATGTTGCTGGGCGTGATGTTGCTGCACGTTTCCAAGTGGCGCACGACGCACGACTCGAAATCGTGCAGCTCGGTGCACTGGCGCGTGCCGAGCACCAGCTCGGGCAGCTCTGCCTGCGATATGTTCAGCTGGCTGGGCATATAGTGGCCGAAGGACTTCTCCAGGCAAGTGCCCACATTGTCCTTGTGGTGCTCCAGACACTCGGGCCCCTGCTCAGCAATGAACAGTGCTATCTGATCGCCGTTCTTGTAGCAGACAAAGTCGAGCAGCTTGCCGATGATGCGCTGCAACACGGCGTTGTGCTGGCGCTCCTCGCGCGTCAGACAGGGTAGCAGCACCGAGTTGAAGTCCGTGAGGCACTGGCGGGCCTGTGGCAAGCGCAGGCAGTACTTCTCAAAGACAACGTCGAGGTCGCCGAGTGGTCGCGCCTGCTCTACCTCGTCCAAGACGACAGTGATGTTGGCCAGCCCATTGATGCACTCCATCAAGCGGACACCAGCTTGCTGAATATCCTGCCTCAGCTTGGTCGCATTCACTTCGCTGGCGGGCAGAGCGGCATTCGCCTTCTCGCACTTCTGCTCCAGCAGTCGCTCCAAGTCTGCCAGGCTAACGTTTGCGGGCGAATAGCCAGCGGGTAGATAGTGAGCGCTCAGCTCATCCAGATCCTTAATATTGGCCGCATTCGGCAGCTGCAGCTCTGCGGCGACCAAGCAGCAACAGCAGCCAATCAGCGCCACGCACAATGCGAGCAGCTGACGCGAACCATTCAACGTTGTCTCCATGACTGCCAACTAGCAGCTAGCAGCTAGGCCACGCTCTCACTCTCTATCTCTGGCATGGAGCTGGCCGCAGCTGTAACTATCGCTGGCTAGCCATCACCATAGGCTTATCTTATCAGCGGCCAGCGCCGACACACTTTATAGGCTTCGCCCTAATGCGACTGCGTCTCGCGATTAACGCTCTGCGGTCAATGTACGAGATTATCACGTTGTCAGCGTCAAATAAACACTTCCATAATCGCACCAGAATGCACAAACACATAGAAATACATATAAATATATATATATATATATATATATATATATAAATACATATATATATATACTCTTATGTGTGGCAAGCAATTTATCAGAGCAAAAGGCAGAGCAAAGCTACAAATTTTGAAACCAATGCAGATTAGAGTTAAGAGCTAAGACTTCAACGGAGTGGGAACCGGAAGCAAACATAAATCGGCTGAGGGTTAAAGTTAGAGTGGAGTTTCAGTAGCATAATATACACAACATAACATGACCCTCTATTGGCATGTCTTATGTAAAGAACAGCTCTTTTAGTCCAGTCCGTAAATGTAGTCCACTTAAGCAAACCGATCAAGAAGCTCTAATTGAATGGCTTATGCAATCAGCAAGTGAGTGAAAAGCCTTGTGTCCTCCAGTTGGCCTGTGTGCACGGCGATAAGCGCCAGTCAGCATGAGCCAGCATATAGAGATTGTATTGTTTTGGATCGAACTTGATCCATAGTTCAACTCTCCAAATCGAAGCTGATAGGGAGCTCAGGAAATGATGTGTTTGACTCAATTCCCGATCGATTATCAGCGCGCGAGCTGGCAGGCAATAAACGCCAAGCGATTCCACAATTTTTGATAAGTTTTCCAGCAAGGCTATGCCACTGTGCGCACGCGAAGTGGAGGTGAAATTTGAGCTGCAGCAGCTGCTGGCAAAACTCAAATAGAAAAACGCAACACGAACTAACTAACAACAGCAACAGAAACAACAAGCGGCGAAACAAAAACAAAAAAATTTAACAATTTATCTTCGTTTGTAACGGAAGTTGCAACGCAATAAACAACACGGCAACACGGGAGGCGTGCACCAAGGAGGCGTGCCACGAAACTTTGGTTGCATTACACAAAGAATTTTCGGGTTGCTGAAATAATACAGCAAAATTACAGCTAACTGCGCCTCGAGACGATTTGGCTGCAAGTGAATGAAGCGTACGAAAGGATTCTAAAAAATGATGGCAATTAATTGTTGCTGTTGTTGCTGCTGCTGCTGTTGCTACTGCTGCTGTGGGCGTGGCATGCTGCAAGGAATTGGACTTTAGCGAGTGCTGCCTGGCATCGCCTCAAACTAGCTGCCAGCAATTAGTGCGCTGGCATTTCTCAGAAAGCGCAAATTTGCATTTATCACAGCCGCAGCACCAAGTGGTGAAGTAGTGAAGTGGTGGTGGTGCAGTGGTGCAGCGGCGCTATATCGAAAGTCCTTTCGCATCCCTCCTGTCTTGCGTTTACATTTCTTCAAAACTTAGCTGGAAACCCAACTTAAGCTGACTTTGAGTTTAACTGCAACAGTAGCTGCCAAAATAAAGTGCGGACTTCTCGTAAGGCTTACGGCTTAGGCACCACCCATTCGCTGGTAATTGGTGTACGTCAAACATTTTGCGTTGCCATAGCCATGGCTTAGCTGAATCCATCTGACTGCGACAGTGACTGCCAAAAAACAAAGCATACCAGCCTCAAGTTAGCAAAGCTGTTGACTCAATTTCAAAGACTGCACAGTGGAGCGCCGTAGCGGATGCAACCATTATAGCTGCCGAAGCACCACTCGACAGCAACACAAGTGCAGCAGCTCAAGCATTTCGAGTAGATATTGCCATTGGCATGCGCTTAGCTTAGCTTGATGAGCTGAGTCTGATTTGAAGGCAACGCCGACATTGGCTGCCAAAATTAAGTGCATGCTCGTTTATTTTTAGCCGATTGTTGACTGGGACTGTCACAATTTTAATGCTCAACTTGCATTGTAATTGGCACGCAGCAAGTTTGCCAAGTCCCTCGGCTGGCCGAAGTCGGAAGTGCGGCCAACTAATTGCAGCTGCCAATAAATTGCAACTGTGCAGCCGCTGCTGCAGTCGACGTCAACGCCAGCGTCAGCGTCAGCGTCGCCATTTGCCAATTGCTTTTTCAACGTTTCCGTTTCCGTTTTTGCAGTGTGCGTGTAATGCCATTTAGAAGATTACGATGATGCTCATGATGAGCATCTGGCAAATGAAGTTGTTTTATTGTTACGCACACGATTCCAGCAGCTGCTTGTTTGCTTCAGCCAGTCTGTGTCTCTGTCTGTGTGCGAGTGTGTGTTTACATCGGCTAAATGGCACCCGTATTAGTATGTATCTGTGTGCATTTCAAAGCAAATATTTCATTTCCATAATCAGGCGTCGTCTGAGCAACAAATTGAAGCGCATGCAGGAATTCTATAATACGTGCATATTTCTATATACATAATTAAATGCACACACTCACACACATGTCTTATATTAAGCCAATTAAATGCTGATTATAAAGGTACTCGAAAGCACACGCTCTGCGCAATTAATTAGCCCAAATTTGCAGCTATTAAGCGAGTGCTTGATCAAAATGCATATGGAATATGTACATATATATAAACATATATACAGATATATAAATTGAATTTGTTTTTTCCCAATAGGCGAGCTAAATGAGAATTCGTTGACAGCATTTTAAGAACTTGGTTGACTTCGCAGCATGACGGCCCTTTGTTGATGGCGACAGTCAATGCGCTGTGTCCAAGCGGCTACAGCTAAAATCCATTAAGCAACGCATTGCAATTAAATTGAATACAAACCGCAAACACAAATTCCAAATGGCAAATGCCGAATGGCAAATGACAAATGCCAAATGCCAAATGCCAAATTTGGCAAATGGATGCAAAATGCTTGCTTGGCCCTCGCAACTGAAAACAGGCCTGGCAACTGGAACGATTACTGGAGGGAACTTTTATCGCCTCGACTGCACTGCTGCAACGCAAACGCCAACGCCAACGCCAACGCCACCGCCAACGAAACTGAAAACGAAAACGAAAACTATTTCGAGTGAATAGAGCAATAGTCGAAACCCAAACCGCAATACATTTTTTTTGTCATAAAAAAACCGAAAATAAGAATTGAAAACAATCAAAACTAATATGGGATCAGCATAGCCAACTAGTGGGATACCACGTAGATTAGATTAATGTCTTTTCCAATAGAAAATATCTAATGTTGTTCCTTGCACACAATATATATCGCCTATGATTCGATGTTTTACTATCGATCCCGCCAGAAAATGCTGCATCGATAAATATTCAAGGCGCAGCATAAATATTGATAGCTGGAGCCATGGCATCGACAGCTTAGCCAGCTCTCATGCCCATTTCATGGCACATGCCAAAAGATAAAAATAAATGCATAAAACGCTTCTAAGCTGACAAAGACGAGCAGCATGCAAAGCGGGTCACGCCTATTCACGATAGTTGAGTGCGCGTGACACGAAAGGGGATCAAAATCCAAATCAATAAACTGCCAAACATTGTGTCAAGCGGCTGCGTGCCACAACTATAAAAGCTATAAACAAGAAAAAACAATTGCATTTCACTAACAGCAGCTTGAAAAGCGCTTGCAACAAGAGAGAATCAATGTGAAGCGTAGACACACAGCTCCAACCCCAACCCCAAACCCAATCCCAACCCCAACTTTTCACCCGACAACCACAATCATCCCATCCATATGCGACTGTGTGTCCAAGTCTTTGTGCCTGGCGCATGCAGTGTGTGCGACAATGGCGTGTGTCAACTGCCATCCAACATGATATCTATCAAATTGCTGGGATTTTAGCTGATGCTGTTTTCCAACAGCAACAACAATAGCAGCAATAACAGAAAACAAAAGCTGCTGCGCTTGGCAATCATTATAATTGTCGCTGTCATCAATCGTTGGATGATTATCCGCGCCGTCGGCTGATCACCATGATTAGGACATTGATGCCGCCTACTCGCATCACACAATGCTTTACATGATTTGGCGATCCATTGCGAGGTGTCGGCCACAAACACTTTGCCCCAATCAATGATTGCACTGCCACTGCACACACATATTGGCATTCGATGCAGCCTGAAAGTATGCAATGCAGAGTAGCCAGACGAAGCAATAGGGGATCAGGCGGACATGTGTCTAGGCTTATTAAGTATGTTCAGTCTTAAAGGGGATGTCTTCTTCTTATCACAGAGAAAGAGAGAGAGAGAGAGAGAAGCATGCGATATATACTAGTTAGTTTATAAGTTGAGATAGAAGGGAGTTTTGTTAAGAGGCTTAGAGCTTTGCCTTGGCAGGTCTGATTTACGAGACATTTCATTTCACAGCTAAAATATGTTTGTTATTGAGCTTGTATTGACATCTTCTTGCAATAGGCTTACACTAGAGCAATGCTTGCATATTGTTTAAATTTAGTATCAAAACTTACATCGTCCATAAGCATGAAGCACATTTTGGTTGAATGGGTAAATAATTAAGCAGAATTGTCGTATTTACCGTGAATACAGTTCACAAGATTTGGCGTGACACTATTACCTCCACTATTTGTGCGCTTTATGAGCTGACAGAGTCATTGGTCCATAAGTATTCAAAATCGATGATGGTCATTGATTGTGTAAATTGGTGCTTCTGTGTGCACTATATAGCTAAAATTATATTGAAACAATAATGTGATACAATTTCATATTCCATAAAGTTAATTGTATTTATATTAAATTATATTTCTTTGCTTTATTATCGCTTAAGCATGTATAGCTCTGAGATAAACACTCGATCTATATTACATCAGGCGAAGCGAGTTATTAGCTCATATAACTCGAATAACTCAATTCATGTGTTACAATTTCTAAAAATAGCACATCCATAACATATGTATTTTACGAACGTGTGTGTTTTGCAATAAAAATAAAAAAAAAAAGAAAATATTTCAAATCTCAAAGCGCAAAATCAAATTCTAAAAAATTTGAGCAGATTAGCAAATGCATTATATTTGTTTACACAGATATTGGAGCGGCACAACAATGGGGTCAAAATGTGTGTATATATGTCGGTTTGTATGTGTGTGTGTGTGTGCATGTTTTGGCCATAAATCAACAGTCTATCGCATTGTATTAAAAACTTAGCATTGGGCACATTTTGTACCCATTTCAATGCCAATCGTTTGACTGCCAGCCTCCCAGATAAAGTCGAAATTATATGAGCATTTTATGGCCAGAGCCCCAGAAATCAGTCAGTTGTGAATTGAAACGTTGCACGGACTCAGAACCTGCCGCCACTTCACTACACAGACGCAGGCACAGGTTGGCCCTTTATGCCGCACGGCAATCGCAAGAGCTCAAGGACTGAATGTCGATGAATACGATATGATACGTTTGATGCGTGCGTGCGTGTGGCCCGATGTTTGCCGATGTGTGTGCGTGTGTAAGTGAGTGTAAATATGTGTGTTATATAGCAAACGCCAGACTTTTACACTCTGGCGTAAGGATGGGCATCCTAAACAGTTAAATATGCTGCAATTACATGAAAGTTGGATTACTAAATGTATTCTATAAATCATTTGTTCTTTAATAATTAAATAGATTATATATTAAAAGACGTCTTTGTAAACTCTAAATGAGAAACAGCAACTGCCTTGCTCTTTGGGCCACACATTCATCTGAAACTCCACGATGTCGAAGGATATCAACAGATCCAGAGAGAGATCAACAGATTTGATATTGATATCCGAGCTGTCAATCGAACAAACGACTTCAACTTATCGTAGACTTTCATATAGGTCCTATGTTTTCAAGATCCTTCGCCCACTGCATAGACATATGCTAGGGGTTCGACGAACCACACGGACTAGAGTATAGCATAGTGAACCACTTGACAATAGTGAATTGTTTCCGGTTCGCTGTTTTTGGTTTATTCCAGTTTTTTTCTGTTTCGTTTTTTTTTTTTTGCCACTCCCTTGAGTTTTTCATGTTGATTGCGTTTGAATTTCCGCTGGCTGTTCCGATATGACTATGCTTGCCATTCATCGAGATTTTCTTTTTTTTTTTTGCGAAATTCAATGAATTTGAGGAATACACAAATCTGAAGAGCGCGCAGCCAGCCTGGCTGCGTCTTTGACACAGTCACACAGACAAAATAGACAAACAAGGCGGAGAGTGGGCGGGTGCGTGGATTGGCTGTTGCATGCTCGACGCTGCACAGCATGCGGTATATGGTGTATGGTATATGGTGTAAGGTATACGGTGTATGATGTATGGATGGTGTGGCATATGGGCAACCCGTGCTCCTACAAACATGTTTGCATTTCAAATTCGACCGTCAGTTCCTTTCATTCCTTCCATAGGCAGCATGCGAAATTGGAGGCCACATACGAATACGAAAACGAATGCGAAAAAGGGCCGAAATAAACGCAATCACAAAGAAGGGGAGACAGGCCGACTAAATGTCTGGCTGACTCACTGACTGGCTGTCATCGTGTTTGCTCCTGTAAATTGAGCACCCCGCTCAGTGGGCGGCTGACGTGAGTTTATTAACGTTTGGTTTGGGCTCCAGCCAACATTCTCGACTCAATGACAGCAAACATTTACATTTTGCATGTTGTCAGCGCTCGATTCACTAACGCCCCCATTTTGGCCGACCCATTCAAAAAACGCTTCCCACTCTGCCCACTCTATCTCTGTCCCTGTCTCTCTGCCCTGACCCCTTTTCGCTTTTGAATGCAGAGGCTTTGTACCTGAGGATTTACTTAGCATCAAAGTTCTTTGTTACTTTTGCACCTTTCTTGTGGCTGTTGGCTGTCAATTGATAAGACTCAATATATATTTATATATAAAAGCCAGCCAATATTTATTCAGGAGTAGTCAAGCGGCAACCTAATGAGAAATAAGAAATTTTAACAAAAGTATTTTAAATTGACATCTCCTGAATTCGAAATATAAATGTTAAATTTCTTTAATAACTTTTAATTGAAAATTTAAATTGTACTTAGATTATTGTACTGAATTTTTACACCATACACAAAAATCACACGTCTTTTCGTCTGTCCGTATGTGTTAATGCGTCGATCTCAACATCTATAAGAGCTAGAGACTTGAAATTGTATATTATAGGCTAATATAACTTAACTTGAAAGACATAGCAACTGAAGCCTTTCCACTGAAACTATGTAGACAATACACGAACCCACTCCGATCTTTGTAAGGCAGCAAAGCTTATCATAGTTCATCCCATTCACAAACCATAGCCAAGACACCCACTGATCAGAGCAAAGTCAAGACATAAAATTGCGTGCAGCGCACGTCGAGCTGTGACTAGCTTTTGTTAGCTTTAGCAAAAAAGCTCAGCTTCGTCTTCCTAAGCTTTACTCTTCACAGTTAAAGCAATCCAGAGGTTTTCAAGCTAATTGTCAAATAAGAGAATATTTATAGAAAATATAAGTGCTAACTGATATAAATTTACACATGTATATATTTATGTAAATATTTCGATTAAAAATGCAATTTTGATTACTGTGATACTGTGTGTAATTATACCCCACATAAGAGCCTTTTAAGCACGGGGTAGACTCATAATTAAACCTCGTCATGCGGTGAGCAATAATAACACGTTCAAGCAAACAAAACTCAGCAGCTGTTTATCAATTTGGAATCTTTTGTCATTAATTAACAATGCTTAATTGGTGTAGGAACCACGTCTGCTGCATTTACTGATGGGAATGCACGTGCCAGCGGAATCGCGGGCATATCCTTTGTTGCAATAGCAGCCGTCGGGGCAACGGATATGCCTGATTAGACAGGGCTGGCCCAGGGTAGCGCACTCCGTCTGGCAACTGGGACCGCACGGCAGAAAGGTCTCATTCGAAGGACATTCGCGAGGTGCTGCAAAGGATGTGCAAGGATTGCATTAGCTGGGCAAACACTGCACCATCAACACTTACTGATAGGCGGCTGGGCAGCCACCAAAACCGAAAGGCAGACTGCAAGCAGCAGGCACGCATTTAGCACTTTGCACGCAGACATTTTGAGCTTCTCTAGATTTCCAGAAATGTTTCCAGCTGTAGAACTTGTTGACAACTGAACTGATTTGCATGAGTCAAGCGTGTTTTATCTGTATTTCGTTGCTCGCTGGGGAAGCACCTGCGCAAATACTGACTGAGTGGCTTTCAAAGTGTTAAGGCCGCAAAGTATGCTATGAATTGTGTTGAATACATAATGTGAGAAATATTTGTGATAAATGAGCTGTCAAAGAGAGACTAAAGCTGTTCAAATAAATTGAACAATGCGTCGAGACGTGACTATTTTTAAATTGTGTTGAAGTATTTTTATACACTTCTTATCAACAATATGAGTACATAATATCCTGTCTGACTATTTATAGAGCGTCGTTTTTGTTTTTGTTTTATTTTTTTTAAATATTTCCGTCCACCTGCCTGAATAGCTCTCCTCTTCCATAACGGTGATAACCCAACCAGTTTAACCGGCTAGATATTAGTCGTCCGTTCGTTTGACTGCATCTATATCTCAGTATCTTCCCATGGTAGATAGCTCATTAAATACTTGACATTCTATAGAAACAAATTCCATTAAATATTGGCCACGTATTTTCTTTTAGTACAAAATCCATATCAATGAAACACGATTATGAAATGTTATCGATCGTCGTTTGTCCGTCAATTGCTTTGCTTTTTTAGCTATCTGGCTACACTGCATGCTGCCAGATCGTGGCTAAATCACACGCATCTGGCAGCGCTAGCTGAGCGACTTGAACAGGTAAACGGGTCGCAATACTTGTTATAGCTGTGTACCTGTTTTTCGTTTCTTTTTGTACCGCTCTCTCGCTCTGTTTGCGAGTCGCCGTCTCCTTCTTCGCGTTCGCCTTAGTTGAGTTTTGCATGCGGCGCGTTCAACAACGAGGCAAAAAACGTAACGCGATTCGGATTTTTTTTCATTTTTGTTGTTGTTTATTTTTTTACTTATTTTTTTGATTTGTGTTCGGGCATCTCGACGGCAACAACAACAACAACAACGGGATATAAAGTGAATATTTATTTTATTGTGTTGTGTTCTGTGCCAAAAGCGTGAGTTGCCTTTGCCAAGTGGTGTCTTTGGCTTAAACGATGTAAATGGCCGATAGTGCTAAAGAAGCGATCAACGGGCCGTTGCGGCCTTTGAACTCTGACAGCTTTTGACATATGTTCAGAGCTTTGGTCGCCCACTCTTCGCAGCTCGCACTTCTTTGACTCCCTACTCATTCACACGCTTGTCCTCTCACTTGCTCCTTTGCACTCTCACTCTCTCTCTCTCCCTCTCTGTAACTCTCGCCTCTCTCTCTCTGTCTCACCAACTGAGTCCTTCTCTGTCACTCAGTGGAGTGCTAACCAGGCCATGCATTTTTCTGTTTTCGCAACAAGACGTCAATGGCCAAAGGCGCTGCCAGCATCGTCGTCGTCATTTTTCGAAACGTTCTCGCTTTGTTGCATTCCAAAGTAAATGCTACTAATAACAAAAAGGCAACAACAACACCAACAACAACATAGTGGTAGTAGTTGTAGTAAAGAGAAAAAGGAAGGCAATCCAAAGCGGCGGCCGCTTCCAATAAAATGAGGAAAAATAAAAAAGTTGCCTGACTTGTTTCAGCCACGATTGTGAGAGTGTGTGTGTGTGTGCTTCTATGTGTGTGTATGTATCGAGAGAGTAAAATACTATGTGTGTGCTTGTGTCTGTGTGTGTGCGCATTGGTTTAAGGCGGTTGGCTTTGGGCATGCCCAAATGCCTTTCTGGCCAACTCAAAGGCTAAAGCTAAATTCGACATAAGAAATTTAAGCAAGTTAAATGCCAATAAAACTCAACAATAAACTATTTAAATAAGTTTGGCAACAAGAGCCAAAAGTCAACAATTTAAGGCAATTATTTATTATTATGCAAAAATTTGAAAAGCCAATCGAATATTTGAAATTAGTGAAATTAATGCGGCCATTAGAGCGCCTCTCTCTTTCTCTTTCTCTGTGCGTGCGCGTGTGTGTGTATACAACAAGTTCGTTGCCTAAGTCATTTGTATGATAATAAGCCAAGCAGCAACGACTGCAGTTAATCAAACCTAATCCCCACGCAGCTGGACGTACAGTAGACAAAGAGAACAACAAATAGATGCGAGGCATTAAAAAGCCATCAGCTGTGAATTAGACACAGAATCGAATTTATATGTATAACTGAAGTAAATTGCAAGCTCTGACTTACACTGCTTAGAAATATTTATATATATATATATATATTATTATATATATATATTATTACAATATATATATGTATATGTATATATATTACAAGCAACTGTAAACTCTCACGTTAAGTCTCAGGCAGATCACAACCCAGAAACCTAAACAAATTAGATACAAATACAAATACAGTCGCTCATAGCATATATGCACACATATGAGCAACTATACACACACACATATACACACACTTATATATATATATAAGACGGCAATTTACGACGAGGCGTCGGCGACTCCAGTTCGGGACGCTGTCGCCACATTCCACGGTAAGTGGAGGCCATAAATTTACAGTGAAAATTTGTAGCCCGAAAATGCTTAAACATGAAATTTATTAGACAAAGCCAGGAAAATTAAAAAAAAATACCAACAACCAAAATTAATATGCGCCGGGCAGTGTGGTGCGTAAATCAAATGAGAGAAAACACAGACGCAGCATCAATAAACGTAAATAGATACACACATAGGCATAAACATATACATTAGCATATACGTCTCTGTGGATTCTTTGGCTTTTCAAGCGATTTGCATAGATTAAGGGCACTGGGAATTGGAAATTGAAAATCTTTGCTGGTCGGGGCACCCGGTTGCTGCTTGCCGATGCGGTGGGTCAATGCCATGGCATGGCATGGCATATGAGAACGGTTAACGTTGATAACGGGTCTCTCTCGCTGGTCTCGCTCGCTCCATTGCTCCCTCGCTCGCTTGTTCTCTGACTCGCTTGGTGGCAGGCCACTTTCTAGTGCTCCTTTTGGCTGAGCTGGTCGCCACACTCTGGTCGCTGCTCGCGCTTTAGTCTAATGATGTCAATTACATCGTGCCACTCGCATTGTGGGCAACAACAAATGCATGCCAGCTTATATGGCAGCAACAATGTGGCCAACAGCAGTAGCGGTGGCAGCCGCAACAACTAGCAACAAGTGTCTCGGACTCGGCTACAACTACAACGACTTCAGCTTCATTAAAATTGCTTTTCATTTTGGTCCACGTCTTTCATACAGATACGTTTTGGCTTTTCTTGCACGGTTTGTTGGCTTTTCAACAACGGCAGCAGCAAAATGGCCAAAAAATTTTAATGAGATTTAATGAAATTGTATGAGCATGTGGCCGGCCATAGACAAGTTACCAAGTAAAGGCCGCAGTGACCAATCGCAGCAATAACCGCAAGCAAAGATTTCATTTCATTTCATTTCATTTTGGCTCGCTAGAGACACAAACAAAAGACTTAGGCAACGAACTTGAACAAATCCATTGCTATTTCATGAACAGAACGAGCACAGCGCGAGCTGAGCTACAATTTCAGTTGCCTTGGGCAACATACGCACACATACACGACCACATACTTGATGCTCAACAAATTGATTGCTTTGTTATAGTTTTTTTCTTCTTATTCAAGTGCTTATCAAATAATGTGCTTTGAAAAATATCACCAAATACTTAAGCACTTAAACATGAGTAGCAGCACATTTATAATGTGTCGTCTTCAGCTTGGCACGAACCCCTTCGCCGTGGTGCATCAGCGTCAGTGCGCTTCATGTTAATCAACTTTAAATTTATGGCTCAATTTTTGGCTGTGCTTAAGCAAATTTTTTACCTTGAAAAAATTGTTAAGAAAAAACAAATGAGAAAAAAGAAGAACGTAACAAAATCGCTTCACGTCACGCCCACGTTTCTGACTTAATGAGCCTGCACTGGGCGGCAAAGGACAGCGAGCGGCAGCGGGGAGGAGCATCCTTTTCACTTCGGCTGTTTACGCCCAATTTGTCACACATTTCAACAGGTTGCGAGCAGGCATCATCAAAAAGCGAACGGCGATGGCGATGGCGACAGCGACGTCAACGTCGAGAATGACGATGGGGCTGGCGATGACGAAGACGATCAACGAGCCTCCTCAAACGGAGACTTAGCCCCAGCTTGGACTCGGATACCAGATCTGGGGATGGGGCTGTCTGTCCAGCCTGGGTCGGGGTAGGCGTTGTCTTGCGGAATTTTCGGGCATGCCTCACGGGCGTCTGAAGCGTGAGGAATTTCTTTTTCGCCGTTTGCTGTTGACTCCGCCTCAATCGCTGTGTGCTGCTCCCGCTGCTGTTGTTGTTGTTGCTGTCCTCTCTAAGTGAAAAATTATGCAAAAGTGTTTTATTTTAATAGCGGAAATCATTTATAGATGTTGTAATAAAGACCCAGATCGTTCGCCCTGCTCTGCTTCGGCCAGCAAATGCCATGTTTTGAGGATCTTCGTTGCCGCTGTTGCCCAGGGCTGTGCTGCTTTTGTACTCGTTGAACGACCGCCAACGAAGCTGCCAATGCGCAACACTGTTGCCACAATTGCGACTCAGAGACTCAGCTAAAAGTTTATGAGGGTGGACAGCTTCTAAAAGCGAAGCGAATCGAAGAGTCAAAGCCATATTTGTGATAGTTGCCAGGGCTGGAGCTAATTTGCCATAAATTAAATATGTATAAATATATGCATATACGTATGTATATATATGTGTATATAAATCTATTTATGCCCACAGAAAAGGTTGATTCATATGCTTTAGTCCCAGTGGCAATCGTCTCTTTCTTGACCCTGGTATCATTGCGATTTTCTGATTTCGATTTACGTGTTAACAATGACAAAAAAAAAAAACACACATTAAATAAAGTATTGAAAGTGAGATTTATTGCATCGTTGTGTGTTTAAGAGTCACCATTTCCCGTATGACTTCATTTTTGCACGTTGGGACGCGAACTGAACTTGATCAACGCTGGCCGAGGCAATCAAAGAGCGCTCCACAATCGTCACACTGGCTCTTTGAGTCTTTTCCGCTCGCATTTGGTCGACTTGAGAGCAGCCATAAAAACGAGCGGCCGAAGTACAATTATAAAGCCATTAATGCGGCTAAATTAGCTCATTTGTAATGAAACCGGGCTTCATAATCGTTAAAAAATGTATATAAAAAATAAAAGAAAAATAAAAACAAAACGCCAAAAGGCGGCCGCAAAGATACAGAAACAATCAAAGTAATAAAAGCTGAGCGCAGCGCAATTGATAAGCACTTTACGCCGAAGGTAGAACAAACAAAAACGGCAACGATTAATATCTGCTGTGATTGCGACTCTCCAGCGGAAATAGTTGGAGAGCAAAAAGGAAAAAATTGGAAAGGAGAAAACGAAATGGACTATTAGATAGCATTAAGAGAAATGAATAGTGAATGTCATTCAGTATCTGTTAACATATGCGAATGCTTATATGCAAACGAGTTCTTCTATGACATAATGATAAATAAAGAATATCGCTGGCAAGCCCTTCTGTGTCGAGCGAAGTAACCGCATTGAGTTTGTGTCGCAAGCTTTTTGTTCGACTTGCGGCATTTCAGGTTTGTCGCCTAAGTCTTTTGTCATCATGCGTAACATTTCAATTAATGTTAATGTTAATGCTAAACAAGAATGCGCACATACCAATCCACCATATGGCTTCTGTATGGCGAGTGTGAAACCGAAGCCAACAGCGCGCAGCATCAATTTCCGCTGCTTATGAAATGGAGATTGAATTGATGTGGCCAATTTTACATTGCAGCTGTTGGGCTTTTAATTAAATTGGCTAATGTAAACTTTCTCTAGCTACCGCCAAACCCAATTAAATGATAACATATTAAATATACAATGTATTTTCACAAGAAGCCACAGCCGCTCAGCTGAGCTCGCCGCTTGGGCATCGAGAATGAATGAGAGACTTAAAATCGAAGCGAAGACTGGGCACTGGCCTGATCCTCATGATACTGAGGCGCCGCTGGCGAGTAAGCGGCAGAATTCGCACCGAGTTGCTGTGGCCACTGTGCCGCTGGTGCGGACGACACGTCTCAGCTTCGAGAAATTTATGGCCACATTCAATTGTCAAGTTTATGTGACTGCGGCCAGGCCTAAATTTGCATAAGAGCCGTTGGTCAACAGCAACAACAACAACAACAATAACAGCAACAACAGAAGAATCAGCAACCGCAGCCGCAGCAGCAGCAGGCGAACTTCTCTAGAATTCTCTTGTTGAGGCATTTGAAAGTTTTGTTTCACATATCTTGCTGCAGCGTCTCTCTCCCTCTCTCTCTCTCTCTATCTCTTCTTCTCGCTCGCTCTTCCTGTGTAAGTCTTTGTTTCATTTATGTTTAATTCTCGTTTTCTTTTTGTTCTTACAGACCGGCATGCTAAAGGCGCATTGATGGTTCTTGCATACAAATGACGAATTATGAGAATCTTATAAATTTGCCATTAAATTTTAATGCAAATAATCATGCAAATAATAATGAGAACAATGGCAAAATTGCTGTTGGCGAGCAGCTATTGAATAAGATGTCGCAGCGGGACTTCTCCGAGGTGAGTCTGGGAATGGGTTTTGTAAAGCTAATAGGAATTTGAATAGAGTGTGAATGGACCAAAAAGAACAGAAACCAAAGAAAGAAATCTCATATAGACGAGTAGGTGGCAAGAGAGCTATACGTTTGATAGGCAAAGGCTAAGTTTATTCGCCAGTCAGCAGCAATGCTGTTTGGATAAATGCGACTAAATCCGGATAAAGGCAATTAAGAATGCTATCAGTCAAGAGCAACAATTTGCAATAACCTAAACGTCGCTCTGCCTTTATCTCAATAGCCATTCACAGAGTGCTGCTCATGTTTGCATGCATTTCAAGTTCCCAATTTATGCAGCCTGACAATTATTTATGGCCTTCACAGAAACTTAATCATCGAGTGCGCTTGGAAATTAAGACGGATAACAACTACAACAGCTGAAATGAACAAGAAAACGAAAAGCAGCAAAAAAAAGAAATAAAAAAAAAGTAAAGAAGAAAACAATCAACGAAGCCAGCGCTAATAATCAAAAAGATGGCAAAATGATTTCAATGTTGATTAACTGAGCGGCGAGACAACAAAAGGGTTAAGCAACAGCAACAGAGACAGCAGCAGCAACAACAACAACAACAACAATGCAACACACGCCAAATTAAACAAAGCGCAGAGATAAAAACGCCAAACACACAAACCCTTTTTCAGCTCCGACTACACCCTAGGCCCTTTCATCATATTCCGCGCTGTCATGTCATGGGCAACAACGATGACAATGTCGAGACTTGGACTGCGACTGGGACTGGGACTGGGACTGGGACTGGGATTGAAACTGAGGACGACAACGTCAACATTGTTGGATAAGTTTGTGGCGCATGTTTAGAAGCTGCCCGCTGCTGTCTCACTAGCTGTCCATTGTGTCCAACTGTCCGTGTGTCTGGCTGGCTGGCTGGCTGGCTGATCCGCCTCGGCTTCGACCTGAGCAACAGCTAGATGACAGCCAATTGAATCTGTGCATTTTGGGCAGCTCAGCTCAATGGATAATATCTACATCTACTAAGCTCAGGCGACAGCAGCCGGATAGCAACAGCACGGATAGGCTAACAGTAGTAGGGCCTGGAACGGGGAGGCCGTGAACGCAGAGCAACAGCTAATTATTTTATTACGCGTTAAATTGCAATAAAATTCTTGACTTAAGCGCAAAACATGCCAATGTGCGCCACAAGCAATCGTGAAATTGTTAGCATTCCAATGCGGCGACTCTATCGATGGGCCATCGGGACGGGACGGGTCGAGCGCGGCGTGCCACTGGCTCACATATTGCTCCGGCCAGTTGGCACTTGCCGCCTGCCACATCCCGCCCCACCACCGCTTCACGCACATTAACATCGACATGTGGTGCATGTGGCATGGCAGGCAACAACCTGAAGCCAACTGCTGCGGTTGCATCTTTGGGTGCCACTTTTTTTTCTCTTTTATTTTATTTTTTTTTTTTGCTTTTACACTGTTGTCCGCCCAGGCAGCCAAAGCGCGACCAGTTCTCAAGTCGATGGTTTTTTACTTAAAGCATTCCTGGTCGCTCACTCTCTCTCTCTCTCTCTCTCTCTCTCTCTCTCTCTCTCTCTCTCTCTCTCTCTCTCTCTCTCTCTCTCTCTCTCTCTCTCTCTCTCTCTTTAATCTCTCTCTATATATATATATATCTGACAGGCTCTTGCTTCAAGATTCTTGACTATTTTCTAAACAGAGGGCCTTTGGCTGGTGTTGCTGCTCGTGTTGTTGCTTTAGTTGGAATTGTTGGAGCAGGACAGCAGACATATCAGCTTACATGACTTCTCTATGTGGCATTTGGGCGCCAATCCCTAAATTGATACACAGCCCGTTGAATGGAATAGATTCACAGCCCCTGCTTTGACAAGCAAACCGTTTGGTCCACGAAGGCAGCCCCTTCAAGGCAGCCAAAATGCAGCCTTTGCAGAATGTGTTTAACTTCAGCTCTTTATTAAGAGTACTCAAAATTATTCCAAGCAACCCTTGAAATATATCAATGATAAAGCTACGCCAGGTCTTCAATAGTCTATTCTGTGGTTTATTGTGAACGTAAAGCTAGAGATCCCAAGGTTAGATCCATGTTCATACGTAAAAATAGTTAAATAAGAAACTGCAAATGAAATCACAAAAAAAAAACAGACACAACTTTTAAAGGTTTTTACATGAAACAGAAGCCATATGGAAATAGTTGTTGTCATTGGCACTCAGTGCGCTTGAGTTGGCTTAAGATTCGGTGCAAAATAAAGAAAACTTATATGATTAGAGTCGAGGGCTGCTGAATCGGTTTAGTTCATAAAGAGCTGTCTGGCTTGATTGTTATCTGAGGCATTTGCCGCTTATCCACAGCTATCCGGGGCTCATCGTTTGGCACGGATAAACGCTAAGGCCAAACGGCTAGCAGTTGGGCGCGCTCGTAGCGCGCTGCCAGTTATTATTTTTAGCTGGAACGATAATATCTGCTAATATGAAACGGCGCTCCCTTCCGCTCAGCTTGGCCTTAGACGCCTGGTCTCTGTTCGTCCGTTCGGCCTGCCTTTGGGTTAGTCTGGGCATGTTTGGTGCGTGTTTATTTGACTTTGACCATTGGAGCTGACTGTCTTGGACCAATCTGCTTGCTGTGATCTGCGCCAGCAACGCCAACGCTGTGCAAAAATTTCATTTTGCTAAGTTATGCGAGTGGTTTTTAAAGTTGTTCGACGTTTCGCCCTCTCTCTCTCTCTATCTCTCTCAGGTTATTTGCTTTTGTTTTTATTTTTTGATTGTTTTGTTATATTTCGCTTCATCTTCTTCTTGTTCATTGTAACGCCTACTCCATTTGGATTATCGGCTGATGGGGGACGTTGCTGAACGGGGCAAGGGCACGGGCACGGGCACGGGCACGAACACAGCCTTTAATGGTTGCATAAAACATAAATTTCGTTCTGCATCTGTCAGATACACTTTGTGGCTGCCACTTGTGTGAGTATCTATGTGCACGTACATATGAATAGCTGCATGTATCGACGAGTTGATTTATTCGCATTAGCTGGACCCGAAAAACAAAAAGAAATAGCAACAACAATCAGAAGAAGCAGAACGACAACGCAAGCCAGAAGGCTAATCTAAGCACGTTATCCGTAACCCACGCCCCAACTACACCTGGCCCTGCCTCCCCCTCTCTGCTCCACGCTTCACTCTTCGACAACGGCACTTGGCACTTGGCACTTGGCACTTGGCACTTGGCATTTGGCACTTGCTGTGCACGTTTTCTAGGAAAGAGCTCAACGCTTTGGTCTTGCTTTTGGTTTCGCTTTTGACTGTGGCTTTGTGTCTTCAAGCCGGGCTAATGCATTTGCATACTCATTCCATTTAATTGCTTTAAAAATATGTAAAAACTCTACGCTCTTGTCACGGCCTCGTCCTCGTCCTCAACCTCAACCTCAGCCTCAGCCTCAGCCGCCGATCCCGTTGCCTTTCGGTATCGGGCTAGCCTTCTTGTCTTCGCATGGCTTATGCCAAAAAAGGCTCAGACACTCAACACTTCGCTTGGCCACTGGCTCCCTCTGTTTGCTGCGCAGTTCTTGGGCCACGAATTCGTGGAATTGCTTCCGCATTTGACGAGCAGAACTGCTGGCGGAACAGCAATTGGATGCTGACTTCTCAGTCGCCAGTTGGCAGTCGCCAGTTGGCAGTTCGCCGGGAAACGTGACTCAGTGGTCGCATACCTGTAGCATGGATTTGAAGTGGAACTGCGACTGCGATTACAGTGGCGGCAATTTAACGTAATTACAGCCTAGCGCATGCACAGTGGTGCAAAGCCAAGCAAAATATGCAAACAATGTGTGATGTCTCTCATAAATTTCTAAGATAAATCTGAACTTCTGTGCAGCTAAGCCGAAAATGATTCGACAGCAATATTTGTTAGCACATGAAGACTGTAGAGATATATAGAAAACATTCCGAAGAATCCAAGTCAGCTCGAATCTCAGTCACCAGAGAGACACCTACTTAAATCAAGTCACGATTTTTCCTTTCTTGCAGAATGAACCGGAATGCACACCGGAGCTGCCCGCTGCAAATCGCGCGCTCTTCTTGGAGAAGGTGCGCCAGTCGAACGCTGCCTGCCAGAGCGGAGACTTTGCCACCGCCGTGCTGCTGTACACGGACGCACTGCAGCTGGATCCGGGCAATCATATACTCTACAGCAACCGTTCGGCGGCGCGGCTCAAGCAGGGACAGTTTGCAGCGGCGCTGCAGGATGCGACGCAGGCGCGTGAATTGTGCCCACAGTGGCCCAAGGCGTATTTTCGTCAAGGCGTTGCGCTGCAGTGCCTGGGCAGGTATGGCGAGGCGTTGGCTTCCTTCGCCGCCGGCCTGGCACAGGAGCCGAGCCACAAGCAGCTGCTGGCGGGTCTTGTCGAGGCCTCGCTGAAAAGTCCGCTGCGTGCGGCACTGGAGCCGACGCTGCAGCAGCTGCGCGCCATGCAGCTGCACGAGTCACCGTTCGTGGTCAGCTCCGTGGTCGGGCAGGAGTTGTTGCAGGCTTCGCAGTATCAGGCGGCGGTTGCCGTGCTGGAGGCGGCGCTGCGCATTGGCAGCTGCTCGCTCAAGCTGCGTGGATCCGTCTTCAGTGCATTGAGCTCGGCGCACTGGGCGCTCAATCAGCTGGACCAAGCTATTGGCTATATGCAGCAGGACTTGGCCGTGGCCAAGTCGCTGGGCGACACAGCCGGCGAGTGCCGTGCCCATGGCAATCTGGGCTCCGCCTACTTCAGTCAGGGCGCCTACAAGGAGGCACTCACAGCGCATCGCTACCAGCTGGTGCTGGCCATGAAGTGCAAGGACACACAGGCAGCCGCCTCGGCTTTGACCTCACTCGGCCATGTGTACACGGCCAGCGGAGACTATCCCAACGCCCTGGCCTCCCACAAGCAGTGCGTGCAGCTCTTCAAGCAACTCGGCGATCGACTGCAAGAGGCGCGCGAAATCGGCAATGTGGGCGCCGTCTACTTGGCCCTGGGTGAGTGCGAGGCGGCACTCGATTGCCACACGCAACATCTGCGTCTGGCGAGGAAGCTGCACGATCAGGTGGAAGAAGCGCGCGCCTATTCCAATCTCGGCTCTGCGCATCATCAGCGGCGGCAGTTTGGCCAGGCGGCCGCCTGCCACGAGCAGGTGCTGCGCATAGCTCAGACGCTGGGCGATCGCAGCATAGAGGCGCGCGCCTATGCGGGATTGGGGCATGCGGCACGCTGTGCCGGCGATGCGGCCGCCTCGAAGCGCTGGCACGAACGCCAGCTGGCCATGGCGCTGGCTGCGCGCGATAAGCTTGGCGAAGGACGCGCCTGTTCCAATCTGGGCATCGTGTATCAGCTGCTGGGCGCCCACGATGCGGCGCTGAAGCTGCACCAGGCACATCTGGGTATTGCACGCGCCTTGGGCGATCGGGCGGGCATGGGACGTGCCTATGGCAACATGGGCAATGCCCACGCTGCCGCTGGCGCCTACGAGGCAGCTGTCAAGTATCACAAACAGGAGCTGGCCATTAGCCAGGCCGTCAACGATCGCAGCGCCGAGGCGGCCACGCACGGCAACCTGGCGGTTGCCTACCAGGCGCTGGGCGCCCATGATGCAGCACTGGCGCACTATCGCGCCCATCTGGCCACCGCCAGATCCCTGAAGGATGCGGCTGGCGAGGCTTGTGCGCTGCTCAATCTAGGCAACTGCCTCAGCGCACGCCAGCTCTACGGCGAGGCGGTGCCGCACTACGAGAGCTACTTGATGCTCGCCCAAGAGCTGGGCGACGTGGCCGCCGAGGGCAAGGCCTGCCATCTGCTGGGCTATGCCCACTATTGCCTGGGCAATTATCGCGCCGCTGTGCGCTACTACGATCAGGATCTGGCCCTGGCCAAGGACGCACAGCATCGGCCGCACATGGGACGCGCCTACTGCAATCTAGGCCTGGCTCACCTGGCGCTGGGCCACACGGCCGCCGCCCTGGAGTGCCAGCAACTGTTCTTGGCTGTTGCCCATGCCACTGGTCAGCTGCCGGCCAAGTTCCGAGCACTGGGCAACATTGGCGACATACTCATACGCACCGGTGCCCACGAGGAGGCCATTAAGCTGTATCAGCGTCAGCTGGCGCTGGCTAGGTCGGCCGGCGAGCGCGCCATGGAGGCGGCTGCCTGTGGCGCTTTGGGCTTGGCGCATCGTTTGCTGCGGCGTTGGGACAAGGCGCTCGGGCATCATACACAGGAGCTGACACTGCGCCAGGAGCTGGGCGATCTGGCTGGGGAGTGTCGCGCCCATGGTCATCTGGGCGCTGTGCACATGGCGCTGTGCAGCTGGACGCATGCCGTCAAGTGCTATCAGGAGCAACTGGAGCGCGCCCAGGAACAACGAGATGCCGCCGTCGAGGCACAGGCACACGGAAATCTCGGCATTGCTCGGCTCAATATGGCGCACTATGAGGCGGCCATTGGCTGCCTGGAGGCGCAGCTGGGCACCTTGGAGCGCGTGTCGCTGCCCTCGACGCAGGCGGATCGCGCCCGAGCACTGGGACATCTGGGGGATTGCTATGCTGCGCTGGGCGACTATGAGGAGGCGTTGAAGTGTCACGAGCGCCAGCTGCAGCTGGCACTGGGCCTGGCCAGCCATCGCGATCAGGAGCGCGCCTATCGCGGCCTCGGCCAGGCTCGCCGCGCCCTGGGGCAGCTGGCGACGGCGCTGGTGTGTCTGGAGAAGCGTCTGGTCGTCGCCCACGAGCTGCACAGTGCCGAGGTCAAGGCGCTAGCCTATGGCGACTTGGGCCATGTGCACGCAGCGCTTGGTAATCATGCCCAGGCGCTCAACTGCTTGGAGCATCAGCGGGAGTTGGCACGCGGCCTGCAGGATCGCGCCCTCGAATCGGATGCAATGTGCGCCTTGGGGCAGGTGCAGCAGCGCATGGGTCAACATGCCGAGGCGCTGCAGCTACACGAACAGGATCTCCAGCTGTGCACCGAGCTGGCGGCGCCAGCCTTGCAGGCACGCGCCGTGGGCAATCTGGGCGCCGTGCACGAGGCACTGGGACAACAGGAGGAGGCGCTCAAATGCTACGAACGACAATTGGCACTCAGCACAGATCGACTGGGCAAAGCGCTGGCCTGCGGAGCCCTGGGCCGTGTGCATCATCAGCTGGAGCAGCACGCGCAGGCAGTGGAATATCTGCGGCAGGGCTTGGCCAGTGCGCAGTCCATTGGCAAGTCAGAGGAGGAGGCCAAGATAAGACATCAACTGGGTAAGTGTGACTCTCCCTCGCTCTATGTGCCGCGCTGTCTTAACTCTCTCTCGCTCTCTCTTGCAACCAGGTCTTGCTCTGCGTTCCTCTGGCGACGCTGAAGGCGCTCGCATACAACTGGAAACGGCCGCCCAGCTGCTGGAGTCCGTGCGCCAGGAGCAGCGCAGCCCTGAGACGCGTCTAGCTCTCTACGAGCTGCAGACGAGCTGCTACCATCTGCTGCAGCAGCTGCTCGTGGCTCTGCAACGTAGCGAGGATGCGCTGGTCGCTGCGGAGCGCTGCAAGGCGCGCAACGGCGCCGATGCAACTGTCGGCGATGCCAAGGCCACAGCAACAACAGCAAACAGCACTGCGGACATCGATGCCATTTTGGAGGCAGTGAACCGAGGCCGCATGCCCGTGCTCTACTACAGCTTGGCCGGGGAGCAGCTCTATGCCTGGCTGCTGCAGCCACAGACGGGCATCGTGCGCTTCCATGCGGCGCGCATTGATCCGCAGACGCTGCAGCTGCCGCTGTCGCTCAATGAGTGCCATGAGGAGGAGGACGACGACGAGCAGCAGCCGGAGCAACAGAAGCAGCAGCGCGATGATGATCCTGAACCAGCGGGTCAACTCCTGCTGGAGCGCTATGTCAACATGGTGCGTGATAATCTTGGCGTCAACTCCCAGAACCTGTTACACGAGGGCGATGGCAGCGGCTGGCGTGCCAGCAGCGAGCAGCTGCTGGAGGACTTGCCCGGAGCTGGTGCCGGCGGCGGTGGCTTTCTGCGCATGGTCAGCCGCAATCAGCTGCTGAACTCATCCAACTACTCGCTCAGCTCACTGTTCTCTCTGGGCTCCGTGGCTAGTCTGCAGGGCTCCACGCGATCCGTGGGCAGCCGTAGCTCCCGGCGAGCGCCCGCTCCGCCCGCGTGGCGTGGACCCGCCTGCCTACACACGCTCTACAATCTGCTGCTGGCGCCGTTCGATGATCTGTTGCCCAGCGGCGCCAGCGTGTCGCGCCAAGGCAGACGTGAGCTCATCCTGGTGCTGGACAGCGCCCTCTACCTGGTGCCATTCGCCATATTACGCGCCGCGGGCGATGATGGCGAGTACCTGTCGGAGCGCTGTGCTCTGTTAACGGCGCCATCACTGCAGGCGCTGCGCGGCCGCTCCCGAAGCCGACGAGATCGTGGTCGCCCGCCAACAGCTCTGGTCGTCGGTGGACCGCGGGTACCATCCGCTCTTGCGGAGCGCTGGGGCTGGGCCGCCGCCGAATCGCCAGCAGCCTTGCAGGAGGCCGCCATGGTTGCAGACATGCTGCAGGCAAATGCTCTAGCCGGCTGCAATGCCACCAAGGAGTCTGTGCTGGCCGAGCTGCCTGGCGCCGAGTGCGTGCATTTTGCCGCCAATCTCAGCTGGAAACTTGGCGCTGTGGTGCTCAGTCCGGGCGATGTGGTTACCGCCGAGCAGCAGCAACAGAAGGAGCCACATGAGCCTCAGCTATCTGACTTTACATTGGCTGCCGCAGAGCTGCGTCAGCTGCGCCTCGGCGCACGCCTGGTGGTGCTCAGCTCCTATCACTCCGTGGAGCCCATAACAGGCACTGGTGTTGCCCAGCTGGCCGGTGGCTGGCTGCTGGCCGGCGCCGGCGCTGTGCTCATCTCGCTCTGGCCAGTGCCGGAGACAGCGGCCAAAATTCTGCTGCGCGCCTTCTACTCGGCCCTGCTCCAGGGCGCACGAGCGGCACGGTGAGAAATACTACTTATATATATATATATATTATATAACTGAACCTTGCCTCCTCTCACCTCTTCAGCGCATTGGCAGAGGCCATGCAAACGGTGCAGCATACCAAGCACTTTGCACATCCGGCCAACTGGGCTGGCTTTTTGCTCGTGGGCGCCAATGTGAGGTTATCGAACAAGGTGGCGCTGCTGGGCCATGCACTGTGCGAGCTGCTGCGCACGCCGGAACGCTGTCGGGATGCGCTGCGTGTGTGCCTGCATCTGGTGGAGAAGAGCCTGCAGCGGATACATCGCGGCCAAAAGAACGCCATGTACACAACTCAGCAGAGCATTGAGAACAAAGCTGGACCGGTGGCCGGATGGAAGGATTTGCTAATGGCTGTGGGCTTTCGCTTCGAGCCAGCCGCCAATGGCATACCCTCTAGCGTGTTCTTCCCGCAAACGGATCCCGAGGAGCGGCTATCCCAGTGCTCGGCCAGCCTGCAGGCGCTGCTGGCCCTGACGCCCGCTACGCTCCAGGCGCTGGCCAAGCTGGTGAACAGTGCCGAGCATGCGGATGATATTATTGCCGTAGTACGCAACATATTGGCTCAGTTCCCTGCCAAGCCGGAGGCTGAGGCCTGCATTGAGATGCCGTTGAGCGTGCGCCTGTGGCGCGTTGCCGGCTGCCACGAGCTGCTGGCTTCGGTGGGCTTCGATCTGACCGAGGTGGGCGCGGACCAGGTTATACTGCGCACCGGCAAACAGGCCAATCGACGTCACTGTCAGTTCGTGCTGCAGGCGCTCCTCGCGCTCTTCGGTAAGTCAAGCAAATCAGGCAATACAACGCCGGAACTAAAATGCTTTTATTTATTGCAGATACACACGAGGCACCCAAGAGTCTTAGTCTAGACTCGGCAGCTCACAGCAGCAGCAGCTGCGAGTCGCTGACGGAGCCCGAGCTAACTGCCGCACCCGTACAGCCTGTTACGTCGAATGGCAACAGCTCCACGCCCGTTGCAGCCACCAACGCCACACAGTCGCCTCTGCCGCTGCATCCACGCAGCGCATTCATCTCGTACGTGCGTCGCCGCGGCGAGCCCGACGGCGGCGGCGGCCTAGACTCCAGTCTGGCCAACACCACGGACAGCGAGCACTCGCTTTCCGATGGCTATGCCACGCAGGCGGGCAACGGGCAGCCAGCTGCACGCTTGGGCTATGCCAGCCTGCGTGGTCCAGTGCGCGTCTCGCGGCCTGGCGGCGGTGGTGAGAGTGATGCGGCCTTTACGCCCAGTCCGCCGGTAACCGACCCCAGCCTGTCGCTGGCGCTAGCTCACCAGACGCGCATACGCTGCCTCTACGCTCAGCCGAGCACAGTTGCTTCATCAGCTGCGCCTTTGGCGAACTCCAGCCGTCGACCCGATAGCTCAAGCTCAGCCAGCAGCACCACAACGGACTGGGAGGGCTCCGGACATGCAACAGTGCTGCGACGTGGAGCAGCTGCTGGCGCTCAGCAGCAGCAGCCGCAGCAACAACAGACGCAACTGCAGCAGCAGCCACCGCTGCCGCCGCCTCGTCCGCCCGTCTATCACAATTTAGGCGCTGGCGGACGCAGCAAGCCGAAAATCAAGCTGGGCAGCGCACAGAGCTCGCTGGCGGCACGCGTTAACAAGGAGCATGCTCTATTCATGGACAGACTGAGCGTGCGCACCGAGCTGAATGCCCCAGCAGTGCCCAATGGCGCGGCGAGTAACGTGGGTGGCGGCGGAGGCGCCGTGGTCACTGGAGGGCAGCGTAAGGCGCTAACATTGTCGGAAGAGGAGGCTGCCAGTGTGGCCTTTAATCCGGCCAGCCTGTACTTTTCGCCAGCTGACAGCGAGCTGCTGGGTGAGCCCAAGCAGCCACTGGAGGAGACGCCAGTGAAGCCGAGCGCCAAGTGCATTCAGGACAGCATTATGCGGCACATGAATCGCGAGCTGACGCCCAGCATCTCGGAGCTGTATCATGAGCGCAATTTGGGTCTGGGTCTGGCACCGCCGCTCTCCAAGCTGCTGCTCAATCCGAACTACGAGGAGCAGGAGGTGACTGCCATGGTCGAAAGCAACAATCCATCTGCTGGTAATGCGGCTGCCATCAAAACCCTCGTGGATGCAGTTAACGAGCTGGAGCTGAGCGGCAGTTCGTCCGGCGCCACAATACCAACTGTGGTCGGCGGCGGCGAACCGGAAAACAATCCGGTCAACGGCGTCGGGGACACCGAGCGCTTCTGTTCCATATGCGGCGAGCACGCAGACGTCGTCTGCCGCTGCAAGGCGGCCACCATGCAGAAGAAGTCCACACTAAAGCCCTGGCTAAGCAATGTGCCCGCCAGCAGCCTGGTCCAGGCTAGCGAGCTAACTACCGCAGAGATACTGGAGCGACGTCTGGAAACGGTGGCAGCAACCAGCGCACCATTTACCGCCGAGCTATGTCGTCGCGACGAGGGCGACGGACGCTCCGTAGCCGATTCGCAGTGCAGCAGCAACTACAAACGGGTGCTGGCCACCGCCGGCGCCGTCAGTCTGGTGGTTGGCATCGGTGCTGGCGATGCGGAAGCCCAGAACACAACATCGCCTGCCACCTGCTCGGCAGCGCGTCTCGTCTAGATGCGACTACCCCACCACTTGCCACTTGCCACTTGCCACTTGCCACTTGCCACTTGCCGCTCTTCAATTGATATTAGACTTTATTTATAGGCTTAATCGGAGACACCCTGTACTGATCATCGTAGCATTAGTTATTGCATTTTATTTATTTATTTATATACAATATCCGTCAACATTAGTTAGATAAGACACACACACACATACATGCACACTTGCATTTGTAATTTGTAATGTTTCAACGAAGCCACTGATTAAATTTTATGCATTTATGTGACCTTCTTTAGCAGAATCCATTTGTACAGCTTTCGGAGATAATATTTAGGATTAAGTGCAAATAAATATGAATTGATTGATTGAAGTTGTTATACTGTTAACTAACTGTTATACGATTGTCATGCGATTGTCTTAAAACACACAGTTACAACTGATAGGCAACTGTTATACATTGAAAATGTCATAATAATCGTCAAATATGACTTAGAAACCATCGTATACCACAGTTAAATTCTGTTATACAGACTGGTATATCTGATATTGAGCTGTTATACATTGAAAGTATGATCATTTTCTTCAAATATAACTTAGAAACCATCATATAACACAGTAAATTCTGTTATACAAATTTGTATAGTTGATATTAAGCTGTCATACATCACTTTCCTCAAATATGATTGAGCAAATTCTATTATACAGCTCTTGAACAACTGTTATACCACAGTTATATACTCAAAGTGCAAGAAAGTGCAGTAAATGGATATTTACGACTTAACAACTGTTATACAAATATTATAGACGACTGTCATACAACTGTTATACAGCGGAAATACAGATCTAACTTTCAGTCACAGTCAACTATCAGCGACCAGTCGGTGACCTCAGCTGTCAGGCATAGCCCTGACATGAATTATTGCAAACATGTGCAAAAATTTCTATGAAGAAAATATCAAAAAAATTAAAAATACATTCCAAACAAATGAACAGAGTCGAAGAGTTCGACGAGCATACAGCAAAATAAAAGCAGACGAATATGATTTATTGATAATATAGTATGTATGTGCATGAACCTTGATTAGCACAGTGAAGGGTGCCTGTGACACACCGAAGTCAACGCCGTAACACAAAGGCCCACAGAACGGTCGTCAAGGCCAGGCCTCACTGTGCCAAATATTCGGCGTATACGCTCTTTTTCAAGCTGCCGGCCAACCAATTCGCGCTTCTCGAATTGCATCAACATCATGATTCTTGTTTACTCGAAGCTGTCGGTTGTGTAACTGAGCGAGCGGCTTGCGATGCTGGCCTTTGACCCTTGCGTGTGATCTCTCGTTAATATCAGCACGTAAATATTTATGGCCATTTAATTAGGCATGCTGCGTTCATTAAAGTGATTGATACTGCTATGGCAGCAAAATGAACCCCAAAATTAGCAGAACTCATTTTTAGATTTAGCATTCGAAACTGTTATACGAATTTATAAATAGATACACTATCATCTATTAGACTGTCAATTTTAATATTATTTATTTGTGTAATTATTGAACTGTTTTTCTTGTTACTTTGAAATTCCAGTTCAAAGCGGAATCAAATATATTATATTTACATATATTTAGGCTGGAGTCCAAACATAGATCTTCGGTGCTCAATTAACTCATCCTCGAAAGGCAGTTGAGCAATCAGAAAATAAAATGTTATTTTTACACTCTTATTGCAGTTGATCGATTTATACTTGGGCATTTTATGTATGCTATATTCAGTGCCATTGCGTTTCAATAGTGAACGACAACAACATGGTATACAAATATTATAAAACATTTCCATTGACTTTAACACCCCAAATATGTACCTATATGTACACTTCGTATCATTAGCTTTTACACTGGACAACAAGCGTTGGTCAGATCGACATTCTAAAGACAGCTATAAAATCAATTATATAACTGCATTAAATACTATATAGTTTAAGAATATTTCTCATTGAAATTTATGAATTTTGATTTTGATTAAAGACTTATTTCGAATTTATTGACATATAATTACGATATTCTGTTGACTAGTGCAATCTGTGGCTGGGGGCACGTGTTTATTAATTGATAAGATTTATTGACGCCGCGCACTCGATCGTTACAAATTGACCTTTTTACGATCGGAATCGTGACGACGTCGTACTGCGCCGCAGGGAAACGAGCCCCTTGCCCAGGCCAGTAAACGTCCGCTGGCAGACCACTCGTGGAGCAGCGCGGAATCACGCACCGAATCCGGAGTCGGACACCGACGTCATTTAGTATGTGTCGATGCTGCCGCTCTGGCTGACTGATAACTTTTCTCTAGGCAATCCCCCCCTTGATGGCACATTATTTTTGCGTTCGATGACGATGTACCTAGATTAGACGGAATTATGGCGATTTTGGCGGTACGCCGGAGCGCTCGAATCTGGAGCGCTTGCCCCTGAGATTTGCTCAAGGTGACGCCAAAAGCTATCGTAGCCCGTGGCACACAATAACAATAACAAATTTTCTATGAAAGCAATTGATACTAGGAAGGAAAGTTAAAGATCTATTAAACATGGAAATTCCTCTGATTGACAGGTAAACATAATATAGATAATAGCTAAATAAATAAAAAACATTTAATAAAAAAGTAGAATCATCCAAAGATATATGAACCAAACAAATATCATTTATCTCCTTTAGGTAGATCTGATTTCGTAAAATTGAGAATTGGAATTGACGCAAAAAGAAGCTTATCAACTCACCTACAGAAATCTCAAGTTCCTCACTTCTACTACAAAATATATAGAGTATATAAAATAGAAATACGATTTTGGTTCCTTTTAAAATAAATCTGGAACCGACTAAATATTTCAAAATATTATAAATATTCATTTATAATATATAAGTTATATATTAGTTATATATTCAACAGAAGCAATTCTCGACAGTGCCAAAATCTTATATGAAAACGACTTTAATAAACTCACTAGAACAGTTTCGTATAAAGAAATTTGATATACGTATCAATTTCGAGGGACTTGCACTTGCTCCAGTTAAAAGTCTTATCGGTCAAGTGCAGCCTTTAGTTTAATATATAAAGAATAATATACAAATACATATATATTTATATATATTATATATATATATATATATATATATATATATATATATATATATATATATATATATGTATGGAGACAGATAAGAGTGCTAGCACGTGTTGAGGCAATGCTCGAGTCGCGGATGTGGCTCAGGCCTTCAGATATATAACTTAGGGTATGCACTTACGGGACTTCATGCAGCCGGAATGTTGAGTGAGCCCGAATCGGACGTATTTCCTACATCTACATCTCTATGTGCGATGACTTGAGTGGGCTCCCACATTGATAACTGATTAGGTGACTACACATATACATCTGTATGTGTGTGTGTTTGCTTTGAATAACAACAAAAGTGCTATAAATCATATATTATACCATAGAAATACTGTATGTACCCTAGATGAGAGGAACATATAGCTGGGTGATCTATAAAAGTGTGCGCACGGACAAGCTGGCGATTCAATAGCATCTTGTTCGGCCTGCCGTGCGGTACTTGAAGCCAACAATTTGAATTATAATAGTTTTTCGTTTTCTATTTTTTGTGTGGTTTTTGCCTTTTCAAAAATGAGAATCTTAAATGAGGTAAAAATCCGAATCGGTACAGCGATTTCGTAGTTTTTATTGAAAACGATTTTTTTTCTCCGTGTTTCTTTAGCATCAAATGTTTTTTCTGGATCCTTCGGAGCTTTTGCGGCCTGAGCCCACATTTGCCGACAAGAATCCTTCGCAGTTTCGAGACTATAGCGTCGACACCGAGGATCCACTAAAGGAACGCGTGCGACGCACCTACCGTGATATGCACTTAAATCAAACTGTGGACTTTGTTATGGGTAATAGGGATCCTTGGCTGTTTCACCTGTCAATATTCAAGAATTGTTTCCTTACGCAGGCCGCCGTGACCACTGGCTGAAGTTCAACACCATTAAGATGACGGTGCGTGAGGCATTGGAAAAGCTCAATGATTTGGTAGACGAGTCCGATCCCGATCTGGATTTGCCCAACATCATACACGCTTTCCAGGCTGCCGAGCGGGCACGCACCGAATTTCCCGAGCACGATTGGCTTCATTTGACGGCGCTGATCCACGATCTGGGCAAGATCATGGCCTTCTACAATGAACCCCAATGGGCCGTTGTGGGCGATACCTTTGTGGTGGGCTGTCGCTGGGGCGACAGCATTGTCTATCGCGACGAGAGTTTTGTGGACAATCCCGATGGCGACAATCCCAAATACAATACAGAATACGGCATGTATGAGCCGAACTGTGGAATAGACAATGTGCTCATGTCCTGGGGACATGATGAATACATGTACTCAGTGCTCAAGCACAACAAGACCAAGTTGCCCGACGTGGCCTGCAATATCATTCGCTTTCACTCGTTCTATCCCTGGCATAACGGAGGTGACTACAAGCACCTGGAGGCGCCAAAGGATGATGAGACCAAGAAATGGGTATTGATTTTCAAGTGAGTTGAACCGTTACTTAAATATAATATATATTTATATATGATTCACTGATAACAACTTCACTCTGCTTACAGCCGTTACGATTTATACACAAAGAGCGAAGTATTGCCCGATATTGATGCTTTATGGCCCTACTACCAAACGCTCATTGACAAATATTTGCCTGGTGTCTTGGAGTTTTAGGGCGTTCTTTGTATCCAAACATATATCCCCATAGATATACACATATACAATTTACTATAAACTACTAACTATATTAGCTATCTAATTTTCCCTACTACTTTCGTAAGAAACTATATAGTCATATTAGCCAAGCCTATAACACCAAACTTACAAAATGTTGCTTATGATAATGCAATGTGATGTGTCTATAAATAATCTCTACTAACCATTGACAAAAATATATACCTTTAACCATTGACAAAATTACATACCTTAGCTACATGTATAGATAAAATATAATTATTATATATACTTGTCCCAGAAGACTTGTTTTCCTATTTATCATAAATAAGAAAAACGACGAGAGATTTCCATCTAGTGTAGCCCGAGATTGTACTGGTTTCCATTCAGAACTATAGTAACCATCCAATTATTTGTATATAATTAAACAAAAATCTGAAATATGTTGTGGAAAAATCTTGACAACTTTTTTTCTTACACTAAAATTTTATTATTGACGACCAAAATCTATGGATCGCATTCAAAACATTTGCTCAACATTAAAAAAAAGAATGAAATGTACAATCTTTAGAACTTAGACCCTATATTAATTAAGACAATGACACGGTTCATTGGGAGACGGATCCGCAGCTGCTGCGTCGACGTCGCTTGTGACGCTTGTGACTCTTTTTGGATGATTGGCGCTGATGATTCCTTCGCCGTGATAATGCATCTTCCTTATCCCGATGATGGTCGCGATGACGGCGTGAGCTCGAATGACTGCTGCTACGACTGCGACTTCGACTGCGACTGCGACTGCGACTGCGACTACGCGACAAACTGCGACTGCGACGGCGACGTCTATGTTTTGATATGGAGCTCGCTTTGCGCTTGTGTCGCTGCCGATGTGAGCTGCGACTACGACTCCGTCGGCAGCTGGCATTGCTGCTGGATGAGGTCACTGAAGCATCGCGGCTTGTGGAGCTGCTGCTACTGCGCCTGCTCCGACTTCGACTCCGACGGCCAGTCTTACGGTGTCGCGCAGCCAATGATACGGACGACAATGATTGCGGTGCGGCTGCAGTGGACACCAGCTGCACATCATCATCATCAGAAAGCAGGACGGGCGCTGTTGCAGCAGCAGCCGCCGCTGCCTTGCTGGTGTACGTATTGGTGCTATCATCGTTTAGCAAGTTGTATTTCTCTAAATCACCATCATCGGTTTCATCATCTTCGTCAACTGCGTGCCTTTTCGTCGCCGACTGCGCCCCGACATCATTTTCGTCGTCGTCATCATCATCAGGCCCAAAGTACGTGATAGGTATGGAACGCACAGAATCGTTGGAGTCACTATTTATGTTGTCAGCTGCCACAGTTGATTCACTATTTGAGGCAGCCGTCGCATCCGATCCAATTGTTGCACCAATGGCAGTGCCTTCAGCTAAATAATAAGGTTAATATTGAAATACTTGTTAGTATAATACTAACTTACATTTGATTTGATTGAGAAATTCCCTGGCCTTGCGCTTTCGCTCCAGCTGCAACTGCTTCTCGCGCGAGACCATGCCATTTAGCTTGTCGCGTGCGACCTGCGCTAGCTTGTCCTTGAAACGCTCCTCAGCTGAGAAAATAAATGTTGGGCATTACACTATGTCTCTGTATCGCTCACTCTCTCTCTGTTACTCCTTTTCCATCTCTTTCTAATTGATTTGATTGTCTATACACACCTTGGCGTTGCTCCTTAAGTGGAGACGTTGCTGTGGTTGCTGAAGCTGCCACTGTCGTTTTTGGACCATTCGTTCTAGCTAACAATTGAGTCTCCACTTGCTTAATGGCACGTTGCACGCTATCGGGCATGCCAGGCCGTACTTGCTCGGTATTCGATTTGGCCTTTTGCTCATCTTCATCGCTAGCTTCCTGTGGCAGTGCCGGGTGCAAAGATGCGTTTTCATCGCGTGCACGTATAGCAAAGCTAACGTGTGCTACAAGAGATTGTGCAAATGAGATATGGTTCATTATATACTATATAGCGTTATACGAACCCTTCTCACTCGCGCTGGCAGCAGCTGTGCCTCCTAGACCTTTTTTGCTGATCAGGGCAGCAGCCACAGCTGCCGCCTTGCGCGTTTTCTCCTCCTTGGAAGCGGCGTCCACATCGCCAGTTATCTTGTACATATAATACGCATAGAACTTGTGCTCTGGAAGCAAAAAATTGAAACGTTCCACGCTCTTGGTGCGCAGCGTCTCCTCAAACTGGCGACCGTTCTTAATTACATACGTGGCCGTCTTATCTATGATATGGCGCAGCGTCTCCTCTGGCAATGGAAAAGTTAACAAGGGTGGTGGCGCCAGCACAGCAGCGGGTTTCGCATTGGCGCTGGCCGTTGTGGTGCTTGTGGTGCTGTTAGTGGCGCCCGATTGTGTGGTTCGTTGTGACTGTTGCTCAGTTGTATCATTGTTCTCATCATCCTCTTCGTCACTGTCCGAACTATAGTTTTGGGCGAGGGCCAGAGCACTAGTGTTCTTCAATAGCTCCACTTTGGGCGGCGCATCGTTGGCATTATCTTCCTCCGCCTCGTGGGCGAATGTGCTACCATTGTATTGGAGTAGAACAGGTGTAAACTCGCCATTTGACGCAGCGGCGGCAACGCTGCTTTGGCTTTGGCCCTCCGACTTGGAGCTGGGCGTCGGCGAGACGGTTCCGGCGGAATGCTGTGAGGCGACCTCATCATCTAGTACTGTCTGGAGCGGAACTCCTTTGATTTTGCTAATTAGTTGCGTGTAGGCGCAATTGGCCGACGGTTTATATTTGATGGTGGGCACCGTAATAATCTGCTGGCTGCGCTTCGGACTCACGGGTAATGCGTTGGCGTCGGTTACGGCATTGCCTTTGTCTAATGTTGTCTGCACGGAAGCTGCGAATTTTCCCTGCTTGATGGCAGCCAGCAGATGGCGATAATATGGCTGCAACTGACTGCCCTGCGATAGAAAGTCAAACTGTGCGTTGCTTGCCTGCTTGGCTTTGATAAGGATCTCCATCTGAGCGCCCTGAGTGGCAATGAAACGTGCCGTCTTCTCAATAATCGCATGCTGTTTCATTGTCTCCGGCTAAAAATAATGATAGATAATTTATAATATATAATGTTATCATATTTGACTATTGTCAGCTTACCAGCTGCATGCCCGGTGCAGGCGGCACGAGAAGAGTGGGTGGTAGCGTGTAGGGCAACTCGGATTCCTCAGTGAGTGTTGAGGACTCCGATGTTGGTGAAGTTGCATTGTCCGCACCAGATGAACTACATGTTGACTGGCCATCATAATGGAAATCTACTTGGCTATAGTTCCCGCCCGATGTCTCCTGCTGCAGGCGCTTCAGATCCTCCTCTGTACGTGAGTGTATGTTGGTGGGTAAGTGGTTGGGTTGTGTTGTGTGTGTGTGTGTGTGTGTGTAAATGTGTAATTGTGGTAGTATGTGCATATGAGTGTTGGCAAAAATAAGAAAACACAAGACAAACGACGCGACTTTAGTACAACAACAATACCAGAAATAGCTAAAAACGCGAGCCACATGGCACAATAACGGAATACAAATATTCAAAAATTTATGAAATTCATGGAATAAATTGCTTGAGTTTTGGGGGTTTTCATTTGATTGTAAGCTTGATTTTGTTTCTCTTGACTTTTGCATTTTTTAGCTTTCTTGTGGAGTTTAAGTTTTGTAAAGGGTCCAACAGTGAAACAGAGTAGGACAGAGAATGCGGAATCCCAAAGTGTTTGCGGAATCTGGAAAAAATTGTTTAATTTGTTAAAGGTCAAGTAGTTGTTATTTACCTGAACCATGGCGGCACCACCCACAAGGCACTGGACGACACTTACGTTGTTATACGCTATTTCATTGCTGCTGCTGTTGTCGTTGTTGGTTTTGGGTTGGTTTTTGTTTATGTTGCTATTTGCTTTTGATTTAATTTCTATACTTCTACTTGATCATATTCTAGTTAATATTTTGGTCTTGCATTTGTTCTTGATTTTACATTTTTGTCGATTTTTAAATTTTTTTCGGTTTGCTTTTTTTTTTTTTTTTTGTTTCATTTAGATATCGGTATTTCTTGGCACTTAGAATTTAAATAGTAGTACATACAATTCGCATTGAGAGTAAGCTGTGCATACGAGATGCCGGTAGCTGTACTTACCTTGCTGCAGCCGAAGCTCTTCTTCGTTGTTGTATAGAAACAGATAGCGCTCCTCTTCGCATAGCTGCTCCGCACGCTGCTCCTCGGCGCTCAGATATTCAAGACGATTGCCGTAGCCTCCAGGTGGCGCTTCGTATGTTGATAGTTCGCACAACGCTCCACGCACGTCATATCTATATATACATATATATAGATGTGTGTGTGTAAGTGTGCGTGCATGTGTGTATGTATGTGGGTGTCCAAAGAAAAGAATAAGAGAAATATAAACGGGAAAAATAACGTTGTTAGTTAACAACGTCAACATTGATCAGAAGGTGTTTATCACACTCAGTCACAAACACAAACAAACTCACGCACACACACTCACATCCACACACACGCACGCACGCATACACACAATTGAAATCAAATAATAACAAAAGATCTTTCGACCTTTCGGAACCGAAAAGAAATATTCATCTCGATCAAATTGCTTCACACAGTTGTTAAATAAATTGTATTGGTTAAATTAAATGTCTATAATTATGTATTTGTATATATATATTTTATCAATTATTAGATAGGTCTTAATCATTCATACATACCGCTCCGGTTGCTAAAAAAAAGTTAATTGTTTGACGATTACAGTTTAAGAATTTGTTTAAAATTATATTACAGTTTGAAAAGCACTGAAAAGAGCTGTTATTACAATGAGAAAGCTTTTACAGTTGCAAAGTCTAGGTCAGTCCGGTGTCTTTCACCTCCTCCCTTCCTATTATTCATTTATGTTCATAGTTTATCTTAAGTTGACTGTCTACGAAAATATTGGACTAAAATCGATGAGAAGAGAAGTTGTCAAAGTTTTTAGTTATGGTAGAATTCTAAGGTTCGGGTCACGTTCGGTCCGGGCTTATTTACTGTTATGAATTTTGCAGTTGTATGTTTCTTCACAACTATGTTTGTCATGTATATTGTTGGCTAGTGAAATGTGCCAGTTGCTTTGTTTCTCTTCTGCTACATAAACATATGGGATCAAAGATGTAACATACATATATGTATATATATATACACACATACAAGTACAATATGTATGGTTGTATAGCGGTATTATATTAGGTATAATTAAGCTTAAAGCCGCCGGCAGGCAACAATTATTAACCTGTCTATTTTGAGATTTACATCGCCCATCCAGGGAATCAGCTGTTTGCCATGATCCATCTCGCGCGCCTTTTCATCGTCCCGAAAAATCTTGCAAGCATAGCCAAACACGAGCAGTTCTAGTGGGGGCTGGCGTGGATCGGTTGCCTGCCCATTTGAGCACATGCCGGATGCTGTTGCTGATGCTGTTGCAGCGCCTCCCGTTTTGCGCAGAATGCCATTGATGCTACCGCCAGCGTACTCACGTACCATTGCGTTGCTGCCGCAGGCACGCATATTGTAGGGCATCATTTATTTTGATTTTGCAATGTGCAACCACACACACACATATATATATATATATATATATATATATATATATATATTTACACTCTCACTTCGTTTTGGCTCAAGCACTTTTATTTATTGCAATCAGTTTGCATTTTTTGCCACCAAATGTATTTTTCTTGTTGATGTTGATATGCATATGCCAGACAAGGGTTAAATGGAGATATATCGATGAATTGACAATGTCGATAGTTTTCAAAGCACTTCTTTTCAATAGCGCACAATGGTGTGAGTACTGTTCACATCCAAGAAATATCGATATCGATAAGAATTGTCTCGGCAACGTCGTCTGTTTTTTAAAATATCAGAATATAAATTGAAATGAGAGCCAATGGATTCTGTGCACATATATATATATACATATATGAATTTATTAAAGTTTATATTATCAAACTATATTTTACTGAATACTCAATATATATAATGTGTCTAACTACTCGCATGTGGGAACTTAAGTGTGCGTAGCTTCGAGTAGATAATATCCCAATCAACATAGGCTCCTACGAGATGCCGCTTATTTTGCGGTGAATCTTCGTACGCAGTACGTCCATGCAGCATGCGAAGATTGTTAAATACAAAGACATCACCAGGACGCGTTTTGAACTCCACAGCTTCAGCTTGGGCAAGTTGAAGAAACTTGTCATAAGCCTCGTACCAGGACATGACTTTGTCCAACGGCACAGTAAAGCGACTGTCGCGTTTAGTTGTGTTTTGATTGATACGTGCATACTGGCCATCAACATCCAGGCAAATGACGGGGGCACGCCATAGGCTGTGGAACGGTTTGCCTGCGTCGCCATCGTGTCCAATGTCGAACCAATTAACAGGGATGGTGCACAATAACTCGTAATACTCTGGATGCTCTCGACGCATCTTGTCGGCTATGAAAAACCCATCGGTCATCATATTGGCGCCACCCGGTGACTCCGATTGAACCAGCGTATGCAAAATGTTTATGCCCGCCTTGTACTCATAGTAAGGCATGTCTGTGTGGAGCGGCAATGGGGTCATCAGATACGCATAGTTGTTGGCATTCGGCTTCGACTTCACCTCAAATACATCCCTTTTCAGAGCGCAAACAAACTTCAATTAGCTTAAAAAATATGAACCTAAAATACTGAAAATTACCCGTAGGTGGTACGCTTTATGTGGCCAATGCGTTCGGCCAGATGGCGCGCGACTTCCGTGTCGTTCGGTGCACCCCGCAATAGTGCGAAGCCCTTTACGGCCAGTGCCTGGAGCCAGTCGCGCAAAACTGAATCCTGTTTGAGCACATCCTCATAGGAAAACTCGCGTGTCACCTCGCCAAACTGTGGTTTGCCCCACAGCTGAACCGGCGGCTTGTAAACTTCATTTAGATATCGTTGCCTGGAATCCTGACCGAAATCGCGCTCCTGCAACCACTCCAAGTCGTAGATAGAGTTGTGCGCATCTTCCCAATTGACAATCAGTTGTTGACTTTTCTCGTCGTAGCTCACGAGTTCCGGCTGTACGTTCAGCGGACCACGTTCCCAGTGGCTTTTGCGTACCCGAGTCGACGCATGGAAGCACTCACTGCACTGACAATTGTCCCGCAGCCAAATACTTGGATACTTGAGCTTTTGTCCATCTGGCCGTGCCAACTCCACGTAACGCTGATTTAGCAGCTTGGCCGTAATGCCACTAGCGTGCCGTTGAAATTGACGGTTTAGCATCTGGCCAATCAAGTGCTTGCAACTCAGCATGTTGACAATTACTAAAGGCTGAACAATGAACGGGGAACAGCCGATGGGTGATAATTCCCATCGCTTATCAACAAGTGGTGCTGCACGTGCGCTCTGCTTATCACTACTCTTGTACCATTTCGTTCTCTCCTTTATTGTCATCTATGTTTGCTTGATTGCTTGTTTGTAGCACTTGGACAATCGCCTCCGTACGTTCCACCCAGCACTCATTGTGCGTGTCAACGTGAAAGCGACGTTTGGCGCCGCACAAACTACACTCCAAGTACAAATTGGTCTGTTCATCTATATTAATAGTGGATGCAGCTTCTGCTCGATCCACTTTGCTCGCATCTTTGTGAAACTTGTTGCGCTTGCCGCGCAGTCGACGATGGCGTCGTTTGCTGGCAGTGCTAGTTGGCTTCTCTACTTCCATGGAAATTTGCTGCTGTTGCTCCTCCACTTTCAATGTGGTGTTGACACCCGGTAGCAACGGCAAAGAGCACCGGTTGCATAGCGTGCGTTTCAGAGCCGGTGATCTACGTCAAAAGGTAGTATATTGTTAGCTATAATATAAATACAGCATCACTTAGGAGCTCACATCTTAACAAGCGCTTTGGTGCCCACGTTGCGACAAAGCTTTCCATAGTAAGCGGCCAGGGTGTTGTTGTTGCTGTGTGCCATTAAAGTGGACGCCTGGTACAAGAAATTCATTCTGGAGCAAACGTGACGTTGTGTCAAAGATTTTCGATTGCCCTTGTTGTTTCCCATGATTGAATATACTTTAATTCATAAAAATTGCGAACTGTTAACTTCTTGATATAAAAGAGATTTAATTTTAATATTTAACTGTAGGACATATGTAGTCGGCATTAAACTATTAATCGTGTTCACTTTCGATACATGAAGCAATCGATAAATAAAGGAATGGTACCATAATTAATAAATAAACAGGCAACAAACAAAATATAAAATGTGTGCACTATTGAGTATCAATTATGTCCAAAAGTAAATGTTTCTTAGACTAACTTTTACAATGAACACAATGCAATATTTTACGTACCACCCAAAAGTGGCTGTGAACGTTAAGACATTGCCATTCACAGAGTTGCGCGAGCGCGCTAAACAGCTGTCGATTTCCCGCCTTAATTCGATCCCGCAGCTGTGGGGCATGCAGGCCGCAAAGACCTGAAAGCGAGCTCTGTGCGAAAAAGCGATCAAAAGCAAATCCAGAAAAATGCAACGCGCAATAAAACCCAATTAAGTGCCTCAACAGCAACATTGCATTTATAAAGTAAAACGACGCTTAACGTCTACAAGTGTCGCTATTTGACATATTTAATTATTTATTTGTACAATTTGTTTTTTTTTTTGTGTGTCTCTGTACCGATCGATTTGTTACCACTCCCCACGCTTAGGGGCTTATTGTGCGCGCAGCAATCATGTTCATACAGGACTTGAAGAATGACTTTTATAAACAACTGATAGGCAAGCGCATTTTGATTATAGTTAACTATGATGTCGACGCGATCTGCGCTAGCAAAATCCTGCAGTCGCTCTTCAAATATGATCACATGCTCTACACTGTGGTGCCCATAATGGGCGTGACAGGACTGCGACGTGCGTACTCGGAGCACCAGGGCGATGTTAAATACGTGCTGCTGATCAATTGCGGTGGATGTGTAGACATCGTAGAGCTGCTGCAGCCGGCGGAGGACGTCACCTTTTATATATGCGATTCCCATCGTCCGCTGGATGTTTGCAATGTTTACAGCGATCGTCAGGTGTGCATTCTGGGCGATCCAGCTCTGGAGGAGAACATACCTGGTTTTGAAACCATATTCTATGATTCAGACGGTGAGGATGACGATGACGACGACGACGATGAGGATGAGGATAGGAATGGGGACAGCGGCGCTGGCGAATCCGATGACGGCGACAGCTCGGAAAGGGTACGCGCTCCCAAGCTTAGTCGTATGCAGAAACACGAGCAGCGTGTCCTGCGACAGAGGGCCAGAAGACAATGGGAATCTGAACGGGATCGCATCATGTTCGACTACACACAATTCAGCTATTACGGCCGATCAACGGCTCTATACATCTTCGAATTGGCCTGGAAGTTATCCAAAGACAACATGGACCTGCTCTGGTGGGCCATTGTCGGCATCAGTGAGCAGCTGCTGCTAGGCAAGATTGAGAGCGGCGCCTATACACTCGAGCTGGAGCACATACAATCGCACGTGTCTCGCCTCACCAATAAGACTAACGATCAAAACACAATGAGTGCTTCGAAGATCAGCTTCGAGAACGACTTGCATTTGGTGCTCTATAGACACTGGACGGTAACCGAGTCCATGCGGTAAGTGAAGTTACTAAACTTATAAGCTCTCCGATTGAACTTTCGCATTGGTTTAATTGCCAGCTACTCACGCTATTCCGCTTGTCAGCTGAAGCTGTGGACCTTGAGGGGTGAGAAGCGGCTGCACGAGCTGCTCGTTGAAATGGGCCTGCCTTTGGTGCACGCGCGACAAACGTACAGCGCCATGGATTTGATCTTGCGCAAGGAATTCTACTCCATGGTGGAACAGCTAGCCGAGAAATATGGCATTCCGGACATTGTCTATGGCACCTTCACACTCAGCTATGGTTATCGCAGTCGGTATGCAGCTGCCGACTATGTCTATGCCCTGTTGGCCATTCTACAGTCGGTGAAGAAGCATAAAACTCCAGAGGACTGTTTTATGGAGGCTTCGGACGCACTGACGCGCCAGCACAAGCAACTGCTCAACGTGGGCATTGACAATGCCAAGCTGCTGCATGCGGCCATCTTTCGGCAAGTGCAGAGCTGCCTGGAGGCGCATCAGGTACATTCGACTGGCTCCTTTTTCTATTACGTACTACAAGAGGAGCATGCCTTCTTTTCGTATCCATATGCTCTGGCTCTGCTGGCCAAATTCGTGCTGCATGGCCATGTGGCCACGACGAGAGTGCGTCAGGCGCCGGATCTACCACTCATTGCCACCTGTCCACTGGACGCGTCGCAGGGCATGTGCCTGCTGGTGGGCATTGCGCCGGTGCGCGAAGACTCGCCGAAGAACTTCTTTGGCAAGGCTTTTGATCAGGCGGCGCAGAAGAGCAAGACCAGTTTGCTTCAAGATTTCTTTGAACCGTCCATCGTACAACTGCGCCAGAGCGACTTGACTCGTTTCCTAGACGCGTTGACCGTGCTTCTAACCTAAGCTCAAATGCTCCCCACAAATATAGTGTAGCTTAGCGCCTAGGACAGTATATTGATCCACTGACCCTTGGTATTTCGGACTAGATCATTTTTAAGATAATCTAATTTATAAACAATTGTTTTTTTATTAGCATAGCAATTTTTTTTCGCCATTGCTGCTAGGACTACTTATAGAAAATTATATAAATGTACATCAATAACTTAATTAAACCGATTACGAATAAGACTATGTAAACTATGTTAAGCTGACCTAAAATTGAATATATGGAAATAGATTAAGCTATGCGTTTGTGGCATTCGATTTGAAATTGTGTAAAACAGACAACAAATATATAATAATAATAGTGTTTACTATAGGAACTGGATGTTTTTTATATTTAACCTTAGAGCGATGGGCTGCATATGCTGCAGATAGAAGATGCATTGCAAAGAGTTATGAGTTTTGTTTTCTATCTATATTTATGTACATTTTTACAGAAGTGTAAGTGTATAAAAAAAATATATACCATATACAAAAGTCATGTAATTAACTGTTATCGCTCCATGGCCACTTGCTGCTGCTTGCGATGCAACGGTTCGCCATGCAGAATGCGCGCAGCTCCCAGGCATGCCACATCGTCATAGAAGACAGCATATTGACCTGGGGTGATGGCGCGCAGTGGAACATCCAGCTGCACCTCGAAGGGACGCAGCTGACAGTCGACCAAAGGTTTTGTGTGCTGGAAGCGAAAGCGACAACGCAGGCTGCCTTCTGTGGACAACTTTTGCCGTGCCCGGCTGCATAACCAGTTCACTTCGTCAATGTGAATGCGGGTGCTGTGTAACGCGGGATGTTCATGGCCAGCGGCTACGTAAATGATATTGCTGGCTGCGTCTTTGCGGGCCACAAAGTATGGCAGAAGATAGGAACTTAAGCGACAGCGCTGTCCTACGGTCCACTGGTGAATACCCTCGTGGGTGCCCACTATACTGCCGCTATCGACGTCCACAAAGTCGCCCGGTTTGGAGATTATGTACTGTTATTTGTTGGGGTGAAGTGGAATTGAGTGCGTCAATACAATTTGCGTGAGTATATATCTACCTCCCGTATAAATGCCTTGAAGTCGCGCTTGCCCACGAAGCAGATGCCGGTGCTTTCACGCTTTTCTGCAAGGCGCTGCAGACCGATGCGACGCGCCAACTCCTTTACGTCAGTCTTCTTCAGGCCACCTAGCGGAAACATTGTGCGCTGCAGTGCTGCCTGTTCTATGCCGGCTAGAAAGAAGGTCTGATCCTTGAATGTGTCGGCGGGTATGAGCAAGCGAACATCTTCCGCGCCCCGGCTTCCGGCATGCTCCAGAAAGTCTCCCAAACTGTTGCGAGCATAATGACCAGTGGCTATGGCATCGTATTGAAGCGTATGAAGTGCGTGCTGATGAAACAGGTTGAATTTGATATGCTTATTGCACAATATGTCCGGATTCGGAGTCAGACCCTGTTGATAATCCTCTAAGAATTGACTAAATACCGATGTCCAGTACTGCTTCACATAGTTAACTTGGCGTAGCTCAATATCCAGTTTCCGGCAAGCCCATTCCGCGTCCTTTAAGTCCTGCTCGCCACTGCAGCGGCCGGATTCATCGTGCTCATCCCAGTTACGCATAAATATGCCAAGCACATTAAACCCCCGCTCCTTGAGCAGATGTGCGCTGACCGCGCTGTCCACGCCCCCGGAGACGCCCACCACCACATTGCGTATCATTATGAAACATCCAACATTTGACCAGTTTATTATGATCTCCACAGACGTATTCTTACCTTCCGCTGTTTCAGTTTTGAGTGTGACCAAGTTGAGCAATGTAGTATTTTTCGGAGTCAATATGGAATCCCAATGCATGCTGGTATTTTTTGTGGCATTCCCAAATTGTTCTTGAGTTTGAAAATGTATTAAAATCTCACTTGACAAAATTAAGAACATTTTATTTATATATCTATGTACCTGATTAAAACTTTTATTACAAATGTTATGACTATGCAATTTTTTTTTAGTTGTCAATTGTATATAAAGTTGCATACATAGATGTTGTGTTGCCATTAAAATGGCGTTTCATTTATAAATCTATCATGCATATTACGTTTGAATTAAATCCTTTCATTAATCAATGTAGTATTAGAAAGTAAACAAATGGAAAACAGATAGAAATTGTTTCCGTTTGAGCTTTCATGGCGCATGAGAGCCGTTTTTTTTTTGTTCTTGGAACGCCCTACGTATTTTTGTAAAATACCGTTACTTTTGGCATTATTTGCTTCTTGTGGGCGGTTACACTGCTGCAGGCTGTGTCTCAATATGCCGTATTTACTGTTAGTTCATTCGTCGTCTTTATCGCGTTCGCATGTTGCGAGCTTTCGTGCGAATTTGGATTTTGTGTTTTTAGAAGTTCAACGAATTTCAGAGTTTTCGAAGTGCGTGCACATGTAGATTAACGAAACACCTTGCCAAATATTTTTTTCGAGTGTTTGGGTATGTGATTGGTCGAAAGAATCGTGTCAAACCTATGTAGAGTGCGGTCCTTTTTTTTAATCCTGCGAACTTATCTCTTATATTTAATGTTTATAATTCGTTTTAGAGCGCCACTCGTACAGCTGTTGGTATCGTAAAGTGAGATTGAAAGCGACCTCGTATCAGCAGCAGCGTGCATCGTTTAATACAAAGGTAAGCCCGCTTTAAAATTGAGGTTATGTATGAACTGTTGATCAAGTCAATTGAATTTACTCTTTTTATTTTTGAGGTTATGGTTGAAGTTGGGCGCGTCTTAACTGGTATCTTTAAGAATTCAAACTTAATCAAAGAAGAACACTAAAAGTAAATATAAAACATATATGTTTATATCCTAAGGTCAAAAATGAATTGTTGAAGAGTTTGAAGTTCCTTGGGTGCTCCCAAAGGTTTAATCCTGAAAATGTAATTATTTGCTGTGCTTTATACATCCTTAATAAGCTCAAATCTTTTGCTGTGCCCAGCTGTCAAAACCAAGCAAATCTTTTTCATTTTTATTTTCTTTTGCTTTTGCGGCTCTATTCTTTCTGAGAACATTTTCCAAAAAGGTATTCAATAGCCAGCAATGGTCGAAGTAGCAACCACAAAGGAAAATCTCTAATTAAAAATTAAACCCAAAATAAAATAAACAATTTACTCTGGGTATAACAATAAACCGAGTTCTCGGGGCTTGCGTTAATTGTTAGCCAAAAAGTTTTAAAAGTTCTTTCGTGTAGAGACAACATTGACTTGATTTGCTATCAAAGCGGCTAAATAGCCCGCAGTATCATTGACTAAAATAAAATAAAACGAAACATTTCGTCATTTCGGTCTTGCTCTCTAGGCACTTTCCTTTCTATTTACTTTTAGTGCAATTCAAGTTGTGCTTGAACTTTGCCAAGGCTTTCAAAAGGAGGCCACAGACATTTGTCAAGGTTCTCTATAGAAAAATATTTTCTTTAACTGTGTGCACACACACATATATATATATATATATATATATATATATATATATATAAATATGCCAAAATATTTTAAAGTAACTTGAGAGAGTGGGCGAGTGGGTGGTTTTTTGTTACAAATGCATAATAATAAATGGCTACAATTTGCAGGGAAACGGAAACAATTAGGAAATAGAAACAGCGAGCGGAAACGTAAGCTGGGAGGGGACAGTGGTGCATGGAGAGTGGTGATTGGAGAGTGGCGAGAGAGAGAGTGAGAGGGCTAAGCGTATGGCAGTTGGCAATCTGTGCAAAGAGTTATGTGTGCCGAGGTGTGTAGGGTTCGGGAAATTGTTTTGGTCACAACAATTAAGCCAAACTGAAATGGACGCAACATTAATCAAGTGAGCAGGCCAAACGAAGTGTGGCGGCGTGGCAGCGTAGGTGCCAGGGTGCCAGTGTGCCAGTGTGCCAGGGTGCAAGGGTGACTGGGTGCAAAGTGACAAATAGGCATGGCTGCAGGTCATGCAGCATAATGGCGGGTCGTTCTCAGTCGTCAGCTAAATGAAAACGGCAAGCGCAAAGGGAAGCGGAAACGGAAACGTGGTTAGCCCTAAAAAGAAGAAAGAAAGAAAGCGAAAAGTAAAAGAGGATGCCAATCTGTTGTGCAGTAAGCGGCTTTGGGGCCACTTTGCGTGATTCATTTTGCAATTTGCAAGAGATAACAACATGGAAACTCTATTGCTCAGAACAGCGTTTTGGGAACACCGAGGCCGGCACATCCTTTCGCCTGGCAACCTTTTTAAGCTGATTTCGTCAGCTTTGGCTTGTGTTGCGTCTTGACTTGCCCAAGTATAAAAAAAAAATAAAGTAAAAACAAAAAGCAGAAAAACAAAAACCAAAGCGAAAACAATTTCCGCCAAAATTTACGAATGGTTTTTGATTATGAAATGACGCACGTGGCGGTCGATTGGGGAATTGGGGTATTGCACGGGGGCTGGGCTCCGAGGCTTGCACTGAGCACTTGGAACACTGGGCGTGGTCGCACTTGAAACTTTGCCAACTCTTATTGTCGTTGTTGTTGCTATTGCTGCTGTTGCTGATGTTGTGTGTTGTCGTTTGTAGCTGCTACGCTTATTAAATTTGTTTGCTCTGTTTTTTGGGGATGCTGTTGCGCCCACTGTTCATCGTAAAGATGAAGGCAGCAGCAACAGCAACCACTCCCATCCCATCCCACCCCATCTCAGTTCCACTCCGCCTCCTGCTCAAAACTTTCGGCTCGTATCTTGATGTAAATGCTGTCCCAAAACATTGCCGGGAAATGCTTTCAACCTGAAAACAGGCGCTCGCTCCTTGAGTTTGTTGTTTTCTCATTTAATTTTTATATGTACGCTTATATATATGGAGAGCTTGCCATGTACCGTTAAGCTCTTCAGATTTGATTAAAGTTAATTGGCAGTGGGTCAAAGCTATTGACGGCTGGGCGTCACATGACGAGCTCAGAACGGAAACTTTTCACGTTCCCATATTAAAATCTTTACTGAACTTTTTAAATTCTTACAGGCATAATTATATAATTGCTTTTTTTTTAATTTTTTTTTAGAATTTTTAAAGAGATTTTTATCTTGAACTAAATTTTTTTGACAATGTTTAATTAATGTATATATATATATATATATATATATATATATATATCTATATATATACGTAGATCTAGCAAATTTCTAATGAATATGTGTTATGAAACTGCATATTGCTTAAAATTGAATCTAATAAAACAAAAATTAAAAGCGTTCACTTAAAATATATAGACTAATGAACTAATTGAATGATATAGTAGTATTTAGTATGTGTATCGTATTGCTTGTTGCATTATTTGGGATCGTCTCTTCCTGCCGCCTCCCGTGTCCTTATGCATGGTCTCTTTTCATATTTATTTTCTTTTTCCTTACTCTATTCTACTCTACTCTACTCCTACTCTACTCCTACTCTACTCCTACTCTACTCCTACTCTACTCCAACTCTACTCCCATTCTACTCCTACTCTACTCCCACTTTACTCCTACTCTACTCCTACTCTACTCCTACTCAACTTATATTATCTACTCTACTCCACTCACTTCTCTACTCTTCTGTATTCTTCACTTATCTTTTCTTCTCTTCTCGACACTTCTTAACTTCTCTGTACTATTATCTTATCTTATCTTCTCTTCTTATCTCTTCTCTTCTCATCTCTTCTCTTCTCTGGAAGTAAAGCTGAAAACAGCTAAAAAGTTTTGGTTTCCTTCTGTAATAAACTCAAAAAATTCGATTAATAGTTCTTAAGAAAAGTGAATTAAAGACTTCCAATAAATGTGTATTCATGTATTCACAGCCAGGGTATTTTGTAGTCAAGCATAGCTGTTTGTTTTAAATTAAGATAAAAGGAACAAAAGAATGCTTGGTTATTCAAAACAAGTTTCAGGTTACGAAAATTTCACTTAGCCCAGATTGCAATGCATCGGAAAATCTGGAATGTTTCAATGCACGCATAAACACACACACACACACAGAGAGAGAGAGGGACACACACACACACATATATATATATAAGTTGAGTATGTTGCCTGTCATTGGGCTGTGAAGCTGGCGAAAATGTAATTTAAATCATAAATATAATTTTCATTTAATGAATTGGATCATGCTGCAAGTTGCTTGAGCTGCCTGCTCATGTGTTTACGTGCTGCATGAAGCACAGGCATACGCACACGCACACGCACACGCACACACACATACGCATGCCGCCTTCTGGTGGCAGCACTGACGTGCAACAAATATTTTACATGACTGGCTCAAAGACGGCAAGAGAGAAGAAAATTGTTGTAAAGCAGCAGCAGCAGCAGCAGCAGCAGCAACAACAAAATGACTGCAAAACTTTTCACATAAGAAATTCTCGCATTCTCCTTTGCCCTCTAAAAGCACTTTATCGCTACTGCTGGCATCATCAAGTTGATTAAGTGCATAACTTTGCATTGGTGTTTGTTGCAAATATGAATGGTTGGAATCTGTCAGGAAGTTTTGCCAATTGCAACTGCTAGGACGGCAAACATTAATTTGGATGCTGATATGCCTCGATCGAGCTGCGCCCTGGCTAATCCCGAGCTCGGCTTATGGCGGCTGATTATGCAACGGTAACTGTCAACTGTCGACCTACCATTTTATAGCCCAATGCCCATTGCTTCCAGCGCCCATCTTCCATCTCGCCATCGCCATCGCCATCGTCATCGCCATCGCCTGTGGCCTGTATAAGCTGTCGCCTGTCCAGGTGAGCGGCTGTGCAGCTGTGCAGCAGGCAGCAGGCAGTTACGTATACAAAAGCGCAAAAGCTGTAACACAATGGCTAACTGCGGGCAAAGAGTCAAGCGGGGGGCTGCTGAAATTGAGGATGGCCTTGCATGTCCGTGTGGCATGCCGCCCCGCGACCCCCTTTACAATGTTGCACCCCCGTGTGCCACAATGTCGCCTGTCATTGTTCGGGCAACGTTTGGGGACAAGAATAGCAGCAGGAGCAACAACAATAAAAATAACAGCAAGCACAACAAAAACGAACGCCATTCAGCAAAAATGAAAGAGAAACATACGAAAATTTTTGGCCATGTGTAATCCAAGTGGGTAACGAACGTCTGCCCCAGCAGCCAGTTCGTCCAGCAGCAAGGACATGGCACAGTTAACGATAGCGGAAGCGGAATTGGCGCGTGGTGGAATGATAGCGGGTGGCCTAATTAGATTTTCGCCACAGTTACACCAATTCCATTCAAAATCGATAGACATTCCATGGCTTGATCGAGAAATCAGTATGAATGTGTACATACTATTCACAGTCTTTAATCTTATCGATATATAATCGATAAGTGATCGATTTTTGAATATTTTTACTCAGTGCATTTCTTACATTTCAAAGTCTATGCAAATTGTCTTTGACTTTATTGATATTTTTTATATATGATCGATTTCTATACGATACAAAATGAATATCTCAAAGTATTTATTTAGCTTGCATGTCTCTATTATTTTGTGCTGAGAAAGTTCATAGCCTAGTTGACTCGTCACTTGATTTAATTGATTTGCTTAATTGATTTTCGACCGATGCGTACTTACTGCATTTACCAGGAATTCGGCCGAAATATGAGTAGACTAATGATGATTGAGTGCGATTTACATTTGATATCCGGGCTTATTGAGTCTATCTCCGTCTCTCTCTCTCTCTCTCTGCCCCTAGTAACAGCCTGTCCTATTTCAAATCAGTTGAAATTTATATACAAACTGCATTCCACGTTAAGTTCTCTACTTAACGCTGTGCATTCTGTTCGGGATTTTCATACTATAGAAATCGGAGGGGCAACGACAGGCAACGGCCTTAAAAGCAACTCGCTGCAATGCTGCTAAATCAAAGGGCGGAGCTAAGCGGATGGATGCAAATGACTGCACTTTGAGCTTTTGAGATTTGCATGCATAAGATATGATTGAAATTGGTCGGCTGGGGCGGGTCGTAAATAACAGTTAACTGCAACCTAAGTGCTGTCAAATGTTCGTAGTTGAGTATGAAATGCTTCCTTTAGTCAGTCTCCAGGCATGCTGTATTGTCAATGTCTTATGCCTGCTCGCCAGAGCACTCATTTCGAAACAAAAACACACAATAATTTAACAATTTTTGGCTGCAGAAAAACGTATATAGAAATTCGCTTGAATAGCTGCCACGAGCGCGCAGGAAAGGTAGACAAGGGCAAAGGACCGACAGGAGAGTGCGAAGGTAATGTGAGGCATGGAACACAATGAGCCCCAAAACTGCACCGAGACTCTTCGGAATATGCGTCAACAGATCGCTCTGGCCAACGTCCAGCAGATGCTGGGCAAGATAACGGTAAATTGCTTTAGGAAATGCATTGAGAGGCCAGGAACATCGTTGGCCAGAGCTGAGGAGCGCTGCGTGGTGCAATGCATGGATCGTTTCATGGACTCCCTCAAGGTGGTGTCTCTCACCTACAGCAAGCGACTTATGCGGGAGACTAAATAGTGCCAACATCCGAGCCGAGCTCAAGAGATTTTTTAAACATGCTTGTACCTGGCATATCCTCGAGAATAGTTCGCCTTTGTTCTCCTTTAAAAAAAAAAAAAACAATGAAACAAATACATCACTTAGCAATGTTTAATGTGGTTGCGGCGGCAAATGCTTGTAAGCCAATATGGGTCATTTGGCCATTTTGACTCGTCTCCGATGGTTGCTGCTCACAGCTTGCTTAGGCGTGAACTCTCCGGACCTAACTGGCCGTGACTTTTTCTTGCTTCCTAAACTAAAGAGGTTCATGAAAGGACAACGCTTGATGATAATGTCAAAGAGGGCATCAAAGTTGAACCAGCTTACAAAACATGAATTTCTGAAGTGCTTCGAGGATTGAAAGATCTGAGGGGGATTACATTAAAGGGGCTAAAATTGATATTCATAATAAACAACTTGTGATAGAAATATACATAGATCCGCAGCTTAAGGGAACTGCACAATGTATCGCAAAAGGGTTCAGCTATCCCCGATTCTCAATTGCTTAAGTTCGTATTGTATTTTATTCATATTCTTATGGCTCTTGGCTTTTACCTAGCTGCCAATCATGTTAACTGGACGAGTCTAGGGCTTTCATGAAATCTGTACAATATCTGCTTTTTCATACATGCTTATCTTTCTTATTAGTGTCAAGTATTTGTGCGAGGTGCTTTCATCAGCTGTAACATTATTATCCCGATACGTGGCACGCTTGATGCGAACTAAGGCGCAGAATTGTCGTATAAAAGAATATTTTATATATACATATTTGGGTTGCAAGCGTAAAAGCGTCAACAGTCGATTAGATTTAGCATGTTAAATTTGTTGACATCCAAAGCCAACAAGTCGCCACATACACCCCTTTGATCTCCGAGATCTGGTTGCTACTCCTCGCTTGCTCTCAACAAGTAAGCGTCAGAATAAGCTGAGCTGGTGCGCAGTGCGACAAATCTACTTGCCAGAAAAACTGTCAGTTTTGCAAAGTGTAATAAAAGTAACTGGGATGCCACAAAAAAGGGACGAGCGGAGTCTCTGTGTCTGTGTGTGTAGGTGCGTGTGTGTGCACAACAAATAACGAGCAAGAAAATAAAACGCATGGAAATATGGCGATGAATACGTAAAATAGATGAGGCGCGCAAAATGCAAATCCACAGGCAGCTTCTGCGTGCGTGTGTGTGGGAGTGTGTTGTGGGGTCGTGACTAGATTGTGGGAAGCACGCTTTGGGGCACGCGATGACGTCAGCAAATAAAAGGCTTAAAGGCAACGCGAAGCAACCATAAAAGGGACAACAAGCTCAACAAACGCACAGACTCACATTTAAATTTGAAGAACACACAAACACCACTACAAACCTTACTACAAATGTGCCATATGTAAACGTGCACATGTCCTAACATATGCAAAGCTGAACACTTTTAATAGGCCTACTTGCTTTTATACCCTGGAACAAACCTAGTCAGCCAATTGTGTTGTCCGTTGAACGTAGCTGAAACGAAAAAAATATACAACGTCTCTTTGGCTTATATCAATTCAATCTGTTTTATGAGAACTTACTTACAGTCTCAGCACATTTCATAGCAGTGCTATTCGCCAGTTACTAGAGTATCTACCGGTCGCCCACACACTCGCAAAGGTTTTTGTGTTTTTCTTCATTTTTCTGTTGCCTTTTTGTAAGTCGCTTGAGCCACATTCGTGTCTGGTTGTCCGCTGTCTTCTGTTCTCTCTTGTTTTTTACTGTCCAGCCCCAGCTCATGGCACCCCTCAGTGCCTTCCCATAATTCGCCATTTGTTGGCAGCATTAAGTCAACATTTAAGTACAATTTATTATAAATGAATGCCTCGTGCTTAGCTGTAAAATATTTTTGTTTGCCAGCAGAGGAGAGATTGTATCTCAATTGTGCGTTGTGAGTAGAAAATTTTCAAGTGGCTGAGGATTTATTAAGTTTCTTCATTATGCAGGTTAAGCCGAGCTAAATATATATATATATATATATATATATATATATATACTTCTCTTCCAGCTTGTGAGCATTAAAATTAATGCCGTCTAAAGTTGTGTATTATAAATGAGCGCCACTTAATTCGTAAGCATTCCAAAGCTAAGAAACTTTTATTACTTTGCTAAAAATATGTAATATATATACTATTATTATTTGATTCTTTTTATTTTTATTATATATCTCTTATATTCAATTGAACAAACTAAAGTGGCAGCGTCTGCAGACGGAGTGCGACAAAAAAACAATGAAAACTTCTAAAGTATCATTCATTGAGCTCAGTCACATCGAACAGGTGGGCAATCCCAAAGTATCTTGACAAAAGTTTGCAGTATTTGAAGGCGATGCCAAATCAAGTGCTAAGCGTGCCTCAAATTAAATGACTCAACGATAGCCAGGCCAATGGCAATAGGGACTAAAGCTGCCAGCTGAGTCTGCTTTGCAGCATAAAGCCTTTCAGCTCCCATCTGGCCAAGTTGGCTTATCATGGCTCTATGGCTTTCAAATTGTGGGCGTTCAGCAGTTGCCAAGCAGAAATTGTACGAAAATAATTTAATTTTTATATATTTTGCTTTTCCTCTTCTTGTTTCACAAACAAATCATATTCACTTTTGCAATTTGATTGCCAAGCGAAGCTGTTTCATTTGTGTAACTAAAAGCGTTGCATTTTTTGAAATTTTATTATTGATTAACTATTTTGTCGTATGTTGTGAGGGCACTTTGGTCACTTGTAAAATTTTAATAAAATGATTTCATTTAAATTGCATTTGATTGGATTATACTCAATTATGGGCTGCAAAATAAAAGTGTCAAGAGCTTTTGTTTAATTAAATAATGAACTCAGCTCCATTTGTACGCACTCTATTATTTATAAAAGGCATAATCCGCATTGAATGTAATTGGATTTCGTTTCAATGTTACATGACAGCCAATCCATTAGCTTATATTGTCGTGCATGTATGTCGCCTAGACTGCCATAGTTCGCCTCCGAGTATCTAGTTGCCAGTTTATCATGAAGGGAATATATGTATCAACATCAGCATATAAGATACGATCTCTAAAGAATGATTCCGAAATTGATTGCATATATTTCTTACTTTATTCAAACTAAGAATTAGTTCAATTTATGCAAATTGTTAAATAGAAATTCAGGGCATCATAGTTTTGTGAAATTGTTGCAGGCAGAAGCAAGAGCGTGAAAGACGCCATAAAATATATTTTTTAATCATGACGACGAGCTGACGCGAGCTACAAAAGCTAGACTTGAAATTATAAATGCTTATTGTTGTATACCATACACAGCACAAGCTAATCATATATCTTGCGATAGCTCATTTATTATTTCTAATACAGTGAATTTGTGAAGCGTACAACGATTGGAATAGGAACTCTGCCTAGGGCTCAGGGTAGCTGCTATGCTCAATTTATGAACAGATCTTTGATTGATTCCAATTCTAATTAGCTTATATAAAATGGAATACATATGACATTTGTTTATTGGACAGTTTCTATAGAAAAGACTTAGATAGCTTCTTAGACAATATATAATAAAGAATCATGTAACAAAGTAATATCACAGTTACATTCTCAGCTGCTAAACGGTTGTCCTTGACACAGATTCAGCCAAATATACGTATACAGCTCGATTCGCTTAGCTGGAAACCATTTTAAACTGGGCTGGCGAATCATTTGTTGTCATGCGATTGAACTTTGGCTATTAGATATCGAAATAAACACATTGTAACAAGTAAACTGAACTGAATCCAGGCGCAAAATTATATATAAATTTTCGTTTCCCGTATAGAGGGCAAAACTAAATTTCTTTGTATTTTTTAAACGCGTGCATTTTCAATTAGGCAATCGGCCAAAATTTTAAAGTGAAACCATGTCCAATTCGAATGTTAATGTGGAAGCCTGTGCCGAGTCCAGCCCAGCGCCTCGCCCTAGCAATGTGCGACAGCTAATCCAAATGTTCGAACAGCTAACCATCTACGGCGTACAGTCCGCACCGCCACCTGTACTCCGAGGTGAGGCCGTGGCAGCCGAACTGCCGGATCCGAGACCGACAACCTACAAGACGCTTACCTTACTGGTGAATGGACGACGCGTTGCCCAAACCATGCAGCGTGATACCGCCGAGTTGGCGAAAGGCCTGGATGCGGGCTCGTGATAAATTCCTATCTGCAAATTAACAGTGATGACTTATTTTATGTAGCAAAATCGAGGTTCCGATAATCGATAAGTAACTGCACCGCCTTTATGAGTTTGAGGGATAGCCAGGAGGCGTGCGCCGAAAATGAATGCCACATACTTTATGATAGGCGTAATCGATCGGCCTCAGTCAGTATTCCGTGATCCAGTCATAGACTCGTAAAGTGTTGCTGTGTTGTAAAAAAATCTAATTTAAATGTGTCGACATCCCATTGATTAAATGTGAGCATTAAATCGATAAGTTTCCAGTGATTGACTATGAAACTCAATTTTATATCGATAAATATAAATTAGAATTGATACTTATCAATGGATAGATGATAGATGAACTATAATCGATATATATTAATCGATGGCCGTTTGACCTGAGGCTCGATTGAATATCGATAATATAAGTTATCGATATACATTAATTGATGAGCACTTTGATTCTCGTGTAGTTCAATTGGATTTCGATAAATATAAAAAATAAGCGATATCAATCGATTACCTTTTGGACTTGTGACATATATAAATTAATCGATTGTTAGTCTATCGTTAAGGTTTAAATGTTGATGCATTGATATCGAGCGCATAAGCGGTAGCAGCTCTTGCCACTTCCCTAACTGGCACTCAAAACTTTACTCTTGAAAGCCAATTCAAAGACGTTGTGTAACCGGAGTTCACTCAAGTGTCCCACTCGACTCTTTTGTGGCCGAACGCTGTTGCACGTGCTGCACAATGCCAGCGCTGATTGCACATTCAAGACGCATTCATTCAAAGCTTTCTTGAGCTCGAGCTCGGGCTCTTGGTCTGGTCAAAAGTTGGTCAAAACTTTTCAATTGGCTAATTGTTTGTGCTTTCCGCTTGAATGAAATTCTTTGCCCTGTGGACTCCCAGCAAGGTTTTCGGTCCAGCTGTCCAGCTGCAGCTTGTTATACATTGATAGCTGCAGATGAAGTTACACTTAATGCATGCCCCTTTAAATATTTTATCATTTTATTTATTTTCAATTGGCATTTCACTGAAATTCAATTACCCCTGCTCGGCTGCCTGCCCCTGCCAAGCCGTTGCAAATTATCATCGAGTAGGTCGCTGTCAGAAACAGAAACGCAAACAGAAGGACGCAAAGCGCATTGCCGCTTATCTGTTTGTATTATTTACATCAAATAGGCTTTGCCGAATGCTGTACAAAGCATAAAATCAACATGTCACACACAGACACACACATATATATTCACTTGTATTTGCATTTGATTAGTTTGATCATTAGTTTGTTTTGCTTAAACTAATTAGAATTAGCTTTATGTACACGAAGTTGCACAGCCTGAACAACGAGCTTAAGCGGAAGTAATTTAGAGGGAATATACGATAGTCAAACTTGAATGAACACACACTGACTGCACAACACTCGTTCCAGATCCAACAGCTTAATTTATTTAAAAATGCATCGACATATAAAAGAAGAAAAAGACAAAGTCACTAATATATTTATTAGCAATTCCAGCGCTAAGACTGCCAAATATATCCCTTTACCCGACAAAGAGCATATATACTATATATATATATATATATATATATATATATATGCACTCCATATGCTGATATATTTCAAATTTCAAGTGTTTGGGTTGGCTTCTATATATATAGACGGGCTGCAAAGTCGGATGCATTTTGCATAACATCAATATACTCTTTTCCCTTGATGAACGAGTATAGCACTTGACGTTGGTTTATATGCATCACATTGCACAGTTGGAGTTCGGCTTCCATCAATTAGTAAATCATTTTTGACTCTATAACTTATATGTCTACTACTTGCAGGATGTCTAGAAGTCGAAAAATTTAGCCAGAGTAAAAATATACTTTAGCACTTCTTGTGCTCAAAAGAAATTCTTCTTTGCAGTTGCGCCTAGCTTTAAATTTTCTTAAGGATTTATGATGCCTGCAGGATAATTTTTTAGTTTTAGCATTTCGTATTTTATACTTTATACTCAAACACTTTCCGAGATGCTTCTGTAAGTTATATTCTTGGAAAGTTTTCGCTTAAGCTTGGCTGCATCCCATTGAGAGCTCGCAATGCTCATAAAAATCTGGTCAAATATTGCACACATGCACAGGGACTCACACACACACACACACACTATGAAAGTCTACGAAGCTGAACAATGTTTTATTTGCTTGGCTTTGTTTTGCGTTTCGCTCGAGCTGTTAAAATTTTATGTGCCAAAATTTACGTGTTGCACACTGAATGGGTGGGCATGGGCGTTACGGGCGTGCCGTCGTATGTGTGTGTGTGCACGTGTTTATACTGTTTATTTAGCCACATGTATGTGAGTGTGTCTCTGTGTGTGCGTGCATTTATTCATTTATTTGTTTGTTTTGTTTGTTTGCAGCATATGATTTATGCGTTGGCAATGTGTAAACTTTAGCTGCGTTCATATTTCCATTATTGGTTTATCCCAGTCGAATTCTTCCTCTTGTGCAACTTTCCACAGATGAAATATTGCGTATACGGAATGTTGGACAGCCAAACAGCACCCGAAGTTGACTTGCGCCATGTTGCAGTTAAACAACAGCGAACGAATGTAACATAAAAAAAGACTCAACTGATTTACTACACTGCGGTCGCGGCCACAAGCCAAGCCGCAGCTCAGCGCCACGCGGCAGCAACAAATTCAAATTAAACAATAAAATGGGCGCCAAAAAAGATTTGCGGCCTTCATTCTGGTTGCTGCTGTTGTTCGCGCAACCCTTTGAGGTTTTACGGCCTTAACCATATTCAGGCGGCTCAGTCGTATTGCGGGCAACCGCATGCCAATTTGCTAGGGCACGCCAACGTGTTGTCTGTGGGCCCATTGTAAATTGGTTGCGTTTTATTCATATTCCAAATGCCATTGGCCATAGCACTAACATAATTCGAATACTTTGTCAGCTCGAGCTGCAGATAAGTATGCTATAAAAAATAAATGTATAATTTATTCTATCTTGAAATGCAAATATGACAGCCCAGCGCGTAATTTATGTATGAGAGTGTTCGATATGTCTCCAGAGAAATTGTTATACAGTTGAATATAAACAGAAGAAAGCACTATTTTTATTTAAATGATTAAGTCTTCAGAAAATTGTCTTTACTTTAAGCTTTGTATGGCTAAGATCTTAGAGCTGCTACTAGGTAATTGTTATTATTACTGTTATGGTTAGAAGTTAGGGAAACTATCAACCCAACTGGTTTCAACTGGCAACAATGATCTCCATGCACTGTAGACACAATTGTTGGCTAAGCTTAGTTGCACTGAGCTGGAAGTTCTTGAAGAAGAGGAAGCTAACAATGCGATGAGCACGGTGTATGTGATGAGGACAAGCTGTTCCCAAGTTCAGAAAGGAAGCGCATCCTTGAAACGATCTTGGCGCAGCTAGGAACTCAGCTACACGTATCAAGCTTCAGACAATAGCTCATGCCACTAAATAAAAGTTGTTAATTGGAAATCAGCTGACTGAGCTGAGCTATCTGCCGGCTGAGAGGCTTTTGGGGACGCTTCACTTGTCACTTTCGAACTTTTCACATCAACTTCGTTTCATTTATCAAGGGCTCATCACTTAGTCGCTGCTGCCATGCGCCTTGTAGCAGCTGGCTTCAACTTTCAACTTGCAACTGACGCCTCAGCTGCTGGGCGGTTGCTAATAAACAAATCAACTGCCGGCAGGCGAAGTTGTGTAAAGCGCATTAGTGACGCGCCACTTGCCACGTGATGCAGTGGTGCGGCACTGCGTTCATTTATTTCACGTCAGTTGCGGACAATTTTGATGGGCTGCCTGTGTGTGCGAGTGTGTGTGGCTGGACATGGCCCCTGACGACCAGCAGTGAACAATTAACACTTTTTGTTGTTTTTAGGGCGTCAAACAAGCTGCCAAAGGTGTGTGTGTGTGTGCTGTGGAATGCAAATTTGGATTACACAATGAGCACAAAGTTGTTGCACACATTATTCATGACGATGATCACCATGACGATGACAGAGAGTTGAGAATGATTTGCTGACTGGGAATCAGTTGCTTAAATGCAAATGCCAAGGTCCACAAATTGAGTTGATGGCACGTTTTAACGGCTTAACGAGCAGTTTAACGGTAATTATGTGTGTGTGTGTGCCACGTAAATCCATCAGCGTAGATGCAAGCTGTGCAGCTGGCTGTTAAGCGAACACCCATATGCTGCCACAAGTGCTGAAGATAGTATATAGTGACAGGGAATGGGAGAGAACGACAGGCATCGATGCATGGACATGGGCGTGGCATGAGCATGGGCATGGGCATGGGCATGGGCATGGGCATGGGCATGGGCATGAGCATGGGCATGGGCATGGGCATGGGCATGCTTGTTGTCCTCGTCCAATGACCTCGTCTCTCTCTTGTTCTCGCCTTGGCACTTCCTTTTGGCCATTTATTTTGTGGTCTGCCAGCCAAGCAGCCAGTTGCCAGCCAGGGAGCCAGCAGCTGCATGTGGGCCATGTCGGTCACATCCTTCCGCTTTGGACGCATGCAGGCATTTTATTGTTCGGGCAGAACTGCAGCTGCAGCTGGTGATAATGTTACTGATGCTGCTGCTGATGATGATGATGATAATGTGATGATGGTGATGATGTCCTCGGGCAGCCGTACGGCAAACTGTGCGCGGAATGAAATATGTTGCAAAACTGTGCGAAATGCAATTTAAATTTTTGACCCAAATAAATTTCTCGCCTGGCAGAAACTCAATTTCTGTTTTATTCACCTGGACATCTAGCCAATTTCTCCTATGCCCTTCTTTGTTTACCTTCTCAGTTTGGATTTTGACTGCCCGACTCATTCGTCTAACTCTTAACTAAGATATAAAGCTATATATGTATATATCTGCCTTTGGTTATTTCCGCTAATTACATCCAATTGGCTCCTAATTGCTTTTCATTTGTCTCATTTTTGCTTTTGATATTTCTCTTTGAACATTTCGATGACTACGCCTGACCCGCCCAACCCCCAATTGGCCAATTAGCAAAGGCAGAGAAGGTGCCTGCATCAAAATCCTAATTTCCTATCATTTATCTCAGCCTTAGGGAGAGCGCATCTCCTTCCATTCGAAGCAAAAAAAGAACGCAACGCAGACAACACTTAATACCATCAGAAATTTTTCAACATATACACTTGAAATTTAAATGGCCTTACGAGACGCACATAGAAATTGATTTATCGTCCCCCAGTAGTGACCTTTTGCTTTTCATCGAACCTTGAGGCAAGTCATAATTGTGGACTATGTACCGGACTGTATGTTTGGGAACTGCTCGTGCATGAAAGTGGAGCACTCGACGACGCACCGATCGATCGGCTGGATGCGACACCAGACGTGAGCGAACGATTTACCAATTGCAGCTAAGGCTTGGCCGCACGTAGAGGCATTCCTCATCACCTGGCGAGATAGGGAACATATCATCAGATGGCTAGTTGCCTCATTTGAGAGAAACATATCAACTAGGGTCCAGTTGTGAGGGAATGTAGATATTTACAGAAATCGAAGCTGTTGAAGCTGGGTATCGGTGGCAGCTCCATATTTGAGGCAAATGCACTGGTGTCCGAGCATTGCATTGCTAAAAAAAGCTTCGATTTCGCTCCGTCCATTGTGACGGACAGGGGCGGCAATACCGCGTGCTCGTCCAATAGTTCATGCCCCATTAAATCCGGCTCATTCTCTCGTGCCGCTAGCTTCGAATGCTTCACATTTAATAGCTTCAGGTGCGACGGTTGGGCAACTTGACTGAGCATCCTTCGCTTCAGTTCGGCCAGCCAACGCTCTGTGGCCTGGTCGTTGCAATTATGCTGGAACCGCGCATCCAGTAAACGATGACCCAGGAAGCTGCTGTGCTCAAATTTGGCCACCGTTTCGGCCACGCGTCCCCTCACCTCTTGTATATGCCAGTCCTGCCTCTTGCCTGGCATTTGAACCTTGCGCTCTCCCAAGCCTTCAAATTTCTCTATTAACAGTTTAACGCTCCGATTGCTATGCATATTCATACAAGAGACATGCTTTTTATCCATCGCAAGTAAAAATACCGTTGACAAAAACAAAACAACAAAATGTATATTATTATTTATATAACATATATAAATCGAAAGGTCAAAAATAAATAACGGAAATCTTTACTTTTACGTTAGTGAATGACAAATGCCAACTGGCAAAGGCATAAAACTCATTCGCAGCCTACTGCAATCACAGGCAGAATGCGGTATTCGCTCGCTATCTCTCTCGCTCGCGCACTCCCTCACTCGCTTACTCTCTCACTGTCTGTCTTCGTCTGTGCTTGTCTGGTCGCTACTTGTCCTGCCAGCACATCAATCACAATCACTGTACCAGCATTTATGGCTGCTTGTTTGGCTGTCAGTCTTGGCATATTACACATACGCCCAGTGTTCGCCCCGATGACAGCCAGAAGGCAGCAATCGCTCGCGCCACAAGAGTCTCTCGTGTCACGTAGATTAAATACATTAACAAGACGTGCTAAGTCATTGCCCCAAGCCCCAAGGCAGCTAAGCATCGAGGGCTTACCGCAAAGAGCCAAAGCTTATCGCCAAGCAACTTGTTGGATGACTGAAGAGAATGCAGAATTTCTTAATGCGACCATTTCATTTGAATGCTGATTATCGTTCGTTACGTTCAGTCAATGAAATGCGCATTCCAAGGCAGCAGCTGAATAAATTGCGGCTGCCATGTTTCTTTCAATTACAATCGAGTGACCACGAACTTCGCATGCCAAATGCGAGCGAAGAGAAAAAGTTTAAATATGCTAATCAGGCCACAGCATATCACCCTGATGCAGGAAGCACGAACTTTGTTTCATTTATTTGCAGCTATTCGACTCTACCTGCTCGAGTGTCAATGCGTTCTGCATCGCCTTGAGGGCTCTAAAGCTAACATTAAGCATATTTTCTGCTCAGACACGAGTATTGTTTACTAGTTTGCTTGAAGACTGTATTGCCATGTTGCTATTTAGCCTTGAGTGATGCGAAATGAACTTGGAGGATGCCAACTAATAACAGACTCGAGTATAGTAGCAGGCTCACATCCTGCCTACATTTGTTGTGAATCAGCCCCGAGTGCTGAAGTATGTTTACTTATGTGTATTAAAATTGTATATATATCATCAAGTTATTTATGTGCTTCAGCAGGGAGTTGGCCTGCTACTCCTACTTCTACAATTGGCTAGATAGGCAAACCTCTTCCCATTCCATAGTGGACAGCACCCGCACCTAGTCCTACGAGTGAGTGGAAATAGTTAAAGAGAACTAAAGGGAACCATTCGGCTCTTAAATTAACTGCAGCCGCACAATGTCAGTGGCAGTTGGACAAGCCAGCCAACGACCACGCTTCCAACTAGATGGTTAATTCCGACATTTAATTGTGAACTGCCTGTCATACGATTTGCATGATGGCTTTCAACTTACGCCTGATTAGCTGGCCAGGTGGACATGCAGTTGTGTGTGAAGAGGGTTGGGCGTTGTAGGAGATGGGGAAAATTGCCATTGCCATTGTCCCGGCTCGTTCCCTCGCTTTGGGCTTGTCATATAGGAAAAACCACATGCGGGCACGTCGAGGCCGTTAGCCAGTAGCAGCAAATTTGAAACGTGCCAATTTAAATGCTTCATGCTAATGGAATTGATCGGCGCATATGGTTGGCATCGATTGCACGCAGCCAATTGAATTGCGCTGAACACTGAACGCAGCACGAGCAAATTGCTTAATTATCATATTGCTATTTCCATTTATTTTCAAGCTGGTTCCACGCTGGCAAGGACAGCACTAAGTACGCAACGCCAATGCGTCCACTCCACACCATTCAGCATGGAACAGTGTAACTAGAGTGCGCACATCCATTAATTGGCCAGCCAGTTGGACACTGAACAGCGGGAGCAACACCTTCAAAGTCAAAAGCCGTCGCAACCAAGGCCGTCAAATTGGAAGGAAAACGCCTTTTCACGGCAGTTAACAAGTTTTTAACTGGTTCAACAATTGCCCGCGAGCTGAGGCAGCTAATGGTAAGCTACTGAATGGTTCGCTTCTCATAAGAGTACAGAATGCATAGAGTCTTACGGTCTTATGTAACGTATCTTCTACTTCCGCATAAGGCAATACCATTGCCTGTTCTGCTTCTGAATGAACCGAAATCTCTTGTTATAATATTTAGCCATGCTGAGATATTTTTATTGATTTGTTGTCGCATTTCCATTAAAATTTGATACCGTTTTGTTGGCACTCTGCTCGACAGACGAAAAACGCGCCGCTCAGTGGCGATGAACCCGACGAAGAGCAGACGGCGGCGGGCACAGACAATGAGCAGGAGCAGGAACAGCAGCCAGTAGATGATCAAAGGCAGGCTCAGCCACAACCGCATACAAATGAGCGGCAGGGACATCAATCGACGGCGAAGCCACTTCAGCGGCGCCAAAGACAACGCAAGAAATTGATAGCCCAACAGCAGCAGCAGCAACAACAACAGAGGGGCGCCCTCTCGGATGCGGATACGGATTCCAGCTCGTGCGAGGCGGCGGGCACGACCAGCACACGAGTTAGCTATGCGCAGCGCAACCTTAGCGACCAGGTGGTCTATGAGCAATACAACGACGATGATGACTATGACGAGGAGGAGGAGGAGGAAGAGGAGGAGGACGAAGATGAGGATGGAGAGGACTACGATGACTACGAGCAGCTGGCCACACAGCGTGCCCCATTGAAGGCAGCGCTACGAGTGCGAGCCCATGTGCCCACCGGCACAGCTGGCGGAGATCAGGGCATCGAGACTGGGTCATTGCGGGCCAAGCGCAAGACGAAAACACGTCAATTCTCGCAGCGCACCAGCTCCTATGCGGTGGATGCCGGCCATGGTGAGGCGGATGCGGAAGCGCTAGACAAGCGTCGCTGTATCTCTAAAGGACAAATGCGCGGTAAGTGAAGCCAATGCTAATGCTATGACTGCCATTGGACAGTCATCAGTGTGCTTGCTGCGTTCCAGAGTTCCGTGAGGCATTCCGTCTATTTGACAAGGATGGCGACGGCTGCATCACCAAGGAGGAGCTGGGCACGGTGATGCGCTCGCTGGGACAGTTCGCTCGTGTCGAGGAGCTGCAGGAGATGCTGCAGGAAATTGATGTGGATGGTGTGTAGACCATCTTTGGCCCCTTCTCTGCGCCTCTGCTTTTCTCTATTCCTCCGACTTCTCTTTGCAGGCGATGGCAATGTGAGCTTCGAGGAGTTCGTCGACATTCTGTCTAACATGACATACGAGGACAAATCGGGCCTGTCCTCCGCCGACCAAGAGGAGCGCGAGCTGCGCGACGCCTTTCGTGTCTTCGACAAGCACAATCGTGGCTATATAACTGCCTCCGATTTGCGTGCCGTGCTGCAGTGCCTGGGCGAGGATCTCGACGAGGAGGATAGTGAGTATACAACTTATATGACTCCATAGCTGCTTACATAGACATTTTCCCATATTTACATATATGAGCTATAGTTATGTAGTGGGTCTTAGCCACGTCTATACCATATTGCTTTGCTCTCTGTGCTTTTCTATCTAGTCGAGGACATGATCAAGGAGGTGGATGTCGATGGTGATGGACGCATCGATTTCTATGAGTTTGTCCATGCCCTGGGCGAGCCAGAGGACTCGCAGGAGAATGACGATGAAGAGGAGAACACCACATCGCCGTTGCCCACGCCCAAGTCCACGGTGTCCTTGAGCTACGAGTGAGTGATGCGGTCGCACCCATGATTTTTGCTCCAACTCTATGCAACGATATATAAGATATCGAAACGCCATTTGCTCTCAACGCACAGCTAAACAATTGCAATGCATATATAAAAAATTCTTTCAATAATAATTAAACAAAAATAAAAAAAAACAAAAAAAATAACAATTTTACTTTACTAATATAATAATAATAATATATATTCCAAGCAAATTAATTATAGACATTATAATTCTAGTCTCCCTCTAACTCTCTCCCTCTAACTTAAATTGAAGATTGAATCAAAAGGTATCTAAATCTAAAAACTTAACTTATATTCTATATAAACTTGACTTTAACTATATACAATATTATATTTAACTGTTGTTTACATTATGCAACATCGATTTGTCGACAAAAAAAAACATAAACATATCAATGTCGCCTCTGTTTAAGTATTTTCACCACACAGTCAACCACCAATGCCAACCACCAAATAACAAAAATAAAAAAAAAATACATTTTTCATGGTAAATAAAATTCAATACAAAAATATCTAAAATACCGAAATAATACCAAATTGTTGCCCAGTTTTGAGGCGCTTCTATAGATATTCAACATAGCAAACGAATGCAACTTGTAGCGTTTATCCATTTTGGGCTAAGACTTATAATAATGTATTTAAGCAATTCTTTTCTTCCATAATTCAACATTTCAAAGGATGCATATAAATAATACTAATTACGAATTACGAATTACGAATTACGAATATATATATATACATACATATACACATATGACAAATTTATTTAGCTAATAATACGAATATTTGCTCAATTATTGTAGCAGCTGCGCCTACAAATGGCAAAACTTTAATTACACTCTAATGTAAACTTTTTATTCCATCGAAAACGAAATCAAAATCAAACAAAATAAATACAACCAAAAAAATAAAATACTAACTACAAAATTATATTTATTTTATATGGGTAAAGTGAGTATGTTGGCGCACTATAGATCGGGGCATAATAATTCTTAATGTTTCTTCGTTGAGTCCAAGCAGCATATATTACTGACTTGCTCATCATTAACAGCCCAGTCTAGCAACTGAAGTCCTTAAACGTTCTCTTATATACATAGAAGTAGCAATAAATGTCAAGCAGAGGCAACAGTATCCACTAGTCGAGCACTGCCAACTGCAATACACTTAACATGTTTAATCATCAAATGCTTGTTTTTAAGCTTATGTGGCTACAGCTGCTGCAATGTAGCCTTAAATAATGCGTGCTTAATCCCAGCTAAGCGCCCCATATATGTATATACATTTATATAAATGTTAATGCTCTTAAACGAGCTGCCCAATTGACAGCAAATCAATGCGAACTCAAAGAGCCGGAAACCTTTTGTCTCAAATCTGAGCCACTCTGTGGCAGGGTCAACCCATTTCACAGCCAGATAATTTCTGAAAATTTAAAAACAAAATTACCATATCAAATTCCTATATAGATAAACATATACATATATATTAGCATGTCACCAAATAAGGCAACAATCGGGGAAAGTTTCAGAGCGCAGCTGCGGTCAGCAGCGGTTGGTTCCCAAGGCGCAAATTTAGGCGAACGCTGCGTTGGCAAAAGTCACATTAATGGTCATGTAAAGGACGCCCGTCAAGTGCTCAGCCAGCAAATTATTGGGGGTAGCCGCACACACACACACGCACAGAGAGAGAGAGACAGTTAAGCAGCCTCTTAACGAGCTATGTGGCGTATGCGTAATATTTGTTGTCAGTTCAGTCAAGAGCAAAGGCTATTCAATTTAAATACAATATGTTTATATAAAAGCTTTTTTGTGTCCCGCTTAGTTATACATGTGAAATATGCTTGATTGCTTTCGGTTATTGTCCAGAACCTATTTGGGCTCCATTCAACTGGTCCAACAGCTTCAATTCCTTTGACAGTTTTGTTCGTTGTGCTGTGCTGCGCTGTGGTTTCGTTTGCTTTGCTTTGGTTTGCTTTGCTTTGCTTAGCCGCCTGGCGCCACTTGAGACTAGCAAAAGTTTCTCTTTTTATTTTTAATTAAAAGGCCTGGCTCGGGCTTTTGACTGATTAACAACGTGGCCTTTGGGGACCCGGAAGCTGCCAACGGGTGGGCACTTTGCTAACTCATTTTGGGCCAATTTGAGCGCCCCGCAGCCGCAGCCGCAGCGGCAGTTCCATTTTATTATCCACAGATTTTGATGGTTTCGTATTCATTTATTTATTCTCATATCTGTTTCTGATGTCTGTAAATTTCCGCATTTACGGCCATTATTTCTAATTAATTTTAATGAGCGCTGAACGGCCATAAAGGCTAACCCCGAGAGGGATTCCACATCGACCTACTCCAGCCTCTCAGCCTCGTTGTGTGTGTCTGTGCGCTTTGTTATCCGGCTGATTGATATATAGCTAATACTTCAATACTGATATATGGAAACTGGCAGTGCGTGTGTCTGCCACATACGAGCGGGTCCACATAAATCATAAGCTCTGCCTCCATTTTAGCAGCCAGCGTTGTACCCTACCATTGCTTGGATATAACAACTTTTCGTTTTAGTTGACTAAAGTCAACCCCAAATATTTGTGTTCGATCAATAACAAACAGACGAATCTGCTTATCATCAGCTGTTTCCCCTGCCGGATTAGGCAACTGTAGCATACACATATAAAGCTGACATGGGAAACACTGTAAAGCTATATCGCTCTGATACAATATATATATATTTATGTGTATATATCTACTACATCAGTAGTCTATCAGAGTATCCACTCTTCGTTCTCTTGTGAATTCTCATTGTCATCATCATAAATACATAATTACGATAATATAAAAGGAACTGTCGTTGGTTCAACGATGATAAATCAGTTGAATTTTAGTTTGAATTGATGGAAACACTGAAGGAAGCTAATGCCTAATGGCATTCTGGGGTAAACTAATGTAACCAAAGTCATTAAAATGACGCATTAGCAACATAATGTGGTCAATGGGAGAGCTTTTTGAATGATCATTTAAATTAACTTTTACTACAAGTATTTAAAAGTCCATAGAGTGGAAAGCACATTTTGAATGCCTTAGCAAATAAATGATGCCCATTTTACTTCAGCTTTTCCCTGTGCTGAAATATTTAAATATTAATGCCATATAATTTTCTATTTAATAAAGTTTATTTTATTGTTATTAAAAATATATTTCTATATACAATTATGACTTAAGCTTGTATAACTCTAAAAAAGCAGCCGTTCTTTAGCTATGCCTGACTTCGTCCTCAAAAAGTTGCGTCTTTAAAGTTAAATCCTTTTGTAGCTAATAAAATATGATTTGATTCTATTAATTTGTAAGTAATTATCTTTATTAAATCTTCGATTCAATATAAAATATAAATCGATACACTGGTTTTGAACTGCTTCGCTTGACATCTTATTTCGCATATGTTTCATTGACTCTTGGCACTTGCTGAACCTCAATTAATGATTTAATTTCATCAAAAAATTTATTGACTATAATTTTAGTTCGGTGGGATGATCGAAGAAGGAGATTTTGCTTTTAATATATAATATAGATGTGGGTTCATTTCGATGATAACGACTACGCCTTTAATGACCAGTTTGTTGGCTCTCAAAGTACTTGTGGTAGGTCGATTCGAGTTGATCCGCTAATCCTTGACAATTAACTTGGCCCTCAATAGCTTTTCCAGCTTCAAGCAGAACTCCGATTTGGCAATGCCGGCATCTAGTAGCACCTCACCGTCCCGTCGCTTGCGCACCGACAGCGGTGGCTCAGTGGTGAGCGGTTGCTGCTGCTGCTGCTCCTCCATGACGGAGTCCAATGGCAATGGCGCCGACACTGTGTCGGGCGATCTCCTACCACTACCACCGCCGCCGCCGCCGCCGCCGTCGACGCCGCTGCTACTGCTGCTTCTGGCGGATATGCCGCGCAAATAATTATAGCCAGGTAGCCAACGGCGTAGCAGGCGATCCAGTCGAGCCAGTGGACGCAGCTTCGACAGGCGCTGGCTGCCGCTATCATTGATGCTATCTGTGCCGTTGGAACTGTTGCTGCCACAACTGCTATTGTTGTCTCTATCGAGTCTGCTGCCGCTGGCACAGCTGGCCGTCGCCGTTCGCCCTCCGCCATCCGTACCAGTGCGGCGTGACATTTGGTTCGGCATGGAAGTATCTTTCGGGTGGTTATTAAGTTTCAGAAACAATACGTATTGTACCGGCCTAATTGTAAAAAATGAGCACTGAAAACGTTTACAGCGAACTACCAAATTTTCAACAGTGACACTCTCCGCCCGGGGCAGTCTGATTGTGAATGTAGATTCAAAGCTATACAGGAGCATACATGTGCTTATGTACGTGCTGACAGATCGGAGCGTACGTGCTGCTGTTGCTGTCCAGCTTCCTGCATCCTGCCAGCTGTATCCTGCAGCCTGCCGCCCGCATCCTGCTGCTTGATTTGTCGCTGGGCATTATAAGCATTAAGTGTGTGTGTGTGTGTATGTGTGCGAGTGTGCGCCAGTGTGTGACCCTTGAATGACAGGGCACTTTGGAGCTATGCAACGACAGTTGCAAGTGCAGCCACCCCATCAACACAAAGACCTGCAATCCCCAACTAAATCTCGCACAGATAAATGACAGGACGGCGACTTTAAGACTTGATTGCGCCAGCAGCAAAAGTAATGCGCTTGCAGCTTGGAATTGAAATATAATATAAATTTAGCTACGTTTTAAGCAATTGCACTTTCCGCTCTGTTCATGTAAATTGCATGCTCAAGATTCAATTCTAAGCCAAGGCGAACAAGTCGTTTGCAGCTTCAACTTGAATTTCGTCTTCAGCTGCTCGAACATCGACATTACAAGAGAAGAACGGCAGCTGCCCCAATAGGAGTTGTATATTTGAAAAGAGATTGCGGCCATTCGTTCCGTGTGAGCTTATAGATATGACAAGCCATGAATTTGCTTAAGCGACACAAGTAAATGAGTTTCAGTGAAGTTAAGTAAAATAAATTCGAGGCGTCAAAGGTTTTGGACTTAGCTTTAATGCAACTGGAAGCAGCAGCAAGCAGCTGCGCAGCGTGAAATGGAATCGGAGCTGGAACTTTTTTGTGAGCAAATGTCTAACGACTTGCAGATGAATGGAAACGTATAATGAGGCAAAGCCACAAGACGCTATCAAGCGAAGCATAAAAACTCATTTGCCAAGGCCACACGCATGTGTGTGTGTGCGCGTGGGAGTGCGTGGGAGTGCGTGTGGCATAAGAATAAATAATAATATTCAATTAAACATCACGCTTGCATAGTATAAAGCATAATAAACTGCCAAATGTGGGACTTGTGGGGCAAGATATACTCAAAGCAGATGCTGATGCCGCTGCTGCTGCTGCTGCTGCTGCTGCTGCTGTTTTATTTGTTGCTTAGCTTATCTGAAAGCGTTTATAATTGAAAAAGTTTTGCGCTACGCTGTGTGTCGCCATGGCCGTTGCCTTCCACTTTCTCTTCCTCATCCACTTCCACATCCACTTGACTTGCTGTTCACACTTAATATTTCACTTAGAGCAGCCGCAGCCACAGCCGCAGCCGCATTTCAAGACTGTTGTTGCCTCTTGACTTGGACTTGGACTTTGCCTTTGACATTGGCATGGCTGAGATGCCAGATTGGCATGGTATGCCGCTGCCGAGGCCAACAGTGCGGCAAGCCGCTCCGTCGTCAACGCTCACCCGCTCAGCCACTTACCCGCCCTGCCACACTGACATTGACAGACAGCTGAGGCCCAATACGATCAGATCTTACCAAGCTTAGGACTCAGCCCCCAGCCAGTCCCTGTCTATATTTGCTTTATGTATGCGTGTCTCCTAACGTGTTTATCATGTTCATCTTGTTATTTATTATTTACACGCTGCACGAGCTACTCCTGCTGCTGCTGCTGCTGCTGCTGCTGTTGCTGTTGCTTCCAAGTGCTTGGCGCCAATTTGCATATTTCAAATTAAATTGCTACACGATGTTCTGGAAATTGAGCGCAATGCCAACAAAAAATAAAGAAAAAACAAGGAAAACGGAAGAAAAATAACAGCAGAAGCTTTAACAAATTTTATATTACGAATTTTTAAGATTGCAATTTTATTAAATTAATTTAAGCAGAGATTATTAAAGCATTCATTTTATTTATTTTCTTATAATTTATTTATATATTTTCTATAATATAAACTGACGCTAAAAAAATATTACATACATATTTTATATATATATAAAAAATATTATTATTATATATATATATTTAATATCAAAATTAATTATTGGCAATTGAAAATGATGTAATTATAAATATAAATTAAAATATAAATAAAAATCATATTTTAGTTTTAATTTTTTTAATAAATATCATAAGTTTAAGCTTTATTTAATAACTTATTATTGTAATTTTATTTTTTGTGAATTATCTTGATTTTGTTTTTAATTTGTATTTTAATTAGTAATTATTAATTTTTAAGAATTTATATTTTTAATATTTTTATTTTAGTTATTTATTAAATTCTTGTTTTAATTTTAGTTAGCAATACTTTTAATAATTTATGCTTTTTATATTATTATTTTTTTCTTAATAATTATTATATTTTTAATAATTTATAGCTTATGATTTATTTTTTTACATTTATATTATTAATAATTAAAGTCATTTTTAAATTTTAATAATTTTTAAATCATATTTACTACTTTCTTTAATGCTTATTTTGTATGCTTTCATATATATATATAAATGAAATATCCATTCAAATGTTTTCAAAGGAAAGTCTCAAGCATTAAGTTTTCCTCCAATCGATACGAAATAGTTTTCCTTTCATTTTCTTTGAACTATGGCTCAGGTAGCATGCATAAAGAATACAAATTTCCATTTAAAATTCCTATGAAAGCGGCTAATTAGCCCTCTGTGCAGCTGTTAATGGATTTTAATTAATTTATGTGCAGGTCGCATAATAAAGCATCGGCAATGTCCTGTTAACCCTGCTCGAATGGAACACACTCAATGCCAATGCAGATGATTAATGCACAACTTGTTTTCACGTTACACGCGCATGAGTCAGGTTGGGTGTGTGTGCCGTTTCCGCTTCCGTGAAAAAGGGACAAAAACGAAGAAGCAGAAGAGGAGGAGAAACAAAAGTGACGGCCAACTAGGACTGGCTGCCGCTGCAGTTAGCTGTCAGCTGGCAAACGGAAAATATTAAGCTGCATAACCGCTAAGACAGGCAGGCAGGCAGGCAAGGAAACAAGGACACGCCTGCCAGGACAGCGCAGCGGAAGTTCAGCTCACACACACAAACAAAACACACACGCACACAGAGACACTTTTGAAGGTTAGCTGGCTGCGCTGTCTGGCCGCTTAACCGAGACACTTGCAGCTGAAATTAACTAAAGTGCTGCCTACTTTGCGGCGCGTGCACAAGGGAATGCCCCTACTGGCAGAAAACTCGAATAGAATTAAGAGCGAATGTCGTTTATTAACGCAAAAGCAATACCTGAGGCAGGCTTAGGGATGTTCAGTGCCTAGTTCGAGAGGGAATATCTCTACTGTGATCAATGTTTGCATGAAATGAGCTTCCTTTAAAGCATTTAGACTGATTGACAGACGATGACTGGAAGATGTTAGCAGAAGATGTAAGCCATGTGCTGACTACCTTTATTTCTGCTCAATTGTCTAGATTGACTTAAATTATATATAGAGAAAAATGTATTTTCAAATAATATTCCTATATACATCAGAAAGTCTAATAATTTGCACGTGCTATTTACAAATAATAAAGCTTAATTAATGTATGGAATCTCTCGGAAACAGTTGCAATTGTTTTGTGAACTGGTTGAGCGCACTTAACATAAATCAGTTAAGCCTTATGCTCAGTGTCGAGTTCACAGCAAATGCTTAACACTTGATTGCAGAACTGAAGCTGGATTTCGGTCTAGGAATCAAATTAAATTGCTGTTGCCTTGCAGCTCTCATGTCTAATAATCAAAAAGCCGAACTAATTTGCCACAATTCTGTTTAACAAGAAATTCTCAGGGGTCTGTGTGGGTGCGAGGGCGAGGGCGAGGGCTTATGAAAACCACAAAATGCAACCACAATAAAGAAACAGAAACTGCAACGAATATCTAAGAAAATTGCGTATTTTGTTTAATTAAGAATTATCTATTTAGATAGGTGCTTCAACTCGGCAGCTAAGTTATAAAATTCGAGATTTAATTTATTGCATAAACTCTGCCACAATTAGCTGAGCTACTTTAACCTAATGGGGTTTGCCTTCTTAATATAAAAAGGGGAATATCCCTATGTCATTAATCTTAGCTCATTTCACTTTAACTTAGAAACTTTGTAAATTTAGGTTAAGAGTTAAAATGGAAAATAATGTAAAATGAAGATATAAGGATATCAGGTAAATCATATATTGACAAACGGAGCAAAAAGAATATGGTAACTGTACCTAAAAGTTATTTAATTAATATTAAATAAAATATAATTTTTAAAATATATATCTTGTTTAATTTCGAAGCTTAATTTTAAAAATAAAATATCCCTAAAACTTAGCCTGAAACTTGCTTTCGTTCAAGGTTCGAAAACAGGCTTACCTGCTTAGCTCGTATCGTAGAATATTTTCGTATTCTGCTTAATTTTCATAAATATCCCAGCAACGGATAAGTGTAAATCGTAGATTGTGTCTAAATGACAGGGAAATATGCCATAAGTCCCATCAATTTCCCAGAGGCTTAGCCAAGTCATATATATAAATTTCACAACGGATAATAGTTTACCGTAATTTGTGTCTAACTTGCAGGGAAATATTATAAAAGTCCCATACGGTATGAAAGTTATTAAATTAACGAAAGTCTTCACACGAAAGCTTAATTGCGCTGCAAAAGCTAAAGCTTGTGCTGCAGCACAGCAGATTCATACTCAATGTGCAGACTCACCAAATGAGGGGAAATTGAGGGGAAGTGAGGGAAATTGAGTGAAAAAGGTGAAAATCAAAGGGAGTACTCAAGCCTTAGCCAAGACTCACTCCGAGTGACAAGTCGCAAAGCACTCAATGCTGAGCTAAAAGTCGAGCACTTGGCACACGCCGATGCGATCGGAGCAGGTGCCAGGATGGGGAGGAGTGGTCAAAGTGCGCCCGTTGGTGTCATCATCTAGTTTATCTTTCTTATTTGTTGTACTTCCGATATTTTGGGCAAAATGTGGTCAGAGAAATTGGAAATCGGACGGGGCGTGGCAGAAGAGGCAAAGATGTCAGACTTGAGATGCGAGGAAATGAGTTGT